TCGCTACCGACGAGTCGGCCGCTTTCGCTACCCTCAACCGATGGGTACACCCCCGACGAAAAGAAGAAGTAACGATCGAGTTATGGGAGGCGCTCAAGGAACAGCCTGAGACCGCCGCTGAAGCTAGGGACAAGTGGGAGTGGATGGAGGATCTTACGAAGCCTCCTATGTACATACGAGGGAGGAAAGGGCGCAATGTATCCATTAATGTCCAGCTGGAAACCTTAAACACTCGCGAGACACACCCCTTGAAGGCGCTGGTAGACAGCGGGGCCACCGGCAGCTCTATAGATCGGGACTGGGCCCGGAGCCATGATCTCAATCTCAAGAAAGCGGCCCGACCCGTCCTGGTTTACAATGCCGACGGCACTCGAAACAAGGGAGGGGACATCACGGAGTATGCCGAGGTTCGCTTATACATAGGAGACCATGTGGAACGGATCGAGCTAGCGGTGGTAGACTTGGGGAGTACCCCCCTCTTTCTAGGGCATGATTGGTTACAGAGACACAACCCGCTCATCGACTGGGACATGGGGGCCGTAACATTGGCCCGTTGTGCTTGTCGAAAGATTCCCTTCTTGCTCCCCGACACAGACCCCACCTCCCGGTGGGATGAATATGAGGAAGGAGACACCATTTTAGTTGTGGACTTCGAAGAGGCGTTCCATGTACAAGCCATGGGAACCAAAGCCAACGAACTAGCAGCGCAGGCCAATGCCAAAAAGACGGCCAGGACCTTTGAAGAAATAGTGCCGAAGGAGTATCAGGGATTTAAGGATGTATTTGACAAGGAGAATTTCGACGAGCTACCCCCGCGCAAACCCTGGGACCACGCCATCGAACTGATTCCCAATGCCAATGCGAACCTAGACTGTAAGGTCTATCCCCTCAACCCAGCAGAACAGGAGGAATTGGACAAGTTCTTAGACGAGAACCTGTCGATGGGCCGCATTCAAGCGTCAAAGTCCCCCATGGCATCCCCCTTCTTCTTTGTTAAAAAGAAGGACGGGAAACTTCGCCCCGTTCAGGACTATCGAAAGCTCAACGAAATGACTATCAAGAATCGATACCCCTTGCCGTTAATCGGGGAGTTAATGGATAGACTGAAAGAGGCCAAATACTTCACCAAGTTGGACGTACGGTGGGGATATAATAACATCAGGATCAAACAGGGCGATGAATGGAAGGCGGCGTTCCGAACTAATCGAGGACTCTACGAGCCCCTTGTAATGTTCTTTGGCCTTACCAACTCCCCCGCGACCTTCCAGTGGATGATGAACGACATCTTCAAAGACCTCATCACCGCCGGCGAAGTGTCGGTATACTTAGACGATATTCTTATCGCCTCCCGCACCAAGGCGGACCATCGACGCATAGTGCGCGAAGTACTACAGATACTTCGAAAGAATCACTTATTCTTGAAAGCCGAGAAGTGTGAGTTCGAGGTGGAGGAAACGGAGTACCTGGGAGTGCTCATTAGTGAGGGGAAGATCCGTATGGACCCGGTGAAGATCGCAGGCCTGTTGGACTGGCCGATTCCCCACAAGAAACAGGAGCTGCAATCTTTCTTGGGTTTCTGTAACTTCTACTGGAGGTTTATCCGCGATTACAGTAAGCATGTCAAACCCCTGACCTCTTTAACGGGGAAAGTAGAGTGGAAGTGGGGAGAAGCTCAGCAAAAGGCGTTCGAAAGATTGAAGGAGTTGTTCCGCGAGGATGTAGTATTGGCCATACCTCTAGACCAAGGGAGGTTCTGGGTAGAAGCGGATTCCAGCGAAGGAGCAGTTGGGGCGGTATTATCCCAATGGCAGGACGAGAAATGGCGCCCGGTGGCCTTCCTCTCTAAGGCTTTGTCCACGACGGAGCGCAACTACGAGATCTACGACAAGGAACTCCTTGCCATTATGATCGCGCTGGAGGAGTGGCGCCAGTACCTCATGGGCGCCAGAGAAGACTTTGAGATCTGGACCGACCACTCCAATCTCCAGTACTTCAGAAAGCCCCAGAAGCTCAATCGATGACAAGTGCGGTGGGTAACAGAACTGGCCAAGTATCAATTCACCTTGCACCACAAGCCCGGAGCCCAGAATCATAAGGCTGACTTACTGTCCAGGCGAGCGGATCATGATCAGAGAAAGGACGATAACCGGGATGTAACGGTCTTAAAACCTGCTCATTTTAGGGCCCTGGTCATGCCCACGGCAGAAGAGTTGCACGAAAAAATCAGGCTGGCCACCCATGATCCGCGCAAGTGGGACAGAGGCATCTCCGATTCCCTTAATCACGAAAAGGGGGTCTCCCGAATGGAAGGATTACTGTGGTACGATGGACGTATTTACGTCCCTAGGGACAAGCACTTATGAGGGGAAATCATCGCCTTATGCCATGACCATGTGACGGTGGGGCACCCGGGGATAGAAAAAATGAAAGAACTTATCCAGCGGGACTACTGGTGGCCCCGAATGCGCCGCGAAGTGGAGGCCTACGTGAAGGGATGTGAAATCTGTCAACGGACCAAGGCAGACCGTCGTCCCAAAAAGGCTCCTCTACATCCCAACGAGGTCCCAGAGCGCCCGTGGACGCATATTTCCGTCAACATGATCACTAAATTGCCGGACTCCAGGGGAAATAACTCCATCCTCGTCATAGTCAACAGATTCTCTAAGACCATAATCCCCATCACCTGCACCGAGGAACTGTCTTCTCTTGGCTTCGCCAAGATTTTACGAGACTATATCTACGTGCCATACGGGGTGATGCCCGAGAAGGTCATCTCGGACAGAGGGGCCATATTTGTGTCTAAATTCATGAAGGAGTTCTACGCCCTTCTTCAAGTGGTGGGAAATCCCTCCACCGCGTATCACCCCCAGACGGATGGACAGACGGAGCGAGTCAACCAGGAAATCGAAAAGTACCTCAAGATGTTCGTTAACTACCACCAGGACGATTGGAGCGAGTGGTTGCCGCTCGCCGCGTTTACTCACAACAACCGGAAACACTCAGCCACTGGTTTTTCCCCATATAAGGTGGTCTTCGGACGTGACGGGCAGGTCATCAAAACGGCTCAGCGCTCGGACACCATCCCCGCCGCCTCCAAATTAGTCCAAGGAATCCAAGAAGTGCAGGAGAAAGCAAGGGAATCCCTAGAGCGGGCCGCCGAGTCGATGAAGAAGGCCTATGACAGACACAAAGGCAAGGCTCATGAGTACCAAGTTGGCGACAAGGTTTGGTTAGACTCCACCAACCTAAACCTTCCTCGTCCAACGAAAAAGCTTGGTGATCGACGAGTGGGACCTTTCACCATCATAGGAAAGAAAGGAATGTCTGCGTACGAGTTGAAACTCCCCCTAAAGTGGCGAATTCACAATCGATTCAACGAATCACTGCTGACTCCATATCAGAGTCCTGAATTCCCGAACCAACCACACCCCGAGAGGCCACCCCCAGAACTGATCGATGATGAGGAAGAATATGAGATCGAAGAGATTGTAGTGGAGCGGGACAAGGCCGTAGGCCGAGGACAGACCCGTCGAACCATTACCGAATATTTGGTAAAATGGAAAGGATACCCCATCGAGGAAAACTCGTGGGTGAAACGTTCGGACATGGCTAATGCGGAGGAACTCGTTAATGACTACGAGGCCTGCATGCAGAAGATGGTGTGGAGCATCAACAACAAAGGGAAAACAGTCGGGAGGGATACTAAGATACCACCAAACACTGCGGTACCGTATCATGAACCGGACACGCCTTGTGTAACCAACATCCTCACGGTCCCGTCCTCCCAATGCACCGCTTCGAGACACTCTGAGGAGCTTAACCTGGTAGGGGAAGTAGATGGCTCAGACGCAGGCCAGAGGGTGGGACCGGTATCAGTCTCCTCCTCCTTCCAAAAGTTGATCATCGACATCTCCGAATCCATGGATAAGGCACTGTTAGAAAGGAACAAGGAATACGCCCGGGATCACCCTAGCAAAGCGGGCCCCATCGAACCGTACCCCCGGCACCGTGAAGAACATAAACTCTATGATCCCTGGGTACGGGACTCCTACTTGAAAAGACGAAAACTTGAAATTGAGGCCTCGCGACGCGAAGGCCGACCATACAAGAACCCTCCTATACTTCTCGACCCTCCGTCTGACGACGAAACCGATGTAAACCTCCTTCAGAAGGTGACAGAAAACTGGAACGACGATGAACGGGTGTCAGACATCGAATCATACGAGACAGATGGGGAGGAGTCGGACGGCTCATTCGAAATGAATGAGTCTTAAAAGCTTATTTATGGTGTAGAAGGGGATTACCACCGCTCAACAACGAGCAATGAACCCTTAGGGACAGGGAGTCCTGACAGACAGCGAGAGGCCGTACCGGCGCAAGGTGGTCCTGGATATCCATGGGTACCAGGATCCAGGTGCAGCTAGGGATGAGGCCGACGGCAGTACTCGAGGCCGAGCGGACCCAATGCTAAACTGTTTTAAAGCAGAAGGGAGACCCTCTTGCTCGCTCATGTGGAAGGAAGGAGACATATTCTCATTCGGGACGAATGAGTCTTAAGGAGGGGGTAATGTTACGGTTTACTCATTTCTTTTCTTTTTCTTTCCTTTTTCCTTCGTATTACTCAGCCTGATTACTCGTATGCGATCATGACGGACGCATTCTCACAGTACTATTTTTAGTTTACCAACGTGTATTTAAGTAGAGCCTCAGCTGGTCTAAACCCCAGCTTCGGCTAAGGTTTAATCTACCTGACATCGAACTCCGTCCTTCGTGACTATCTGTCCCATCGACTTTCGTCGCCTTTGACTTGCTAGAGCGTCTCCTACCGAAGTGCGAGTAGGGATCCTAGTACGATCTAAGTCGATTAGAGTTAGTGGCTAACAATGACTTCCTGACAACAAGTCGCTGTTAACTGCAAGGCCACAGAGATACTACCGCCGTCCTCTTCGACACTATTAAAAAGTCCTTTCCAGGTGTTACATATCAGCAATGATATTCCAATGGATCAGGACAACAGCCCAGGACCAACTGCTTCAGTTCCCAGTACCAAGGATGTCTCCATTATTGGCGCTCTAATGTTTGTTCTCTGTATAAACGAGAACAAAAAGTTTCTTGACCAACATGGGAAGAACGGTGTCAACCAAAGTTGCATGGACCTTGTGGCCTGTCTCAAGTTCCTTGCCACTGTTGGCATTACCAATTTCCCAGTATACAGCATCATAACTGATGGCACTTTGGGTACCATTGTAAGTGCCCATATGAAGGATCATGTGGTCTGTGTTGTCTCTGTGTGGCCTATCTGTCTCAAACTTACATTTTGATCCAGGAAGGGGTAATTTATGAGCACAATGTAAGAACATTTGACATTTCAAACCCCGTTGATGCCTTCAATGTTGCTACTTTCATCACCTTCGTCGCTATGGAACATGCACAAGTACTCCGCAATTTACTTAGTGAGCAAAAACTTCAGGAACTTGCCAGGCAGTCAGACCAGGATGATCCTTCCCTCCACTGGACAATGGAGCACCAGTTTCCTGCAGCAAAGAAGTCTTCTTAGATACTACCTGTGAATATACTTCATTTTGTGTGGCTTGAATATTGTCTCAATATCAAACTTCCAACCATGATCAATATTTCTGTGTTCAGACTAAATTTGATCTATAGTGTTGTGAAGAGCCTAATCCTCTCACTGTGATACTCATTTCTTTGGTTCTGGAACAAACAAAGACCCCGACGAAGTCAGCTAAGCTCTTCTGGAAAAACTCTTCAAAGAGGCATTTTAAACATCAAAGATAATTATTGTGCCCAAACATGTGCAATGTGCATGAACATCGATCATGTGAAGTATTCATCAAACAGTTGTCCTTTATCCCTGTACATCCATCCCAGTGTAGCCTAGGTTGGCCAGCAGCAATGCAAGAGTTACAATCTGAAAGACTATGTCAGAATCAGAAAATATATATACAATCACATAGTGTACTGTTCCAGCAGATATTCACATTGGTAATACTATTAGGAGAAGCGGCCATGCTCATTGCAGTGGAGGTCAACCTGACAGAAGATAATACAGTGGTGGATGAAGTCGAAGACCCCGCTGATCAAGGGAAGAGCAGCAGATGAAGGCTCAACAGAGGTTTGAGCAGCAGGTGAGAGCTCAACTGAAGTCACTCCAGCTGAACCTTAGTACAAGGCTATCATGCTGAAAGTCTTGGGAGTCGGTGCTCGCTGAAGTGGAGGTAGTTGTCAAATATGAGGACAATGATCTTCTCTGCTGCATTCTCTGCAACAATCATAACAACAATCTGTAAAAACAATTAGACAATACACACATATTGTATTCAAGATGAATTACCTGAATATTACCAGCAGGTGAGGGCCAGCTCATACAGGTGGCAATTCTGAGTCCTATTTTGTGTCACACATACAAGCAAAAGATATGAAGAATATCTAAGCTATACTTGGCAAAAGAGTACAGGACATTCATAATTAAGATTCCATATTATCTACTCAGACATTGAAGAGGCTGACTGTAGGCACCTGTGGAATAGTGAGCAGGCTAAAAGGCGAACCTCAAAAACCCACACACTCACACAACTACACAAACTACAATCACCCTCGTAAGTTCTAGGGGGAGCGATTATTTCTAATGTGATCCGACTATACTTCAATATCTCAAAGAGTTTCCCTTATCCTCAGTGCTCTTAGTGAAGCTAAGCTTTCTCTAATGAATTCCTAAGTCTAGGAACTTTTTACAGGAAGGTCATTCACTGGCACGACGCAACCTTCAAGGTAGATTTGAGTTATAATACACAAGGGACACTGATCCCGACAGAAACAGAGGCAATACATGCCGAAACTTTAGTGAGCTCGCTAAAAGAACACCACAGGCAAGCACTGACTTAGCCTGCTCGCTACACAACTGTATGTAGGGGTTCTCCAACTAACTCCAGCTGCTTATCTCGACTCAAGAACACTTCAGAAGCGCTCGGAAACAGATTCAGAAACAGAACTTCGAACAGAACTGACACGGAACAGACTGAAACAGAACAGAACAGATCTCAGATTTCCACTTCAACACATTCTCCGAACAGACTTATCACACTTAACAGAACAGAAACAGCATCACTGATTTGTATTCACTCTGACTAAGTTCTCAAAAAGTCTTATCAAAAGGGTATCTCGTATTTCTCTGAGTGAGCTCGCTAATTCTATGCAAAGCTCGAAGTCACAAACTGATCCTTTGTTACAGTACCACCTTCAATGCGTGCATGGGAACTCGGAGGCTCAAAACTTGGCCTCTACCTACTGTAACCAGCCTACTTATACTACAGGGGAATTAGAATTACAAACGTCATGCAGTACCCAGACTCCTACATGCATAGCATGTTGCCACCGCCACCTTACTGAGCATCCGAGTCGGACTTCCCAGTTTTAGTCTCATTTCTATAGTGAGCTCACTAAACGCGTGCCAAGAGGTGCTCTCCTGACACCTGCGGTGAAGAGGCTCTGTGTGCGCCAAGCTAGAAATGCGCTAGCGTATATAACACTAACACACCCACACTCACACTCACACACACACAAACCCTCAGTAGTTTGGGGGTGATGTGCGATACAAGCACACAATAGCAGTAGTATTGAAAGAATCCTCACACGTTACAATATAATATAGCGTGCTTAGCAATATAATAATCTTCTAAGTCCAAATGCTTTTGGAACAGGAGGTGAGCGACAGAATCACTCGGCCTCAAGGTAAAAGTATTATTTCGCAAGCCCCCAAATGTTCTACAAGAATGTATAACCCTCAAAATACGTCGCATGCAACACACAAGTGTCCACAACGTTTCACAATACACTTAACATGACTTAAAGCCTTGCGCTCCAAGCAGAAAACACTTCAAAACCCATTCGTAGATCCACAGGGTTCTAACCTATGCGATCCAGAGATACACAAACACCAAAAACACATCCACAAGCCACAGGGTTTGAACCTATGCCACTTGGGAATAAACCAAAAAAACCTCAGAGATTACTGACAAGCCAAAGGGTTCAAACCTCTGCCACTTGCAATAACTCGGAATTCACAAACAAGTTCCAAAAACACAAATGCACATTCAAGTTATCACAATACAATATTCTCTAAGTAGAGCGCAATCAATTACTGTACTTTACTTGAACAAATCAAGCATGCTCGAGCAAGGCGTGCCTCACAAGCTCTCAAAGTGTTCAAAATAATTCTAAGTTCAATAATACTCTCTTGCTCGAAGCTTCAAATAAAATCCTTTCATCATACACTAAGCGTGCTGCTTCGTAGTACAACTGCGGGGGTCTGAAAACTTGCTAACTACCTGTAACTACTGCTCTTATATTTACCGTTAACTATATGAAATGTAAATACTGAAAATAGACAACGCTCCACCTCGGACTCCCTTCTCTTGCATGCCGCGTCAGCCATAGTGATAGTAATCATTATTTTACTCAGCACTCTGTGTCGGCGCGCGTGCTACCGCTGTTTTCTCCACTTGGCAAGGCCTAGCCTTGTCATGCCATGTGGCATGTGTCTTCTTATTGGCTCCGCAGATTTAATTACAGTGCCACGCAACTTATCTAGTGAGTGAGTTTTATTTTATTGGTTGCCGCGCAACCATTTCTAGTTTAATATTTCATATGGGCAGCGGGTTTTATTTCTCTCCGGCCGAGAACTCCTTAGAGTATCTGGACTTGTTGATTCTTCGTTCAGGATGACATTTCTCGGTGATTGCCGGATCGGCAGGGTTTGCACGTCATAGATCAATGTAGCGCAAAGCACCTTCAATATATTATCTTCAGTGAATTTAATTGAGTGATACACTGCAGAGGAGGGCACAGTGTGTGTGTATAAGCACTGAGACTGCACACTTAAATGACACAAGTGTGCCATTCTAAGTCTAAGCCATGTGCTCTACTCATATTATTTTTATTATAGTGCTTTCTGCCTCAGTGTGTAGCGCTCTATGCCTTACATGCACTCTAATATTATTCACGGGGCACACACACATTTGCATTCCTAGAATTCACAAAATTACATGTGTGAACACGTTGCACGCATGTCAGCAGGCTTGTTCTCTAGCGACCGACAGGTCTAGGTGCACGGAACTATCAGTTCTGGCATATGTCGTTCAGGACTTCTTTCTTGGATTCACAGAGGCTTCTCATAGACATGGCAACAAGTGAGTCTTCGAACAATGGGACTCAGAACAATGGAATGCGGGCTCGCAGACTTCGGCCAAAGCCCATTGCCCAAGCTCGTGCCGATGATATCTGTCATCTCACTTAAGGATTTTCCTGGATTTTCAGGTACGATGCATCACAGTTAGCAAGCATGCTAAGTGTTCTCAGTGTCAGTGCAATCTTCAAGGTTTTACCTAGCTCCCGCGAGTGTGCTTGTAAGTTAGAGCCTAAGGCATTGGGTATAGGGTTTGGCCTTCTCATCATGCATGCCCATCAGGTACAGTGCTGTGACTAAGTCCTGTTTAGAATCCCATTGCTTCTTATGCCATAAGTTATATTCCATATCATTGCACTGCATAGCATTAGTGTCGACGCGTAGTTTTAGTCCGCTCGCTCACTATATCTCAGTATGCATGTAAAACACTCTAGATTGCAAAATTACACGCGTAAATAGGCTGCAGTCACAACAATGTGTTGTATGACAATCCTGTCAATTCAGTAACTTGTGCAAAGTCAGAAACTATGATAGAAATGATGGTAATATGACCTATATTGCTGGTACTGGAGCCAAGAGCTTGAACAAAACAGAAGATGTCAGATTAATAATTCTGAAAAATCCATGTAAAGCATCACCCACAATCACACTAATATCACAGGACATTATGACCATGATAGTGCAAACAAAGAGGTACTGACCTTAGCAAAAACAGCAGGGATTCCTACAACATCAGATGGCATATTAGCCAGAACAATGATACTAGCCAAACATGATGTACATACCTGCCATCCTCTGGCCTGCCACCTATTACCTGATGACTTTATTCTTGAATATGTCAAGATGTCATTATATCTTGCTGCATGAGAAATACAGAGTTTTAGGTCAAAGAAGGGTAAACCTGGGCAGGAATATATACCTAGAGCATGGCAGCATCAATACAATTGAAATTGGAGGTCTTCTGTCACCATCGAACAAGCTAAGAGGAACACTCACTGGTCAGCACTGATTGTAACCAGACAGCAGAACAAACTCTTACTCAAGAGATGTATAGCAGCTTTACTTAAAATTCTACCAAGGTAGCCTCAAATTTGTACAAGTGTGCACCTGCAATTCAGCCTGTCTTAACATCACACAAAGAAGAGACACCACAGTGAAGACTGCAAATGAGATAGAAAGCTCAGGTAAATATCAGTGGTTGAGGTGAGATCCCAGGACTGGGGGGATATATAGTGCCAGTCATGGTCATGCGAAGAGTATTAGTTTCTCCCATGGCAAGTCAACACTCGACAACGATAGATTGAGACCGACTTCCTAGTTGCAAAGTTCTTGTACTAGAGCTACATCTGTGCAGCATAAAGTGCTTAGAGTTAGTATCAGCAGAGGCTATCAAATATATGTGGTGGAAATGCTTATCATGCATACAGACAATCATTCCATCAGATTTTGGGAACCACATGAAGTACCATCACTTTGATGACCTTCTTTACATGCTCTCCGAAGGCAGTAATTAATGAGTGGGTACTGTATGCAGTGCTGAGGAGCGTGACTGTCAGATTGTGCTATATGTAGGGCAATCATGCATCTGTGTCCTGTTAATGTGAGCTGAAGTTTAAGAGCAGGAGAACTAAAAGGAATTCACTGTTCATCCAGAAAAATCAAAGCAGAAGGATTGAGCCCTCTTTGACTGAACGATGCCAGTGTACACGTCTAAGAAGTGGCAAGCTTGTTTGAATGTGCTATGACTTGGACCTCTCCAAAGGAAGTCCTGTCAGTCTATCCCCTTCAAAACATTCAAAACTTGATGCCACTTCCCACCACCAATCAACCAATGAGAAAGAGGATAAATGACAGAGCTTTGAGGTGGGAATCTAGTTGACCATCCCTTGAGGGTGCTACTAGAAAGGTCATGAGCATTGCTATGTGGACAGTGCTTGAAGAGACGGCATACCAAATGGTGTGGTAGGATGCAAGAATTATGTGCTTGGCAGATTTGAAAGGCATTGTGGAGCAAGCTGTGACTTAGACTAGTTTGGGTTCAAAGGATGTTTGTGTAGAAATAATGAACCCATGAGTCGTTTTATATACGATAGTGCATAGTGATCTGATGGTCCTGTCAGGGAAATTTATTTCAAGAACAATGCGATACATTGCTGAAACTTCATGTCAGGAGTAGAAATGCCAGATTCCTTGAAAATCACAATCAGCACTCCTGAAATGTTCAATTTGATGAAAATGAGTCCAAGATCTGTGATATCAATCATACATTCTATGCATCAATGGGCTAATCTTTCATAGCAGATATAGAGATGTGAACAAATCTAACAGATCACCTGTGAGAGAATCGAACAAGATCCTGACAAATAAAATCAGTTGCTGGGAAGCAGGTGAGTATCACAATATTGAGGATACAGCATGTGATTTAAGCTCGACTCTTTAGTGACCATAGAAGTAATATTTATATTCCAACAACAGCAGCAGAAATTTGAAAAAAAAAAAATCTAGAGGCAGAGCTGCAGTTTATCCCAAGATTCAAGTTGCCATGGTGGAAGAAACCACGGACCGAACACTGACAGTTTCTGTCAAGCTGTTACTGAAAAAGAAAATACAGAACATAAAGGATAGAAAACAAAACGGTGATATGAAGCAGGCTAGAGGGAATGTGACGTAGCACAAGGGCGAAACACGGAGCCAGAAAAATGCGGGAATTGCCGTCCACGAATAGAAAATTTCCCACGAGAGACCCACAGAGGAAGAAACGGGGTGGGACGGCAAATGCCGCCATCACTGATTCCACGAATAGAATTTCCCACGGGGTTTCATGACAGCATAATAACCGAGTATCCTATATTCATAGGACTCGGAACCGACGAGAAGGTCTGGGTGGACCGAAGCATTTGCGATGAACTGCAAGCACAGCTGAGTCCTGTTGTAATGGCAATAAAGGGGTACTCACTAAGTTATCCATACAAGACCCAAGTGCCCGTATCCGCCACATAAACCGCCAAGCTTCTTAAGACTCGTCGTCATCTTGCATCAAACCGCGTTGGGATGCCGAATGAAATCTATGGGCTTTCTGCTTATTGAATGACGTGGTCCCCTTGATGATAAACGGGTTGACTACAATCGGACGACATGTTGCAATCTTACAACTTGGATTTCGCTTCGTCCATTTGCGTATCTTCCTTCCTTCTACGTAACCACTCTTTCCGCGCAATTATCCGTGACTGCGCCTTGACAGTCTTCCCAGAGGGTGTATGATCTGCCCAAGTCTCAGACTGGACACATAGGGCATATACAGATACTCACCAAACTCCCCATCCTTCAAGATAATCATTATCGGGACTGCGAATTTTGGTAACCTACATAAGCTGAGGGGCTACCGCAAATTAAACTTGGGCACAACCACTCACAGTCTCTTTGCAGTCTCCAAAAGCTTTTTCTCGCTGGGCTTTCCGTGATACCTGGGTTTGACAGTGACCAATGCGGTCACTAGCTCGCCCAGCCTTTCATCAGGTAGAGCTCTCCATCCGGCGCCAGCCACTCCCATCGTGGACGTCCACTGCAGCCGCTTCGAGAACACAAGGTTCGGTATACAGGGCGTTTTCCACGGAAACCGAGTCCTGCGAACCGTTAGCCTGTTATAGCAAGATATAGCAGGTTACTCACAACGCTCTCCCCACCACGGATAATGATGTCTTTAATCCTGTCTTTAACGTAGACATATCCTTCTTCATCGATGCAACCAAGATCTCCGGTCATTACCCATCCATCTATAGTCAGAACCCATTTCGATGAGCCTTCGAACACATGTAAGTAAGCTATCCTTCGCATACCTTGTCAGTAGCCGCTATGGAAGCACGTTTCATTAAGAACACCGTACACACCGAAACAAACCTTGGTCTCTGCGGTACCCTTTCATCATATTCAGTCCACGAAGCCATATCTCCCCTACCACCCCCGAGGCAGCTCTGACATTATCTTTCATTATGAGAATATCATTAACAGGCGTTATGAAACCGCTGAGATCGTATTCAGCTTAATCTTTATTACCCAAGACTCGGTGGACTAACCAGCTGTCCGGTTTGGCCACATAATCCGGTCCATTTGGTGGAACAAATTAGGTTCCTGGAAATATTATTTGAGAAGGGTATCCCTCACAGAAACCAACTGATGTCGCATTAGTCTCGGTGGAACCATAGCCTTGTCCGCTATGTAAAATCATTATTATTCTTGGGAATAGGAAGGTAGAGCGAAAGCATACAGCGTTGCATGTGGAAAGGCTTCTTTCGACCTGCGAAGGAGAGACAGCGCGACTGGAGCCCCTCCGATTGTGATCACTTCTATGGGAGAACCAGACAACGGGCTATCGGCTAGGTCGGTTATAAGCGATGGAACACTGCGATATAGTCAGCTGGCCCAGCCATGATACAGGTATCGACGTACCCACCCAAAGAGATTACACCCTCTTCCTTGCACAATCTGTAGTCGCGTCGTTGAATATGCTTCCACCTCAAAGGGCAGAGGACGGATTTACCTTACAGCTACGAAAACCAGTGTTAAAAAGATGGTCAAAACGGTGATGAAGTCAGAGATCACCTTCTGCTACATTCCATTTTATCATTAAGATCATCTTCGTTCCATAAAAGGCACCGGTGAGCTAAGGATAGATCAGGTCCTGCTTACTTGTATGAACTTTGCCTTACAGTCGCGCTGGTCCCAGTGGCATGGAACAGCGGTGATGAAAGCAAGATCCCATTATTCATGCCTGACGCGAGCGAAGAAGGGATCGGCACGCCTCGTCGAATGTAGTCTCTTCCGACGGTGGAGGCTGACTGACGAGACATATATGAGAGCAAGCATACCACACAGAAGATGGACCACACGTTGAAAAAAAACGTCAGGAACGCTCGCTGTGTGCTCAGGATGCCCTCTGCAATAGAACCATCGACAGATAAATCAAAAAACCGTACTAGGAAGGCCAGTGGTTCCCGACGTAAAGATGATCGTCGCGTTATCCTCCGGTATGATGCGAGGATCATCGCGTAGTATTTCTCCTGGATCCTTACGATACTCGAGGAATGCTTCGCTCCAACCGTCCCAGCCTTCCCAGTGGCCTTTTCCCTCATGATCCTGAAGAACAAGATATCCGGAGGCGCCTGATGCGCGTTTAAGATCAGCGGCTATTGGCTCGATCTGCTCCGCTCGTTCGGGATCAGTGTACATTTCGTAAGTGTGATACAATGCCTGAGAGGGTCTAATGGCAGCCACCTGTTACGCGGATCAGAACACTATGTCTGGGAACGTGTGAATACAGATCTTACGCGTTCACAAGAGCAGTGACAGCGCACAGAAGGTCTGCATTGCAATCTTCAGTAATGATCTCCATTTGTCGAGGAATCACAGTAAAACGCACGGCAAGCCCAAAACACAGTGTAGTAACTCAGAAGGTTTCGAGAACAAATGACGACGCGATCACCTGTACTGGAGGTGAGTAGACTGGCAGAATCGAAAAGCAGCGGGACTTCCTTACACTTCTTAACACCGTAAACGTCTCTAAACATAGCCGCGGTGACGACCATTTCTAGCATCTGCTGGAAGGTGTAGCGTTCTTTCTCGTATACCACACAGGTTTTGCCGACGTGCTCCTTGGTAGCATGTAAGAAGAATGCTCGTACGGAGGGCGAGAGATTCTTCCAGACTTTCAATACTCTCCCGTCGACATCCTATATCGCATTCAAATCATGCGCAGGTGCGCTGAAATGCTGGCGGCTCACCTGTGTTTCAATTTCGAGCGGACTTCCGGGTGCTGTGAGTATTGTGTCAGCTAGTAAACGTAGTGTTCGAATCAGCGCGTGGAAACCCTGGTAGGATGAACGTACCCTCCTCTATAGAGCAGCGCGGCTTCCAGTGCGTTGGGCCCGTCATGGATGCAGGATGAACGTTTGAGCTCTGAGACCGGTTGTGGAGAAGCGGAAGTCGAATCTCGACGGATCAGCGCCTACAGACCAAGGTTCTCAGAAAAGAACTGCTCGGAGTTTTGAAAGCAGAACCGAGTATTCTTCAAGGACTATCATAGTAGTTTACTCAACCTCTTACTTCGATGGGATCATATAAGCAATAATATTTGTTTACAAAAAAGAAACACTCAACTTTGCGCGCGCTCAATCACGATGCGACGCCTGTCTACTTAAAAAGCGCTCCAATCAGTAGGAGGATGGCTGATGGAAAGCATGAGTCGATCGTAAGGTCTTCCAGTCTGTAGACGGGAAAGTTAACGTAAGGACCGATTAATTACAGCTTTGGCTTTTGATCTCGTCTCGCACGAAACACCAGTGTAATCATTTGTTGTGCTCAAAGCCGAGGTGATGAATTCTTTCGTATGCGACAACTGGAGTGAAGTAAGATAGCAATCACGGAGGAGGGAGCTTCTTTACACCTGAGATTGAGGTACGTGGTATCTATAAACAATTGCGGAGGTCAAGCGGTAATCTCAATGATGATGAAAAGCACAGAGGGATGGATCTAGGCTCCGGAGTACTTATACAGGGATCTCGGACCGATTAGGCTGGTGTTGGTACTCGAGCGCTAGTGGTAGCGCTAATATAGTGCCCCCAGTCGCTCCTGCCTCTACGAAAGACCTGACTGGGACGTGACCTCCACCCCAGAGCCGCACGAATAATGTAAAACCGTGGTAGGAGGGCAGGGAGAATAGGAGGAGAATGCGGGTCTGGAAAATAGTCGTTTGCAGTAGTACTCCCTGGGCTTCTTGCGCAGCCTTTTTATGCACTTTGGAGGACAGTCATGGCTATGTGGAGAGAAGAAGACATGATACGCCGAAGGGAGATCGTCTGAGGGAACATCCATGGCTGTGCGGGAAGGAGGCGATTCAGTAGGGAGAAACAGATTCCTGCAAGGGACGATCGGGATTCGGAGTGAGGTCGCTTTACCCGCTGTATATCATTGATGAACCCTGTATACCCTAGCATTTGAGGCGTCGAACAAGCCGAGATACCTTAGATACACATGAAAGATGTGAGCCTTTTGACGAGCGACGGAAGCGAGTGAATGTGGCAGAGGTGGTGATAGCTGGGGATGTGCATGTGAAGGCCTGAGGATTTCCATGTCAAACTCGTGTCCAACGGTGAGCTACTACGACACCCTCGACGTCCTCGACTCCTTGCTGCAGTTGGTGTGCAGGAGATGCCGGATATGCGCAGCCATCGACTGGTATGAGGAGCAATGCGGTCGAATCAAAGCCAGTCCCGCATGCCCAAAGTCGACCAATGTCATCATCGTCAAGGTGGTGAAAGCCTGCTCCCAAGGAGGAAGGTGGTGGTACGATGCCGATATGCCGCGCCCGGCATAGCAGCCCGCCGGCACGACTGACTCCAATGTCCTGCATATATATAAGTAATGCAGTTGTTCTCTACTGGCCCTTCTTGCTCCTCCTACATTCTATCTATTATTCCTCACGTCACTCCCATCTTCTACCTCTGCAGAGCTCCTAGCCGAAGCTGACAGCAAGCATCTCACGACGCCAACAGCTGACACAATCTATTACCGCGCGCTCTGCTGATGAGATCACCATTTGGTGAGGAGGTACGATTTCGAGGGCCTTGGTTAAGGCCTGGTGTCGCCAGTCTTGTTGTAGATTCTGGATAACGAACAAGTAAGTTAAATACCATCCGATTACGATTCAAGAGCAGATACTAACATATCATTTTTTGACGAGCGTGAATTTGTTCGCACTATACTCTTCTCTCCGTGCGCTCTAGGCGGCATACTCGATGATGATTTGAAAGGACGCATCTGCGTATGTAAATAGAATATTACTGGTTCATCTCGCTCTCACGTGTACCGAGGATATGGATGGGGGAGCATAGATAGCGTCGCAAAGTGCTTTCAAGGATTTTCGTGTAACAGAGTCTCGTGTAGTACTCGTACTGTGTACTTGCAAGATTATCGATTAACCCTTGGTAGTATGTTCACAGTCATCTAGGCAAAGGATGAGAACTGAAAAGAGGAAATGATATAGTAACGTACCTCACATTATGCGTCGCATGCTTAGCATTGCCCATAGTGCCGTCTCCAGGTACTAGCCTCCGAGTTGCAATTACTGATGCTTCCGTCTCTCCATCTGTCTTTACCCGCTGTATGTGGTGACCGCGCCTCCGTGCAATGGTGTGTGCGCTACGACTCCCTCGACGTCCTCCGCTCCTTGCTGCAGTTGGTACGCAGGAGATGCCAGATATGCCGCAATGCGGGCGGATCGAAGCAAGGTCCATGCGCGCAAAGTCGACCAACGCCGTTACTGTCGAAAGTGGCGCAGCTTGCTGCCAAGGAGGGCTGCTTGACATCGAACTGGCTGTCTGTCCACTAAGGACGAAACCTAGTTGCGTCCCTGGTCCCACAACAAATCCTGTCTTCCCTATGGCATCCTTCGACCTCGCTACCTGTATCCGACGACTCCCAATCATCCTTTCCAGTATTCTGCCTAAGAAGCAACGAACGCTAAACAAGTTCACCACCATGCGGTCAGGATGCCGAGAAGGTGTCTTACCTCCAATTCCCAACGTTCGGTCTGTCTACGATAACTCAACGATGGTACGTGTTTTGGTGTGTATAATGAGTATCTGGATGTGCCCGAGGAGTCTGACGACGAGGAAGGCGAGGAAGTAGATTTACGAAAATACAAAGTTGCGCGCACGTCATAGAAGCAAGATGGGAAGCGGTAGATATCTATCAAGAAAGATTAACAAAACAGCACGGAAGATATCCCCTAGAAGATAACTTGCTTACTGTGTATACCGACGACTGATTCCGGAAGTCCCATTTCAGTCCTTCGCTGCGAGGATTGATCTGAATGGTGATCTGTGACTCTGTCCCTCATTTCGAGTGCACAGACAGACTTCGGCAATTATTTCGAGAAATAAAGGAGCAGCACGTCCCATCATGGTGATGGTTAGAAGGATTCGGCAGATGGAAGGCATAAGGATAGTCGTGGTCCATGCACAAGCTGATCACGTGCTCGCGTAGCCGGTGGCGGCCCTTATGACGTCGTCACGAACGACTTGAAGACGACCTTCAAGACCGCAGTAACGATTCCGACACCGGCCCTGGCAGCGACAACAACGACCAGGGGAGCTTCAATTCTGCTCTTTATTTTCGAGTATGGCGCTGTACATGATTCCCAAGCAATGGCCCGTTTTCATATAGCAGAGACCTCGGAAATCTGGGTACCAATACTAGTACGTCTCCTTTCAACGCGTCACTCCAACTCTCTGCTGAAAATCTCAGGTATACTGAAACCAAAATGAGCATGTTCTCGTGCTCCACAGCTCCTCTATGAGATGCTGTCTCTCGCTAGGCCCCCTCATGTTTTCGAACCACTACTTGTCTGAGGTCTCGACTATGTCTCCAATTTCCTCAGCGTCCACGGAATGTCTGGTAGATACCAACTGCATTTCAGGACACCACCAGGCAGGACCCATGGGCGACTTCATTCTGGCTTCTACAGCCCAAACTGCTACAGCCAGTGGATTACGCGATAGTTACATCGCCTTTGAAACCCAAGTTTGCATCGCTAGACGACACCAAGCAGCAGTTAAAGGACTGATAGACTCCGTCTGGAAAGAGTCCAGCATCCAACTCTCACCAAGTACGTCTGTTTTGGTATCCTAATCGACGTCTGTCCGACTATTAGTCCTCGTACAGCTGAACTTTCCAAGACCAAAGCTCTGGTAGACCAAGACGCAGAGCGATGCAAATCTCGACTGATGCTGTGCAGGACTCAGTCTATGAAGGTACGTGGATTCATCTCCTGCAATTACTTTTCTCTCATCTCGCTTAGGGAAGGAAATGGAGAAAAGATGAAACAGATACGCCCGATAAAATGTTCACCTGAAGCAAGGATCTTTCCTGTACCTTAGCCTTTGAACACTTGCTACATCGCTATTCGCTATCCCAAGTTTTTCCACCACAATTCCTGCTGTATCAATTCGATTTTATATCACTAGGCAGTCGTTTGCACAGCCTCTTTTCCAAGTCTCAGACCGATCAAGCCAGTCAACGAAAAATCAAAACTACGAAAGGCTGTAGCATATCCGGAAGGTTCGTAGGGACGCGAAGCGTGGACACCCGCGACCACACGTTCTTTCGCCATGCTTAGTACCGTATGAGCATGTCGTTGGTTCTACAGGAGCGGGGTGAGTATCCTGGCAGATAGGCCAGGATCGACAGTCTCATGTGAGGTATGGCAACGATGCTGTGAAAGGTTGAGCCATGTCGACCAGGTGGTGTCGTGGTGGGTGAACCCACCGGCTCTTCGGATATGCGCCTAGCTGGATTGGACATCCCCGGATTCTTGCCACGCCTGGCGGGCTCTGCTGATGAGATCACCGTTTGGTGAGGAGGTATGATTTCGGGGGCGTTAGTTGAGGTCTGGTGTCGCCAGTCCTGTTGTATAATCTGGATGAAATACAAGTTCGTTCGATCCTCCCGATTAAGAACCAAGAGCAGATACTAACATATCATTTTTGGCAAGCTTTGACCGCTCAGGTTACCTTATAAGATGCTATATACCGTACGAGGATGTTTACAATTCATACTTCGGTAAAGCCGCATATAATTTATTCACAAGCGCCGAACGAACAGCACCGCTCCAAGTATTTCATATCTTGAAGGTTGGCCTATTCTTTCCTCGACCTCTTTCCCACTCCCTCTGGGCTATGACCTTTAACGGACCTTTGATAATCTTCCCAGAAGCTGTGTGATCTGTGCCCAATCTCTGATTCAGAACCATCTTCAGTTAAGCAATACCGTACTCACCAAATCCATGATTATACAGAATAATCATCACCGGAACAGCATATTTGGGTAACCTTTCCAGACCGATTACTTTGAGGAAAGCTAGAACCGGAAGATGGATACACTTACAGTTTCTCGGCAGTTGCCGTGAGTTTCTCCTCGTCGACTAATCCACCATACCCAGACTTGAGGGTCACCAATGCTACAGGCAATTCCCCCGCATACTCGTCAGGTACGCCAACTACTGCCGCTTCCAATACCCCCGGTTCGGTGTACAGGGCATTCTCGACGAAAACGGAATCCTATGAATTCGCCCATCACTGAGAGTTGTATAACGTACTACAATGGCACTCACAACGTTATAACTAGCCCTGATGATGATATCTTTGATCCTGTCCGTGATGTAAACATAACCACCTTCATCAATTCGTCCAAGATCACCGGTCATCAGCCATCCGTCTTTAGTAAGGACCTGTATCAGAAGTTCAGTCACCATAGACACCTGTAAATAAGGGATCCCACCTTATCAGTAGTAGCTGCAGCCGTTTTCCAAAAGTGTAAGCCTGTGTACCAATGAGATAAACGATCTTGGAACCAACCTTCATCGCCGTAATACCCTTTCATCACATTTGGACCGCGAAGCCAAATCTCTCCCACCACTCCCGGCGCAGCTTTAGCACCATCTTTCATTATCAGAATCTCATTGACAGAAGCCACGAAACCACTGCAATCGAAATAGTTTAAATACGAGAGAAACAGAACAAACAGACTAACCAGCTATCTGGCCTCGCATCGTAATCCGGTCCACCTGGGAGCAGATCAGGCCTCTGCTGTAATCTGTTTACGAAAGAATTTCCTCACCGAAGCCTACCGCGGCGGCATTCGTCTCGGTTAGACCATATACTTGAAAGCTACAAGATAACCCGAATAAGTGCCGGCTATTGGACCGACTGGGACGCACTTACACGGTAGCGAGGGGAAATGCTTGTCTAAATCTTTGAAGGTGAGACGGTGCAACGGGGGTACCTCCATATGATATGCTTTTTATCGAAGTTTTGCATATCGCGCTCTCAGCGAGCTCTCTAATGGTTAAAGGTGAACTGCAACACCGTTAACTAACGCGAACACGAAAACATAGATACGGACCCGGCGAGCCGAATGACATTCTCTGTTTTACACAGTCTAGAATGAAGTATCAGTCAGCAAGTAAGAAAGCAGTACCGAATGAAAAGGATGGAATTACTCTGCAGCTGCAACTATTGAGTAAAAATGAGACCTTTAAACACGAACGAAGTCAATTCTTGCCTTCATGTACATTCAATGTGCGTGTTAAAACAAACTTGAATCCTTGAACAGCACAGTGCATCTGAAAATGGGTGAATATTGGTTCGTTACCATGTCGGCTGCCAGTCTTACAATCGCGAGGATGAAAGAAGCCTGTGACAACATCCCTGGAAACAGGAAACCTTCCTGAGGACCTGCACTGGGTGCCTGAAGGAGTGGTTCGCCTCGTCGAAGGCGGTCTCTCCCTGTCAACAAAGCTATCTAGTACGATTCATAAGCTCGACGAAATAGTTCACAGAAAAGAGGACATACATCAAATAAGGGAGTCAAGAATGCACGATGTGTGCTCAAGACACCCTCTTGAATGAACAACGTCATTGATGAGCTGTGCAACAGGTTCAGCTACTACGTACTTGGTAAGCCAGTGGTCCCCGACGTAAAGATAATCATTGCGTTATCTTCAGGTGAAATTTGAGGATCGTCATTCAGCACCGAGCCAATATCTCCATCGTATTCGGAGAAGACTCTACTCCAAACGTCCATGCCTTCCCAATGACCTTTCCCCTCGTGATCCTCGAGGACGAGACATCTTGACGCACCACATGCGAGCCTAAGCTCAGCACCAATCGGTTCGATCATGTCAGCTCGCTCGGTGTCGAGGATGATCAGTGAGCATTTTGTAAGCGTTATACAGTGCCGGAGCGGCTCCAATGGCAGCCACCTTTCGGTATTATCAGAAAACGACGAATGAAAAAGCATGCAGAAGCAAATGTTACATGTTCACAAGAGCGGTGATGGCACCCAGGATATCTGCTACAGGATTGAGTCCTTGGTTTTGAAGCAGACGTGAGATGCAACGCACGGCAAGCCCAAAACACGATCAAGTAAGTCGGACAATTTCGAGAGCAGATGGTTACTCGATCCCCTACCCCGAAAGTGAGTGAGTAGGTGGTTTTACTAAAAAAAAAAACAACAGGATGTCCTTACCTTTCTTAATACCGTAAACATCTCTCAAAATGGCGGAACATTTGACAGCCTTCTCTAATATCTCCTGGTAGGTGTGGCGCTCTTTCTCGTATACTATATAGACTTTGTCGGCGTGTTTCTTGGTCGAGTACAAAAAGAGGTGCCGCAAGGATGGCCAGAGATTCTTCCATACTTTCAGGACCCTCCCGTTAATGACCTATATTGCGTTTAGACCTTCAAAGAGTAGATGGCAGCTCAGAGCACTGACTCGAGTTTCAATTTCGAGCAAACTTCCTGGTCCTGTGAGTATTCTGTCGGCTAGTCAAATTAGCATGCGAATGTCCTGGCATTTTTTTGTCAGTAAGCTCACCTTCCTCGATAGAGCAGCACGGGGTTTGTGTTTTAGCATCCGCCATGGTTGATAAAAGTACTGTCTGTGGACCATGGAGTAGAGTATATATACTCTGTGGTTGAGAAAAGCCGTCCGGAAGGCGAGTCAGACACCGAGTCCAGCGCTATCGCACCCTCCGTTGAATGGTCCTCGGTGCATCAAGACAACCGATAAAAGGTCAAAAATATTATATATGCTGGCACTAATGAACGTCCTCATCGGATATTTGGGGGCTTCTGAAACTTATTGCTTCCATAGACTTGGAGCTGCCAATAATTTAGTGATTTACAAGAGCGGGCTTGGGCCTGGCTTTCGAGTTCAGATCCCCCGAGTCCCCCGACCCTCCCGAGCCCACCTTGAAACCCTACAAGGCTTGGGCCTGACTCGGAGTTCGGCCAGGGCCTGTAACAAGGAACACATCTCATATTTGTTGACGTGTATTGGAATCGTCTAGCAATACCAGAATTAGCATTCAAACGTTCTATCTAACGAACCTTTGTCTCCCGCAATCAGATTCCAGCCTCGGCGTTGAGCTCAGGAAACACGTTCAAAATCATGGCCAGAGATGTGGAGTGACAGTTCAGACAAAGATACACGTAGTCACAGTGCCTATTTCTAATTAACTATCTCTCACGTTCCCGGTAGCTAGCATACTCACCGGCCTGATCCCAATTCCTGCTCCATCTTCATCAATTTCGCGTTCCTCCATCATTCGACTTTGCCTGTAGGGGCACTGAGACTCCCACACTACAAATGTACTAGGTGCTGGGCTATGATCCTTAACGGTGCTTTGATAATCTTCCCAGAAGACGTGTGATCTGTGCCCCAATCTTCGATTCAAATTCATCTTCAGTGACCCAATGCAGCACTCACCAAATCCACGATCGTGCAGAATAATCATTGCCGGAACGGCAGATTTGGGTAGCCTTTCCAGACCGATCACTTTGAGGGCCAGAACGGGCGGAGCGTAGGTACACTCACAATTGCTCTGCAGTCACCATGAGTTTTCTCCTCATCGACTAATCCGTCATATCCAGGCTCTCGAGTCACCAACGCCACAAGCAACTCCCCAAGCGTTCGTCGGGTGCACCGACTGGACTCCTCGCACTGGGAGATTGTGACGAACTTTCTCTCTGTGTAAAGGTGGAAGTGAAGTGGCGCTCGCGGTGGTGGAATCAGTGCTCGACAGGGGAAGCGATGTGGGCTGGGAAAGCAGCGTCGGTTGCGAAAGTGATATCGACTGAGACTACGAACTACTGGTCACATTTGCGGTTGTCCATGCGCAATCCGTGAACGAATTATTCCCGTCAGCAGCATTGACGTTCTTCATTTGTTCGTGGGACCACATACTACCAGTTTAACGTCAGAATGAAGGAAACTGCACCGAGGATAGATCCAACATACTAGAACTTGTCAGTGGAAGATTCAGACTATGTCTTCAGATCACAGCGGAAGCGTGGCATCCATCGGCCCAGAATATAGCGTCATAGAGTCTCTTGTGCGTTCGGCCTAGTAAAAAGTTCAGTTCTAACAAAGAGTGGAAGCACAAGTAGTCTTACACGCCGTCTCCCCCACGACACTCGTATACCGGTCTGATCCGCTATCTATATGGTCTTGCGCAAGCAGACGAGGAGCCAGGAATGAGAGATCGAAGAGAACTGGAAGGGGAGAGATAGTTGTATCCATCCAAGCTAGGGCAAGGGAAGGGAAGGGAAGGGAAGGGAAGAAGGGAAGACGCTCAAGAGATAGGAAGTCGTTGCACGTAATGTGATATGCCAAAACTTCTCCAGCACGATCAGCCGCCTATATACCGGAGAGATTGAGGCAAAGAATCACGATGCGTCCCCTCTGTTTAGTTTAGTCCTTGGCCCTTCAGAGGAATGTCAACATGTATGGTTCGTTCCAAGGAGTCAACGCAAAGCAAATAGCAGTGTCCACAATACAACAGCAACAGCGAATACAAATCCCTCTAAATATGTACGCTAAAGGAAAATTAGAGGAAAGGAAAAATTGCGGGTAGGACAGATGACACGTACAATAGATTACAACAATAAAAATGGCTGAATCTGAGCACTCTGAGTATCAAAGTCAGAAAAGATATGCAGGAATAATAGAGAGTGCTCACCACTTTCTTCTCCTCGCGTATTGCCAATACGACAAAACCACCAACGCCAAGATAACCACCAAAGCACTACAAAAAACGATCCCACCAACCAGCGCGGCCAATGCTGCTTTGCCTACTTCCAAGTCTCTGTTATCCTCTTCCGGGATGCAAACAGCGCCCAACGGAGCCGGAAATCGGGTCTGAGGATCGTTGTCGTCGAAGAAAATACTGCCCACTTCCAGCATCTTTACAAGGGTATAGCCTGTGAGCTAATATGCCTCTGCGTCGTATTCGAGCTGCCATTACTGGCGCTTCCGCCTCTCCGTCACCCGCTGGATGTCATCAATGGCCTTGTACTCTCAGTATTTGAGGCATCGAACAAGGAGCCACGATACGCGTGAAGATGATGGGTGCGAGCGTTGGACGGCAGCAGGAGCGGAACGTGGCACAACAGCAGAAACAGGTGGGTGAGATTCTGATGCCTCGGAATGTAACGATTTGCGGTGAAAGTCGTGTCCAACGATGACCGGCGTCGGCGTCGGCGTGTACGCTTCCCTCGACGTCCTCAGGTACTGGCTTCAGTTGGTTTGCAAGAGACGCTGGATATGCCGGCGGCATAAACTGATATCATAGCAATGCAGTCGAATCTAAGCAAGGTCCACGCACGCAAAGTCGACCAATGTCGTCGCCGTCAAAGGTGGTGCAGCTCGCTGCCAAGGAGGGCTACTCAGTGCTCATGAAGGTGATGGGTATAAAAGCCGACTGCCGACAATGTCCGATGCCGATTGCCGCTCCCAGCATGAGCAGCCGGCCGGCACGGCTGTAGTCGGCGTCCAGCAGCCTGTCATTTCAATGTCACCCTCAACGGCAGTCCCAAGCTTGGAGAGCACATACTTTCCCGGGGCCTCCCAGCCTGCACATTGATGGAAACATTCCCACAACCAATGTGAGACATTCTTCACACATGTGAATACTGAAGGGTGTAATTCCGGATAATACAAAGAATCATAATACACAGGGTACGCGGTTTGGCAATACGACTCAGATGATGTCCGAATCACAAACGACGCCGACGCCGACGACGACTTGCACGATCCCGACACCGGCCCTGGCAGCGACAACAACTACCAGAAGGTGAAATTCTACCCTCTACCTTTCTCTTAGAGCCCGGTTCTGTACACAATTCCCAAGCAATGCCTCGTTCACGTAGCAGATGGCGACCTCGGAAAATTGAGTACCAGTACCACTTCCAACGCGTCACCAAGACTGTTGAAAAATTCAAGTATACCGAAACCAAAATGGGCACATTATTCTGCTCCACAGCTCTTCAATGAGACGCTGTCTCTTGAGTTTTCCTTTCACCTACCTCACTGTAACAATTCAATTTTCTACCGCTCGTCTATTAAACAGTCATGTGCATAGCCCTTTGGGTATGCACCTAGCTTGATTGGACATCCCCAGAGTCTCGCCATGTCTGGCGCGCTCTGCTGATGAGATCACCGTTTGGTGAGGAAGTACGATTTCGAGGGCGTCGGTTGAGGCTTGGTGTCGCCAGTCCTGTTGTATAATCTGGATAAGAAACAAGTACGTTTAATCCTCTTGATTGAGAGTCAAGAGCTGATACTAACATATCAGTTTTGGCAAGCTTTGATTGTTTAGGTTACATTATAAGATACTATATACTGTACGACGATGTTTACCATTCATACTTTGAAGCCGCATATAATGTATTCACAAGTGCCGAACGAACAGCACCGCTCTAAATATTTCATAACCAGAAGGTTAGCCTATTCTTTCCTCGACCTCTTTTCCCACTCCCTCTGGGCTATGACCCTCAACGGCTTTTTGATAATCTTCCCAAGAGCTGTGTGATCTGTGCCCAATCTCTGATTCAGAACCATCTTCAGTTAAACAATACAGCACTCACCAAATCCACGACCATACAGAATAATCATCACTGGAACAGCATATTTGGGTAACCTTTCCAGGCAAATTACTTTGAGGAAGGTTAGAACCGGAAGATAAATACACTTACAGTTTCTCAGCAGTCGCCGTGAGTTTCTCCTCATCGACTAATCCACCATACCCAGACTTGAGGGTCACCAATGCTACAGGCAATTCCCCCACATATTCGTCAGGTACGCCAACAACTGCCGCTTCCAATACACCCGGTTCGGTGTATAGGGCATTCTCGACGGAAACCGAATCCTATGAATTCGCCCATCACTGAGAGTTGTATAACATACTACAATAGCACTCACAATATTATAACTAGCCCTGATGATGATATCTTTGATCCTGTCTGTGATGTAAACATAACCACCTTCGTCTATCCGTCCAAGATCGCCGGTCATCAGCCATCCGTCTTTAGTAAGGACCTGTATCAAAGTTCAGTCGTCACAGGCACCTGCAAATAAGGGATCCCACTTGATCAGTAGTAGCTGCAGCCATTGTCCAAACGTGTAAGCATGTGTACCAGTGAGATAAACGATCCTGGGACCAACCTTCGTCACCGTAATACCCTTTCATCACATTCGGACCACGAAGCCAAATCTCTCCCACCACTCCCGGCGCAGCTTTAGCACCATCCTTCATTATCAGAATCTCATTGACAGGAAGCACGAAACCACTGCAATTGGAACAGTTTAATTACGAGAGAAACAGAACAAACAGACTCACCAGCTATCTGGCCTCACATTGTAATCCGGTCCACCTAGGGGCAGATCAGGCCTCTGCTGTAATCTGTTTACAACAGGATTTCTGACTCACCGAAGCCTACCGCGCCAGTATTCGTCTCGGTTAGACCATATGTTTGAAAGCTACAAGATAACCCGAATAAGCGCCAACCACTGGACCAGCTGGGACACACTTACACGGTAGCGAGAGGAAATGCTTGTCTACATCTTTGAAGGTGAGACGGTGCAATGGGAGTACCTCCATATGATATCCTTTTTATTGAAGTTTTGCATATCGCGCTCTCAGCGAGCTCTCTAATGGTTAAAGGTGAACTGCAACACCGTTAACTAATGCGAGCATGAAAACATAGATACGCACCCGACGAGCCGAATGATATTCTCCGTTTTACACAGTCTAGAATGAAGTATTAGTTAGCAGGCAAGAAAGCTGTACCAAATGAAAAGGATGGAATTACTCTGCAGCTGCAAGTATTGAGTAAGAATGAGACCTTCAAGTAAACACGAACGAAGTCAATTCTTGCCTTCATGTACATTCCATGTGCGTGTTAAAACAATCCTGATTCCTTGAACAGCACAATGCATCTGAAAACGGGTGAATATTGGTTCGTTACCATGTCGGCTGCCAGTCTTACAGTTGAGAAAACTGAAGAGGTCAGCGATAGTATCCTCGGAAGCAGCGAACCTTCCTGAGGACCTGCGCTAGGTGTCGGAGGGAATGACTCCCCTCGTCGAAGACAATCTCTCCCTATCAACGAAGCCGCCTAATACGATTCATGAGAGGAACAAAATGCTTCACAGAAAAGAGGACATACATTGAATAGGGGAGTCAATAGTGCACGTTGCGAGCTCAAAACACCCTCTTAAGCAGAGCGCAGAAATTGATAAACAGTAAAACCGATCGATCCAACGAAACGTACGTACTTGGTAAGCCAGTGGTCCCCGATGTGAAAGTAATCGCCGCATCATCTTCCGGTGAGATTTGAGGATCGTCACTGAGCACATTCCCGGGATCTCCATCGTATTCGGAGAAGACTCTACTCCAAACGTCCATACCTTCCCAATGGCCTTTTCCCTCGTGATCCTCAAGGACAAGATATCTTGATGCACCACATGCGAGCCTAAGCTCAGCACCAATCGGTTCGACCATATCAGCTCGCTCGGTGTCAAGGATGATCAGTGTGCACTTTGTGAGCATAATACAGTGTCGGAGCGGCTCCAATGGCAGCCACCTTTTGGTATGATCAGAAAACGAAGAATGTAAAAGCATGTGGAAGCAAATTTTTTTTACATGTTCACAAGAGCGATGACGGCACCCAGAAGATCTGCCACAAGATTGAGTCTTTGACTTTACATGAGACGCAAGGAGATGCAACGGACGACAAGCCCAAAACACGACCAAGTAAGTAGGACAATTTCGGGAGCAGATGGTTACTCGATCCCCTGCCCCGAAAGTGAGTAAGTAGGTGGTGTCACTAACAAAACAAGATGTCCTTACCTTTCTTAATGCCATAAACATCTCTCAAAATGGCGGAACATTTGACTGCCTTCTCTAATATGTCCTGGTATGTGTGACGCTCTTTCTCGTATACTATATAGATTTTGTCGGTGTGCTTCTTGGTTGAGTACAAAAAGAGGTGCCGCAAGGATGGCCAGAGATTCTTCCAGACTTTCAAGACCCTCCCGTCTATGACCTATATCATTGCATTTAGACTGTCAAAGAGTAGAGGGTAGCTCAGAGCACTAACTCGAGTTTCAATTTCGAGCAAACTTCCGGGTCCTGTGAGTATTCTGTCGGCTAGTCAGATTAGCGTGCGAATTTCCTAGCATTTTTTTTGTTCGTAAGCTCACCTTCCTTGATAGAGCAGCGCGGGGTTTGTGTTTTAGCATCCGCCATGATTGATAAAAGTTACCATCTGTGAACCATGAAGTGGAGTATATATACTCTATGGTTGAGAAGAGCCGTCCGGAAAGACACCGAGTCCAACGCTATCGCGCCCTCCATTGAATGGTTCTCAGTGCATCCAGACAACCGACACAAGGTCGAAAACATTGTACATGCTGGCACTAATGAACGTCCTCATCGGGGGCTTCTGATACTTATCGCTTTCATAGACTCGGAGCTGCCAATAATTCATTGATTTACAGGGACGGGCTTGGGCCTGTAGGCTGTGACAAGGATCACATCTCATATTTGTAGACAGGATGTGGCGGTGTATTTCAATAGTCTAGCAATACCAGAATTAGCATTCGAACGTTCTATCTAACGAACCTTTGTCTCCCGCAATCAGATTCCAGCCTCGGCGTTGAGCTCAGGAAACACGTTCAAAATCATGGCCAGAGATGTGGAGTGACAGTTCAGACAAAGATACACGTAGTCACAGTGCCTATTTCTAATTAACTATCTCTCACGTTCCTGGTAGCTAGCATACTCACCGACCTGAACCCAATTTCTGCTCCATCTTCATTAATTTGACGTTTCTCTATTATTCGACCTTGCATAGCAACCGCTCACAGGAAGAATATGGTGTAGGGGCACTGAGACTCGCGCATCACAAAGACTAGGTGGAGAGCGCGACTGACATGGTGGTGGTTAAGGAAAGACGAGTGATGTGGCTGTGTAGGCAATTTAGCGACACCTTCAGGGCTCATTCTATTCTAATCACACTGTTGAGTGCGTCTCGCAGAGTAGAGGCTCCTCGCAGGGAGCGAGAAGAGACAATAGCATATCATGTCAGGAAGAAATTATATTTAAGGGGGGTACAAAGGTATGGAATTAAACACTTGGAAAATGTCGATATTTTGAATATAATTTATTTGCAAGCATCCAACGACACGGCACCGACTTGAGTAGTGCCGTATCTACCCTACAGTGTTCTTTCCTCCGTCCTCCTTTCCCACTCCCTCTAAGCTATGACCCTTAACGGCGCTTTGGTAATCTTCCCAGAAGACGTGTAATCTGTGCCCTAATCTTCGATTAAAATCCATCTTCAGTTAACCAATACAGCACTCACCAATCCACAATCATGCAGAACAATCATCGCCGGAACAACATATCTAGGTAACTTTTCTAGACCGATTACTTTGAGGACCAGAACAGGTGGAGCGTAGGTACACTCACAATTTCGTTTCCTCCTCATCGGCTAATTCGTTATATCCAGGCTCGAGAGTCACGAACACTACAGGCAACACCCCCAAGTGTTCGTTGGATGCACCGACTGGACTCCTCGCACTGGGAGATTTTGGCGAACTTTCTCTCCGTGTAAAGGTGGAAGCTGAAGTAACTCTCGTGGTGGTGGAACCAGTGCTCGACAGGGGAAGCGACGTAGACAAAGAAAGCAGCGTCAGGTGCGAAAGCAACATCAGCTGAGACTGCAAACTACTGGTTATATTCAGAGTTGTCGATGCAGCGATGCATAAACGAATTATTCCCATCGGCAGCATTAGTCTTTTCCATTTGTTCACGGGACCACGTACTACCAGTACAACGTCAGAATGGAGGAAACTATATCGAGGATAGATCCAACGTACGAGAGTAAGAATCAGGCTATGTTTTCAGATCACAGCGGAAGCGTGGCACATCAGCCCAAAATATAGCGTCATAGAAGCTCTTGTGCGTTCAGCCCGGTAAAAACTCAGTTCCAACGAAGAGTGGAAACACAAGTATTCTCACACGACGTCTCCCCCATGACACTCGTATACAAGTCTGATCCACTATCTATATGGTCTTGCACAAGGAGACGAGGAACCAGAAATGAGAGACGAAGGAGAGCTTGAAGGAGAGAGCTTGTTGGATCCATCCAAGCTAGTAGGTGGGAAGAGAGAGATAAGAAAGTCGTTGCACGTAATGAGATATACCGAACCTTCTCCGGTATGATCAGCGGCCTATATACCGAAGATTGAGGTAAGGATCCCAATGCGACGCCTATATTTACTTGAAAAGCGCTCCAATAAGTAGAAGGATGACTGATGGAAAGCATGAGTTGATCGTAGGGTCTTCCAGTCTGTAGACGGGAAAGTTAGCGGCCTCAACCAAGGACTGATTATTTACAGCGTTGGCTTTTTGATCCCGAAACACCGATGCAATCATTTGTTGTGCTCAAAGCCGAGGTGATGATTCCTTCGTATGCGATAACTCTAGCTTGAGTGAAGTGAGATAGCGATCACCTAGGAGGGAGCTTCCTTACGTCCGAGCTTGAGGTCCTTGGCATCTATAAACAGATACGGAGGTCGAAGCGGTAATCACAACGGTGATGAAAGGTACAAAGAAGGGGATAGACTTAGACTTTGGAGTACTCACACAAGGATCTTGGACCGATAAGGGTGGTGTTGGTTCTCGAACGATGAAAGATATGGACGTAAACGATCATCTTCCACATAATGTCAATGCAAAGTTTACAAACGTCGGACTGCTGGGGTCCCTGGTGGAATTCGACAGGCAGTAGATCATGTTTAACGACATAGATCTTTCTAGATATGTATGCTGAAGGAAAATTAGAGCAAAGAATGCAGGTAAGATAGATGGCACGTACAATATATTACAACAATAAAGAATGGCTGAAATCTGAGCATCGAAATCAGAATAGATATGCAGGAATAATATAGAGAGCTCACCACTTTCTTCTCTTCGTGTATTGCCAATACGACAAAATCCCCATCGCCACCAAACCACTACAAAAAACGACACCACCGACGAACGCCTTCTTTACCTGCCTTCAAGTCTCTGCTATACTCTTCCGGGATGCAAATGGGCAGGCGACAAAGACCAGCATAAACTCGCACGGCAGGAATTTTCTCCAGAGTCCTACCACGTCTGAGATCTGAGGCTCATAGCCATCGAAGGAAATGCTGCCTGCCTCCAGCGTCTTTGCGAGGGTGCCGCATATGAATTGATACGCCTTTGCGTCGTATTCGAATTAATCCCTCCGTCTCTCCGTCCGGCTTCAATCGCAATGACCCAGTACTCCCAACATCTGAGGCGTCATACAAGCCACGATATGCATGAGGGTAATGGATGCGAGGCTTTGACGGGTGGCGGAGCGAAACACTCAAGTCTAATGGTGCCCATGCGCCTGTGAGATGGCGTGCCCTACGACTGCCTTGACGTCCTCAGTTACCGCGTGCAGTTGGTGCTGGATATGCAGCTGCCATCAACCGTGTCAAAGCAAAGATCCACACGCGCAAAGTCGACCAATGTCGTCACCGTCAAGGTTGCTCCCAAGGAAGGCTGCTATTGAAGGTGATGGCGTTCGGCTGATGCCGATATGCCGCTCCAAGCATTAGCAGCCGGCCGGCACGGCTTCATTCAGGGTCCTGCAGTCGTTTCGATGTCAGCCTCAAATACCGTCCCAAACTTGGAGAGCACATACTTTTCCGGAGCCTTCCTGCAGCTGTATCCTCACTCGCCACCAGACTGTCCTGAAAATGATCGGGGCACCTACGCAAAGGACGCGTTGGTCATGACCCAGATCACAGATCGCCTGAATGCCTCCATAGCTCGCCGAGTTCCCATTCCTCCGACTACGCCCGCTAATGTTTCCATCGTCCTCGATAAGCGGCTTCTCTCCAGTACTGAGCGTATCGCGCATGTCTGGACAGCTCATATCCACAATTCTTCACCCAATGCCACTGTATACCCATCGACCATGGTCGCAAAAATCTATGATCCCGTTTATTTCGGAGAGGCGCAGTACTTTGATCCCTTCAACTTTCTTGATTTATTCGTCTCGCGGGAGACACAGGCATATCAACATCTAAAGTGTCTTTACGGGACGAAGGTTCCGCATTTCTACGGGCATTTTGTAGCTCCCCTACCCGCTCAGTGCAATAGAACCGTCAACATCATCTTATTGGAGTACATCCACGGCAGGGACATACGGGACCTTGTTCCTGCAGAAAAGGCGGAAGAGGCACTGTGCAGCACGCACAAGGACATGCTCATCAATGCGGCCCTCCGGCTTTACTTTGACATCTATGCGTTGGGGGTCGAACAGCTAGACATGCAACCCAGGAACGTGATATTGCGTCCTAGGCGCAAAGACGGGCCTTTCTGCTCGACAAAAGGATGCCCGTTGCTCTATGAGGCGGATTGTGAGGATATGCAGATGGTAATGGTGGATTTTGAGGTGGTGAAATTCCGAGAGCCGGATAGCCAGTTCAGTGATCCTGTCACCCAGGTGGTCTATGTCGACAACGTAAAGTCGTTGTATCACGAAGGTTGGTTGGTGAACATGATGCCTTGATTAGTTATATCACCCTCGTACTATAATAGATACACATCCGTATAAATTATTGTTGATCCATCTTCAAGTTCCTCGCATGGGTGAAGAAGTCCTGTTGAAATACAAGTAAGTTTAATTCCCTCAATAAAGAGTCAAGACGTATCATTTCAGTGTTGCTCCCAGCCACACTCCTTAGGATTCGTCGTTGTCTTATATCGAACCACGTTGGGATGTCGAATGAAATGAGGCGCTTACATGGAACCATACTAGTTGACTACACATGGTTTCTCTGCGAAGCCGCGCTGTTCAGTACTACTGCTAATCCATCTAAAAGCCTTTTGCTCCTTGAATAACGTGTTCTCCTCGATAATAAATGGGTTGACTGCAATCGATACTACGGGTTACAATATTACAGCTTGGATTTCGCTTTGTCCATTCGCCCCTCTTCCTTCCTTCTGCACACCCACTCTTCTTGTGCCATTGCCCTTAACTGCACCTTGATAATCTTCCCAGAGGGCGTATGATCTGCCCGTTTTTTAGAATGTGCGCGTTGAAAATACATAAGAACTCACCAAACTCCCCATCCTTCAAAATAATCATTACCGGGACTGCGAACTTTGGTAACCTACACAGGCTGAGGATCTGCTGCAACTCTAACTTGAAGCATGACCACTCACAGTCTCCTCGCAGTCTCCAAAAGCTTTTTCTCGCTGATCTTCCCGCGATACCCAGGTTTGACGGTAACCAATGCGGTCACTAGCTCGCCCAGCCGTTCATCGGGTACGCCCACTGCAGCTGCCTCCAGAACACCAGGTTCGGTGTACAGGGCGTTCTCCACAGAAACAGAGTCCTGTGCACCGTTAGCTCGTTGTACCAAGATATAGCAGGCTACTCACGATGTTCTCTCCACCACGGATAATGATATCCTTGATCCTGTCCTTAACGTAGACATACCCTTCTTCATCGATGCAACCAAGATCTCCGGTCATTACCCATCCATCTTTAGTCAGAACCTATTCCGATCAGCCCTCGAACACATGTAAGTAAGCTATCCTTCGCATACCTTGTCAGTAGCCGCTGTGGAAGCTCGATGTAAGCACGTTTAATTAAGGACACAGTACGCGCCGAAACAAACCTTGGTCTCCATAGTACCCTTTCATTATATTCGGCCCACGAAGCCATATCTCCCCAACTACCCCCGGGGCGGCTCTGACATTATCTTTCATTATCAAAATATCATTAACAGGCGTTACGAAACCACTGAGATCGTGTTTAGCTTAACATTGAATACCCAAGACACGATGGACTGACCAACTGCCAGGTTTGGCCACATAATCGGGCCCATCTGGTGGAACAAGTTAGGTTCTTGGAAGTATTGTCTGAGAAGGGTATCTCTCACAGAAACCAACTGATGTCGCATTAGTCTCGGTGGAACCATAGCCTTGTCCGCTATGTAAAATCATTATTATTCTTGGGAACAGGGAGGTAGAGCGAGAACATACACCGATGCATGTGGAAAGGCTTCTTTCGACCTGCGAAGGAGAGACGGCGCGACTGGAGCCCCTCCGATTGTGATCACTTCTATGGAGAAACCAGACAACGGGCTATCGGCTAGGTCGGTTATAAGCGATGGAACACTGCGAGATAGTCAGCTGGCCCAGCCGTGATACAGGTATTGACTTACCCGCCCAAAGAGATTACACCCTCTTCCTTACACAATCTGTAGTCGTGTTGTTGAATACGCTTCCACCTCAAAGTACAGTGGACAAATTAACCTTACAGCTACGAAAACCAGTGTTAAAAAGATGGTAAAAATGGTGATGAAGTCAGAGATCACCTTCTGCTACATTCCATTTTCTCATTAAGATAATCTTCGTTCCATAAAAGGCACCGGTGAGCTGAGGATAGATCAACTCCTGGTTACTTGGATATGAACTTTGCCTTACAGTCGCGCTGGTCCCAGTGGCATGGAACAGTGGTGATGGAAGTAAGATACCATTATTCGTGCCTGACGCGAGCGTAGAAGGGATTGGCACGCCTCGTCGAATGTAGTCTCTTCCGATGGTGGAGGCTAACTAACGATACAAATATAAGTGCAGGCATAGCACACAAAAGATGGACCACACGTTGAACATAAACGTCAGGAATGCTCGTTGTGTACTCAAGACGCCCTCTGCAATAAATGGATCAATAGAGCCATGGACAGATAAATCAAAGAAACCGCACTAGGTAGGCCAGTGGTTCCCGACGTAAAGATAATCGTCGCGTTATCCTCCGGTACAATGTGTGGATCGTCGCGTAGTATTTCTCCTGGATCCTTATGATACTTGAGGAATACTTTGCTCCAAACGTCCATGCCTTCCCAGTGGCCTTTTCCCTCGTGATCCTCAAGAACAAGATATCCGGACGCGCCTGAAGCGCGTTTAAGATCAGCGGCTATTGGCTCGATCTGCTCCGCCCTCTCGGGATCGAGGATGATCAATGTACATTTCGTAAGTGTGATACAATGCCTGAGGGCGTCCAATGGCAGCCACCTGTTGTGCGGATCAGAACACCAACTCTAGGAGCATATGAATACAGATCTTACGCATTCACAAGAGCAGTGACAGCGCCCAGAAGGTCTGCATTGCAATCTTCAGATCTCCATTTGTCGAAGAGTAACAGTAAAACGCACGGCAAGCCCAAAACACAACGTAGTAACTGGGAAGGTTTCGAGAACAAATGACGACGCGATCACCTGCATTGGAGATGAGTAGACTAGCGGTACCGAAAAGCGGCTGGACTTCCTTACCCTTCTTAACACCGTAAACATCTTTAAACATGGCCGCGGATTTAACAGCCATTTCTGACATCTGCTGGAAGGTATAGCGCTCCTTCTCGTATACGACACAGGTTTTGCCGGCATGCTCTTTGGTCGAATATAAGAAGAGTGCTCGTACGGAGGGCCAGAGATTCTTCCAAACTTTCAATACTCTCCCATCGACAACCTATGCCGTATTCAAACCATGCTCAGGTACGCTAAAATGCTAGCAGCTCACCTGTGTTTCAATTTCGAGCGGACTTCCGGGTGCTGTGAGTATTTTGTCGGCTAGTGAATGTAGTGTTCGAATCAGCGTGTAGATATCCTGGCAGGATAGATGTACCTTCCTGTATAGAGCAGCGCGGCGTCCAGAGCGTTGTATCTGTCATGGACGTGGGATGAAGGTTCTGAGACCGGGTATCAAGAAACCGAAGTTGACGGATCAGCAGACCAATGTTCTCAATGCAATTATTGAACTAGTATTATTGGGTATTAGTTCAATGCGATATGTCATCAGCGGATATGTCAAGTACCCGAAGCAATTGCCCTCCGTCTTGTTTCGTCATCCAATTTTACGTTGAAAGACATGGGAGATTCGGGCTTCTCATGGCACTGACAGTCAGACGCGGTTCGGTTTCTCGTAGGTATTCACCTACATATTTGCGTATGTCAGCGGGTATCTCTAGTATATAAGGTTGTAGATTTTGTAGTTAGTCCCCGGGCCCATGTTGTGTTTGTCACAGATGTAACTTCTTGCCACTCACTTTGTTTGGGAACGGCCCCGCCATTCTAACAAGACATGCCGATAGGAAATATATGGAACAGAGGGGCAGTGTCACCGCATGCTGTATCCCCAATGATCATGGTCCAGGTTCAAGCCGCTGAATTTTCATTTTCACGTTCAACGATCGTCCATTTTGAGGACGGGAAGTCACGTGAGCTATGATGCTGATTCCCGTCCTTTCCTGATTCGTACCAGCGACGCGTCTGACGCGCCTAACTGCGCACTAATTTGATAATTAGACGCGTTCACGCTTCACGATTGCTTTGATTACGCTTTGATATAATCCAATTGTCCGTTGTCGAGGGTTTTTCAATTTTATTCCCATGTCAGATGTGAACATTTCCGATGCTCAGCCAAAAATGCGTGCAACTACCTCTTTGAAACCGCTTCAAAGCCGTCAGTAACTTCCTTTGGACCTGAAATTGTCTCCACTTTGTCTCCGAATCGTTTGAGTTCACACAGGATCAGAATTTGAAGTTGAATGCTGATTACACGGACTTTGACCTCGCACTCACTGGGACGATCATCGCGGTAGGACTAGCAAACTCTAATATTGTAAATTGCAAACGAGTGGACAGATACCTCGAGACGGTAGCTATAAGTGATGGCCTGCTTTGATGGCTCCCGGCATAGCGCAGAGAGGTCCATCTCAAAGTCCAGTCTCGCTGTGCGGCGATCAAGGAACAGTCTGATAGAGTGGCAAAAGCGAGTTCCAAAAATCCTCGATCAGAAAACCGTCGTAGCCTCCCTGCCGGCTCCCCAACGACGCATAACAAAAAGATGGTATGTACAATACGATAGGGTTAGAAAAATACATATGGTTCATGCGCGGTGTTTGAAAGGCTCGGTCAGGATGGGATATCCTATGTACATGAGAGACGTCGGTTACTTCGCATCGAAACTCGCAGTACTAGCAGCCTCATCATGATGGCGATGATTCTTTCGGAAGAAACCTTAAGTCCGTCTTCAGTAGTGAAAATTTGAAACTCACTAACACCAAGTTCATAGTCTGCCAAAACTTCAATCTCGGTTTCTCGCTTGATTACAATGTGTTGCGGTTTCTAATACAAACAAGTGAGAAAGATAGCGTGACATAGAATCGACGGGGCTTACCGAACTATTCGCACTCGAAGTGAGGCCAGGAAGGGTCCGCCGTTCAACAGAAGTTGCGTCCAGGCTCACGGCCGCCATGAAGGATTCACCTTCTTGTTGTCCTCGAATTTTGAAACGCGCATTTAGGCTGAAAAGATCTATTAGTCATTGACATTCTAACCAATGCGATCGATGAACGAGACTGACGTTGCCAAAAAAGAGTTGGTGTACACTGTTAAGACATTAGTAACGAAGAGATGTTATAGTCATAACAAGACGTACAACGGCCCAAAAGAATGTAAAATGTAATATACAGAAAAGTGTCCGGACACACTAGGACCTGTCGACGAGTTAGTTGTTAGCTTGAAGATGAGGAACAAGTACGCACCAATACGAGGGACGTTATCGCACATATGCTACTCCTAATTGAGCACCTGTACAGCAAGTCTCATCGATTGATTGACTTACCTAGTAAGCAGGCCACTGTTGAGAGAAAAAAGAATAAGTTGGTTCATCATTGCGTCTGTTCTAAAACGGGCCTAAGTAAGATGTGAGAGATGCACCCGAATCGTCGTACCTTCTGAATCCGGACTTGGATCGCTGAAGTAGATAAATAAGTGATATAGTGATACACATATCGCCTGCTGCCCCGACAGCATTCATAGATCGTGACAGGACCTATATGCTTCTTGTCAATTAATCTGGATGATCTGCATAAATCCACACGAACTGTAAGTTTAGATGGAATCTCTGCCACAAGCTTGACGGACCACCTGCAAAGCGTTTCAGCGACAGGCGACATTAAGAGCGTGTTACACCTACCCTCGCACGAAGTATGCTGCGTAGGCGAAAGTGTGAGAGACGAAACGTAAAAGACGAAAAAGCTGCTGACCGACAGTAACTCCGAATTCTCCTAAAACAAGTGACCCCTACCGAAATGCTAGTCAGCCGGGTGTTGGTCAACGGTGAATTCGAAGCACGTACGAGGAATAACGTTATTGGGATATTTCTTCGACTCACTATCGATGTAATCAGGAAAGAATACGTCAAGACCAGGGGGAAAAAATTACAAATATATACTCGATACGTGAAGAAACTGCGAATAGAACTCAGAAAGAGAGAACACGGGGAAAGTATGAAAACATACGATTGTACTATCAGTGCAATAAGGCCCTGTAGATACGTTAATATCAAGATGTCAGGTAAGTTTGAAATGACATACGGAAGGGGCGACTTGAGCCTGCAATGGAGCATAAATCGATTACCATGCCAGACATGAGTATCTGAGAGCGTACCAGTAGACTCCTACCATGATATTATTAGCACAGTACAAATCAGGTTCAGAATCAGGTGTGCTCACCACTCAACAACTCCGAGGTTGGCGGGGTCATAGTAATGAACGACTAGATACTCATATAGAGTATGCGTAACAAATACTTGTTGCACGGTGTCGAGGAGACTGGAAGTATGATAAGAAATGGAATATAGATCGCAGAGAAATTATTCATACAAGACTATCACGACCTGGAAAATATAAGTTCTTGACACGCGTTCGATCACAATTCGCGCTCACCATGACTTTCAACCTCGGGTCATCCGTCTTCCTATACATCTGCGAGGGGATTGGCAGAGGCGATGGTTGAGAAGCACGTGTACGCACACTGAAGTACTGTGAATGGGACCACCCCTGTGAGAAAATGCGAAAAAATTGGAACAAGCCTCATACCTCGTATGTCTGCATGCAAGACACACCCCATAGCCTAGAAATCGCGATGAGCAAGTGAAAGACTGCTCGAATAGCGGATACATACACTGCAGCCAAGCTTCGTCACCATTTAACAAATCAGCATTTACTTCCGAAAAGAAGTACGTTCAAAGCTTACATGGTGCCAATCATCAATGCGCCCATCTATACAATCATCGTTAGTAAGAAATCGATGCTTGAGATGCGAATCGACTCACCGTGGTGTGTAGAGTAGGACCCTCTACTGAGGAGCTCATCGTTGGACTGTAGGCGAGAGGTGGAAGAGCTGGGGAAGCAAAAGGCAATGCGCCACCGCCAGGACCGGTATTTCATTGTTCGTATTACATGTACTTTATTTCTCGGGCACGCTTCAGGAAGCTTCGACCGTGGAAAGTTTCGAAATCGTTTCGCTTGGAAATTACGAGCAATCATAACGAAACGAGGCGATTCTTGACAGGATCCAGCGGTATTCGCATTGATCTGTGTTTGCGCGCGTATTGGGCCGGAATCAGTATAATACTGGGGTGTAATTTTAATCCCGTGGCCTTTGCCTGTGCCGCCGAGATGCATTAGCTCCGAATCTCAAAAGTTACCCTGCACTGCGGGCGAGGAGGTGGCGTGGCATCCATGTGGGTGGAGGAGGACCTTGAACGGATACCCATTTAACCTGTCAAATGACCCTTGAGTTACAAGAGTAATCAGCAAATCAGCCAGTTTTTTTAGCAAGAAAACAATCATGCAAAAGATGACAAGAGTACCCAACAATACGGTCCCGGCCAGGGTCAAGCTGTCACTCTCGGCAAATGGCGATATTGATGTCATAGCTTTCCTTATGTGGAGATCGGGCCGGCTGCCGTGTGGCCTGGACCTGGCCCTGGTTCCGTTCAACGCACCACTGCTTTCAAAGTTCAAACAGTTGAGCTTCGACGTCGTGCCAGTGATTTGTTGGCACGCCACCTCCTTGTAGAGGAACCCGGTGAACCTACACGTGCGCAGAAGGCACCGTTGCCATGATCTTAACAGTGATCCACTGTCCCTTTTGAACAGGAAGAGTATTCTCGTCTGTGTCCAACACAGCGGTCAGGAACTACTTCATTCCACGCTTCATTTTAATGACCGATTGATTCTAGATGACTGGATTGCCGACTTCTGTTAGCGCCGGCTAACCTCCAAACCGACCCGGCGGGTGAATTTTCTGGTATCCTAATCTAACAGAGTATCTAGGGCAAAACGTCGAACGAGACCCTTTCAAAGGAGAAAGCATGAGCATGTCTTGCTATCCGGGGACGAAGATTTCTATCAGACGGACTTCACCATTTTTCAATTTTAAATCTTTTTGATACCGACGAGAGGTCAAATGGTCTCTCGGTCGATAAAGGAGACTTTAAAAACTTTAAGACGATAGCATCCAGCTTCGGTACCTCTTAGTTGTCCTAACGAAATGGACGCCCCTCTTCTCATTTCACTTGTTCTCTTCGTTTACTTGGTCTATGCCTATTGTCGCAAGCAACGCGCTCTCTTGCCTCCCGGACCTCCTGGTCTTCCGTTTCTCGGTAATGCTCTCGACATGGCCGTAAAATATCCTTGGCTAAAATACGCTGAGTGGGGTCGGCAGTATGGTAGGCCACTTTAACAGACATATTAATTCGTGCTCACCTATTATTCATCCAGGCGATGTCATCTACCTCAATGCCGTGGGGCAGTCGATTATCGTGTTAAACACAGCCAAGGCAGTTTTTGCTCTGCTTGATCAGCGCGGCGGCATCTATTCAGATAGGCCGCGTCTGGTGATGGGCGGAGAGCTGTAAGCGAATCATTAAACGTACCAGACATATTTTTGACACCTGTAAACTGCACAGTGCCGGATACGTCCACAGTGTACCTCTCTGCCCTTATGGCACACGTCTACGGGAGTACAGGAAACTTATCCTTGAAGTAGTCGGACCCCGAAAGGTGCAGCAGTGGCGGCCTATCGAGGAAGAGAAGACAAGGATATTTCTCGGAGCCCTCCTGGAATCCCCGGAAAAATTCCGTGACCATATCCGACAGTAAGGGCTCTCTTGTTAACGCGACTTTTTAGTTCTAAAGTCATTTGTAGTCATATCGCCTCCATAACTTTCCTCATATCACATGGTTACAACGTTAGACCTGAGGATGACCCACTTGTCGAACTTGCCGATCGCGGTGATCAAGGGTTTTCGGAGTCTACCACTACCGGCGCATTTCTGGTCGACTCCTTCCCTATCAGTAAGTCCTATCAAATCCATCTCATTGGATGACTAAATGATGACGTTGATTCGCAGTGCTTTACCTTCCTCGATGGTTGGGCTTCAATTGGATGAAGAAGGCCGAGAAGTTCCACAAAGATATGGAGGAACTCCGAGATATACCTTACAACTCCGTCAAGGAGCAGGTGGTTAGTACTCTCACTACGTCTTTATCGTAACGTTAGTGACCGACTGAACGTCATTTAATTAAGGTCAAAGGGACAGCCATCCCATCCTTTACCGCCAATCTTATCCAACGATACAAAAATCCAACTCCGTACCAGGAAGACGTTAACAAGTGGGTCACGACTGGATTCTATTCTGGTAAGATTTCCGTGATCTCCTCGGCGCAGGCGTCCTAAGCTGACCACACATACAATTATAGCCGGTGCTGACACAGTAAGCAGACCCTATCTGTCTCTTTTCGATTGTAGCTGATCGGCAAATGGCTGCAGACCGTATCATCGCTATGCTCATTTTTCCTATATATGATGCTCTTCCCAGATAAGCAAAAGAAAGCACAGGAAGAGATCTCACGCGTAGTCGGGTCCGCACGATTGCCTGATTTCAACGATCGTGAAAGCTTGCCTTACGTTGATTCCTTGCTGAAGGAAGTTCATCGATTGAACCCGGTTGGACCTCTGGCAGTACCGCACAAGTCGACCAAAGATGATTCCTACAACGTACGTCTCAAAAATTATATTATCTTCGGTTCATATTCTGACGAACCCATTTAGGGCTACCTGATTCCCTCTGGCTCTGTCGTTCTGCCTAACACCTGGTACGTACCGCCAATCAAGAAGTTCTTAATTTCGGCTGACGATTTTCTGTAGGGCCGTAATGCACGATCCAGACACTTATCCTTCTCCCTTTGAATTCCTTCCCGAAAGATATCTGGAGCCCCACAATGACGCCAAGGGCATCAATCCAGATCCTCGCAAATTCGCTTTCGGATACGGGCGCAGGTCAGTGCTATTCGTGGCTCCGAATAGGAAAACTTACCAAGAAATCTGTTTATAGAATCTGTCCTAGACAACATCTCGCAGACGATGAATTCTATATCACTGTTGCCGCTGTGCTCTTCGTGTTCAACGTTCTTCCGGAGTCTGACAAGGACCAAGTTAGGCTTCCCGATTGGTCTCGCAGTGAAGGGTACCTCTCATCTACTATTTCGTGCGGTTTACATGTCTACCAGCTTTTCGCTTTCCTCACGAGTCATGATAGGCATCCTGATCCCTTTAATTGTCGTATTATACCACGTTCGCGTGAGGCCGAGCTACTGATCCGTGCAGGCGACCCTTCAAGACAGTAAATTATGACGCATTCTGTACTTTTCCATTTTATCGTTGTTACTTGGATAATATTTCGTTCGTGTATTGTTAATTAGTTACCCACCTATACCCGGCCTTGAGGCTATATAATTCGCTGTTCAATATATTACTAGTTACTGGAAGGGAACGACGATAATCTGAACAAGACGTGCGACCTTTTGAACACGTCGTTTTCATTATCAATGGTGATGGAAGCGTGGAATTCATGGCTGATCAGATACCCCGCAAGGTTCTAATTAACAAGAAACAAATGCCTTGCGATCATCAAATGTCGAGTGGCGGCTCCATGTTGCATGGACATAAATCATGATTCAATGTTCTGTCTCTTCATCGCTTGCTCACACTGGCGTTCAGCAGGAAAAGGAGAATTCTCAGCAGCCAAATGCAAGCGCCATTAGGATGTACGAGCACAGAGATGGGTCTTGCGTTACCGCACGTCGTCTTCAGCGTGCCTTTCTCCGCTGATTCACACCGGTTCACACCCCCACACTCAATCGCGAATCGAGCAAACTTTAAAGAGTTTCCGGCATCTAAGCCACCCTGCATGGGAGGCCGAGAAGAACCTTCGACGGGCCAATGACAAGCAAGTGATACTGGAACACAATTGCCTCATTCACATAGGAAAGATATTCCGGTGGAAGCAAGGGTTAACGTTCATGTCCAAGTGGACAGCGATGATGCCCCGGACAGAATCTCGAGCGTTCAAACAACAAGATTCAAGAAAAGGGTCTCTTGGACTGCTTTCCCAGTCCAAATCATCCCCACACCAACTGGACGTTCAGCACGTTCGGGCTCATTGACGTTAAGCGCCCCTTATCTTGAAGCCAATCCCACGGTTCCGGGAGGTGCATCTTCCCATCAGCTAACAAAGAAAGCGTCGCCACCGGGATGGCAAACAATTTCGCGTCCTGCTTTAACAGTGTTATCGAAGCAACGATGTCATCTTAGTACCCTCAAAAGAATTCCAGACTGACCGATAAAAATTGCCAAACCTTGCGGAAAAAATATACAGGCGTCAGAAAGTTTTTCAGAGTTTTATATATAGGACCGCCCCGGACTGGCCCGCCGCGTATCAATATTTACTAAACATTCTTGAAAAGAATGTGAAGATGCTCAGTCGAGGTAGTAGTAGAAGCCATCCAGCGAATTCAAGATTCAATGAGCGATTTTGAATCGTGTTACTTTGACCAGCCCGAAACCCATAGGGAAGGGTACAGGTATGGATTACCATCGACACTGCAATGCCAAGTGAATTCGTAATGAACAGAATCTAGATCGAACTCATCAAAGAAATCACACCAAGAAAAGTAAAATTTCAGCCGAATTTCTAATTGTCCAAAACTAAATAAGAAACTGGTGGGATACCATATATAGGTATGCGCCCTCTCCCGCCCCAAGGCGGGATGGAGCGGGATTCCTATATATGGGTTTTTCCTGGTTTTGGAATTAGTTTCTGACCAACAAAAACTCGGCTGAAATTTTACTTTTTTTGGTGTGAATGGATTGAAACAGTTCGTAGCGGTGGCGAATATGCGCCGGGACAAAGAGAAGCCATTGTTGATTCTCCAATGCAGATTTCGGATCCGCACTTGTCCATCCTTTTAAGAAGCCAAATCATGGCACATCGTTCCGTTAAATTTCTCCGAGGTAAACAAAGCACGTCCTGCGCTTGGGAGGGGAACAAAATCGAGCGTCCTGCAGACCAGCCTGACGGGTGGGCTACGTTGCCCGCCATAGACGCACTGATACGCGACAAAGATGTTTCGCATACTTACCAGTCGAGCACAAGGGCACGACGGCCTCGGTCTCCCTTATGTCTCGGAGACCACCACTGCGCGTAAAACGTCGCCGACATGTTTTTTTTTCACGCCCTCGTTAACGCCTGCAAAATACAAGAGAATCCTGGACAATGTCGTTAGCATCGAGTCGCGGAACATCTGTAATCCAGATAGCGTACATACAAGGTTGACATCCGAAACGCTCGAACGAATTTGTAAACTGCAGTCGCTGGGGCATAGAAACAAGCTCTTCTCACTCTGTCAGTTCTTTCGACGGCGTTCTCGTTACACGTACACATACATATTCTGGAAAAGCTTCATGATCATACTTGCTAGGTCCCAATCAGGACACGATATGGTTTATGCGGGCCAAGGATATGTCGAATGTAAGTTCTGACATATGTCATGTCGATTCTGAATATGCGACTGGGCATGATATATCGCATACTGGGAAGTCCGACGGGACATTTCGAAAAAGGGCTATTCATCAGATCGGATATGTCGCACGCATCGAAACCGACAAGGTCGGGTACAGCTTCCAGGGGATGAGGAAGTCGTCAAAATGGAACGAGATGATTGGCCCGTAGACGATGTCGAACCTGACGACCGGCTCTTATGCGGCACAAAACAATCTCAGAGCATACGCGAAATCGATGAATTGCTTGTCCGCATTGGCGCGTTCGATGCCCTCGTAGAGGACAGATATCGCTAGACAATTGTGCCCACAACTACGGTCAAAAGAAATCCCGTCGAAGGGCTCTTTCGATTCAATCCTCACCATCTGGCATGAACGCGATGATCGTTCCAAAGCGCAACCACGTTAATGTCGGGCTAAGCTCGTCGGGTGGCTGGCGATGATCCCGTAATACCCTACATCCGTCAATGTCTAAAAAGGCGCAGCCAGTCACGGTCAACGGGAGTTCCTAGTCCGATTTGCAGTGTGACACGCCCGCCGTCTGTCAAGAGCTTCCTCCAGACGGATGGTGGCGATGAGCGTCTCCTTGACTATAGCTGAGCTTATTTGGTTTCGAGGGTGGGGAGAAGCTTGGAAGTCATCACGAAGTGATGCTTTGAAGTGTCCTCAATGAGTTTGCCGATGATAGGGGACCAAAGACGGGTCTGACAAGCTCTTTTAGACAGCATCGCCAAGACCGTACACCTGAGTGTCTACGCCTGGATCGATACCACTGGTGGATTCCGTGAAGACTTGATGTTTTCGATACGATCATGATTTGCACATCTCTTGAAGAGAGAGTACTATGGCGCGTGTATATCCTTATGAGAGAGATGAGTATTGCGCGTAAAAGATTCGACAGTCGATAATGGTACGAAACCAGAAGACGTTGAACTCATCAGTACATTTCCAGCTTCTACGTCGGTCGCATCTTAGTATCTGGTGAGCATTAACCCTAACCCCAGTCCGGCCTTGGCTCGAGATTCCATAAAAGGATTGTGGGAAGTTCGTCGCTGTCATAACTAGGGCTTCGCACCGTACCGTATACGGTATACGGCCGTATAGCCACGGTACAGTGACGGGCGACGGCTGATCCGTAACCGTACCGTCAATGCTCTTAGAACTAGGTTGACGGTACGGTACGGGTATATAGACGGCCGTGCCGGTCGTCAATACGGCCGTTGAATAATACATACCTGATATTTGGGGCTTCGGAGCAGCTCCAGGTCCTGCCATGGGCACGTCGTCATCTGCATCGTGATAAAAATTGAATTTCGAGGGGGATTTCAAGTTTCCATTGGCATCGAGGGCACACTGATCTGTCATGATGCTCAAAATGTGGTTGTAAGTCTGCGAAAAAAGGACTATTATATACTCTTTCGTGAACTCCTCTGGCTTAAAATTCAGCAGTATTTGACAGGTGCACAGGCCAGCGGGGGGCAAATTATTGCGCAATATGTGTGGGTAGTCAAACTCAAAGGATGAAACAGTAGTAGAATAGAGGCAGCAGAAGCAGGAAATAGAAAGTATTCTATGCTGGTAAGGGTTAGAGCTTGAGTAGAGCGAGTGAAAGAAGATCGGGTGGTAGCGCTGAAGAGCTTGCGGTGCCAGCACATCGTGGTACGATGTTAAGTGTATGGCAAACGCGTGTACAGTGTGATCTGATGACAGTTATTTTTAGATACATACACGGCCGTCGATTTCCGTATGACGGCCGTGTTTATACGGTTGCTAACGGTATACGGGATGTCCGTATACCGTCCGTCTCTGGGCAAGTTATTTCGCCAGACGGAACGGGCACGGTACCCGTATGACGGCACCCGTATAACCGTACTATACGGTGACGGTGCGAAGCCCTAGTCATAACGGTAGTTCGACATCCAAGTCATTGTCCAGATGCCGGAAAGCTCACCCTCCGTTGACATTCTCGTTTCGTCCTTCTTGAAATCCCAGAAGATGTTTATTCGTACTCTGAAATACCTGACTCAACGTGTCGTAGACGTCGGGCCATCGACAGCCGTACCCATACTCACCCCTATATGCGACCTCGCCGCTAGGTTCGATAACTGTATACGACGCGTGACGGACCTCTTCTGTTCTCTGATATTACGCGCACAATGCTGCATAGCAACAGAAGAAAGTGGAGAATTACCCCCAAGCGAATATTTTCGCGAGTTGCTTTCTGTCTCCCAACAGGCAAGATACCAACTGGTCCCGGACATTGAGGGAACCCTAGTAGATATCCAGCCGGTTCTCGAGTCCAAGTTGCGTGGTAGACATGGCCTCGAACACTTTCTTCGCCTTTTCAAGCGATTTCCGGGCTGCTGGTCCGGGCGGATTGACCTTTTGGATGACATCCCGGACATTATGTCCTTCCTCCGTGGTTTATGTAGGACGATCGCGGATTGTTTCAGGGATTTCGAACGCTATGCGTGCGCCATGAGAGCCCGTTTTCTGGACGCGGATTGGGTGGCCAGGCACCAAGACCGCCCGGACTTGATTTGGTGCTTGGATGGCACCGCCCAGTTTGTGATGGAATCGTTATTTCCTATGTCCGGGTATGACAAGCTGATGCGATTCCTCCCAGAGTACGTCTTTCTGAGTTCCAGCACTTTTTAACTGTCTTTCTGAAGGGCATATACTAGCACGCGTAGCTTCTGGGAGAGGTTGTAGAGTTCTTGAGCGATAGGACTAGTGCGGCCTTTGGATTCCAAGGAAGGTTTACTTTACGGGCTCATTGCTAGAACCATGAACTACGGGCGAATCGACATAAATGGCGGGATCTCGTAAGGCCAACGTCGATATACCAGGAGCTTCGTGTTTACACTTTGGGACGGTGGTGGTGGATAGCGATAGCAAAACGCCCCCGTGGTAGATCGAATAGCCTGAAGACGCAGCGGGAGACTTTCGTGTTGGTGCTATGCTGACAAAATGACGCATCGCCCAACGTAGGAAGCGAGTCATGACACGTACCTGTAATGTAATGGCGAAGATACGTCAATGACGCTGTTCCCGGCGCAGCTCCTTCAGTTCAATCTGAATCTGTCGCGCGGTAGCGATGGCAGTCTTGGTGAGATTAAATTTCTGCTTCGACCAGGTAGTCGTAGTAGCCGTAGACGGATTCGTGATTTCGCGCGTGAGAGAAAGTCATGGTAGTGGAAGGGTCGCTCAAGAATTATACGCGGAGTCTTCTATCAAAATCAAGCTAGTCAACCAAAAATCAAAAGCACGAAAGGCAGTAACGTACCAAGAAGCTATGTGACGACACCCGCGACCACACGCGCCATGCAGGAGCGGGTTAAGTATCCTGGCAGACGACAAAGGACACTAGGACATTCGTTCTCGGCGGTATCCTCAATACGGCTTGCATCCGCAGGCCCATATCGAAGTCCCGAAGAGGAATTGCCGGTGATAGTACGAATCGAAACGCACTTCCAGTGTTGATATTCGGCTCGATATACTCGTACGCGTGAGACGCAATAAACAAAGTATATTCTGTGTGCGAAAGTACAGGGACTGTCTTCTGATGAGACAAGAAGAGTCCGGATAAGTACTAGGGTGAATTTTGCGGGGCATCCATCGAGATAGGTGCTCCCTGAGCAATCTGCTATATGCATAGAACGAGGAGGGGAGGGCCTCTACTGTGCTTTTAACAAGATCAATTTTGCCTTTACTTGAAGAGCAGTCGAACGTACATGGACGAAGTTAACTGACGAACCAATACACGCGCGCATACTAGGCCTCTGGTCGGTTGGAACTCTTAAATCTTGAGGTGACGTTGAGCGACAAAAGAACACGGTAGAATCAAGCAACGCACCTGTAGCACTTCAGATTCCCAGCGAACAGTTTTAGTACCACCACCCTCCCACTATCGTCCTACGAACACAAGGCATTTTTTAAGATCAATCTCGTCGTTTATTTCGTGATAGAACTGAGCTAAGGGTGATGGGAGACCCGACAAAAACTTGTAATGTGTTGCAATTACGGTGTTCTTTATGACCCCAGAGTTGTGTAGTTGTTCGACGTTGCTGTTGTCGACGAGTAGGCTTATGCTGAAGTGCAAGGTAGTAGCAGAGTGAGGTGAGCGCGTGTCGTGCTGAAGGAAACGCGACAGAGTTGAGGAGAAACTTTGTGGTACTGGTAAGAGCGAAAAAGGGAAATCAGTGAATTTCGAATCGCATCACCCGAAATTCGCAAATTCCTTCCATGCTCAGTGGGATTTTCATATTACTCTTGGCTTGCTTCAAGCATCAAACGATACCACACCATCCTAGGCTAAGAGCTTGGGAAATGTTTCCTATCCCTCTCTCGCCGTCCTCCTTTCCCACTCTCTCTGGGCTATTTCCCGTAACTGCGTTTTGATAATCTTCCCAGAGGACGTATGATCTGCAGCTTAATCTTCGATACAAAAACATCTTCAATGAAGCAATAAACATCTTCAATGAGGCAATACAGTACTCACCGAAATCATGATCATATATAATAATCATCACCGGAACGGCAAATTCAGGTACCCTGCACAAATGATTCATGTTGAGGAGAGTCAAAAGGGTGAGTATACTCACAGTTTCTTGGCAGTCACCATAAGCTTCTCCTCATTGATTAATCCATCATACCCAGGCTTGAGGGTAACCAACGCTACAGGCAACTCCCCCACATGCTCGTCAGGTACGCCAACCACCGCCGTTTCCAATACACCCGGTTCGGTGTACAGGGCGTTCTCGACGCAAACGGAATCCTATGTATTCGTTCGTTACTGAGATATCTATAAAGTATTCCACTGGCAAGGGAACTCACTACGTTATAACCATCCCTAATGATGATATCTTTGATCCTGTCCGTGATATACACATAACCGTCTTCGTCTATTCGTCCCAGATCACCAGTCATCAGCCATCCATCTTGAGTCATGACCTACATCAAAGCTTAGTCGCCACAGACAATCTGAGCACCTGTAAGTAAGTAAGGAATTTCACCTGATCAGTAGCAGCTGCAATGAACGTGAGCCTGTCTACCAGTGAAATATATGACCTCCAAACCAACCTTTATCACCATAATACCCTTTCATCACATTCGGACCACGAAGCCAAATCTCTCCTACTGCTCCAGCCGGAACTTTGACGCCATCTTTCATTATCAGAATCTCACCGACAGGGAACACTAAGCCGCTGCAGTCGAAACAGCTTAGATACAAGAGAAATGGAACAGAACGGACTCGGACTCGCCAGCTATCTGGCCGAGCGTCGTAATCCGGTCCACCTAGGAACAGATCAGCCTGAGGACGACGTTGTTTGAGAGAGAATATTCTCACCGAAGCCTATTGTGGTAGCATTCGTCTCCGTTAGACCATATGTTTGGAATCTAAGTACAAGATGACAAAAGTTAGTGCCGATTACTGGAGTGAAAGTTGGGACGCACTCACATGGTGGCGAGGGGAAAGGCCTGTTTAAACATCTGAAGGTGAGACGCTGCAGCGGGTGAACCTCCATATATGATGCGTTTTATCGACATTCTAGATATCGTGCTCTCAGCGAGCTCTCTAATGACTGAGGTCATGCTGCAACACTGTTAAACGATGTGGACAATGAAAACCTAAGCACGAACCCGCTCAATTGAGTGATATTTTCCGTTTTACAGAGTCTAGGATGAAGTATCAGTTAGTTACCATAAGCCATACTGAATGAAATGCACTCCGCAGCTGCAAATATCGAGTGGGAATGAGAACTTGAAACACAAGCAAAGTCAATTCTTGCCTTCACGCGTGTTCCATGCGCGTGTTAGAACAACCTTATATCCTTGAAGAGTGCCCACCATCTGAAGACGGGTGAACATTATGTCGTTACAATTCCAACTGCCGGTCTTACAGTCGAGAGAATTGAAGGGGTCTGCGATAGCATTCTTGGAATCAACAAACCTTCCTGAGGACCTGCGCTAGGTGTCGGAGGGAACGGCTCCCCTCGTCGAAGACAGTCTCTCCCTATCAACAAAACCGCCTAATACAATTCATGAGAGGAACGAAATGCTTCACAGAAAAGAGGACATACATTGAAAAGGGGAGTCAACAGTGCACGTTGCGAGCTCAAGACACCCTCTTAAGCAGAGCACAGAAATTGATAAACAGCACAAGTCGCCGATCCAACGAAATCTACGTACTTGGTAAGCCAGTGGTCCCCGACGTGAAAGTAATTATCGCATCATCTTCCGGTGAGATTTGAAGATCGTCACTGAGCACATTTCCGGGATCTTTGTTGTATCCGGAGAAGACTGTACCCCAAACGTCCATACTTTCCCAGTGACCCTTACCCTCGTGATCCTCGAGTACGAGATATCCTGATGCAAGCTTAAGCTCGGCACCAATTCGTTCGGCTCGCTCGGGGTCGAGGACGATCAGTGTGCACTTTGTGAGCGTAATACAGTGTCGGAGCGGTTCCAATGGCATTAATCTTTTGGTAGGATCAGAGAATGAACAAGGAAAGCATGTGGCAAGTTGATTTCACATGTTCACAAGAGCGGTGACAGCACCCAGAAGGTCTGTGTTATAGGATCGAGACCTCGTTATTGATTGAGATGGAAGATGGGACGCACGGCAAGCCCAAAATACAACCAAGTAGTTTGGACAATTTCGAGAGCAGATCGTTATTCGGTCACCTGCGTTGAGAGTGAGTAGTTGGTGGCGCCAAAATGATAGAGTACCTTTACCTTTCTTAACGCCGTAAACATCTCTGAAGATGGCCGCACATTTTACTGCCTTGTCCAGTATCTCCCTGAAGGTGTGACGTTCTCCCTCGTATACTACGTAGGTTTTGTCAGCGTGCTTCCCAGTCGAATGTAAAAAGAATAGTCGCAGGGATGGCCAGAGGTTCTTCCAGACCTTCAGGTCCCTCCCGTCGATGATCTATGTCCACATTTAGACCTTGACGGAGAGCGGAGCAGCACCAAGTACGCACACGAGTTTCAATTTCGAGCAGGCTTCCTGTTCCTGTCAGTATCCTATCAGCTGGCATTTTCTCAAATTAGCATGCAGATGTCCTGGAGATTTAGCAGTACGCTCACCTTGCTCGATAGAGCAGTGGGGAGTCCATGTTTTGCTGTCCGACATGATGGATGTCGATGAGGAACGGTCACGGCCATCTCAGGGAGGGCCACTTATAGCCTAGTCAAGCAGATTGATGAGAAAGTTCTCGTGGAACGTATATATATCTGCCACTCGTGCATCAACGCTCAGTGACAGCCGCACCAGAGTCGCTTTACCAAACACCAGGTATCAACGGGAGTTTCTGTAGGGACATGTGGATCCGGTCTCAGGACTAGAGATATTCAAATTAATAGTACGTGTTTGTTGAGAACCGAATTGCTTTACGGTACAAGGGAGATACAACTGATCAAGGCATCATATTTTTCAACCAATATTGGTGATATAACGGCTTCACCTTATCGACATGGACCACCTGTGTTACAGGATCACCGAGCTCGCTGTCCGGCTCGTGGAAGTTCACCATCTCAAAATCCACCATTACCATCTGCATATCCTCACAGTATGCCTCGGAGAGCAACGGACATCCGTCTGTCGAGCAGAACGGCCCTTGGTGGCGCCTGGGACGTAATATCATGTTCCTAGGTTGCATATCTACCTGTTCGACCCCCAATGCGTAAATGTCGAAATAAAGCCGGAGGGCGGCGTCGATCAGGGCGTCCTTGTGCGTGCTACACAGTGCCCCTGATTTTTCCCGAGGAACGAGGTCCCGGATGTCCCTGCCTTGGATGTACTCCAACAAGATGACGTTGACGGTTCTGTTGCGCTGAGCGGGTAGGGGAGCTATGAAGTGCCCGTAGAAATGCGGAACCTTTATGCTGTAAAGACTCTTGAGATGTTGGTATGCGTGTGTCTCCCGCGAGACGTATAGATCGAGCAAGATGAAGGGATCGAAGTACTCTGCCTCTTCGGAGTCGAAATAAACGGGGTCGTAGATTTTTGCGACCATGGTCGATGGGTATCCGGTGGCGTTGGGTGAAGAACCCTGGACATGAGCTGTCCAGACATGGGCGATACGGTGAGTGCTGGAGATGAGCCGCTTATCGAGGACAAGGGAAACCTTAGCGGACGTGGTCGGAGGAATGGGAACTCGGCGAGCTAGGGAGGCATCGAGGCGGTCTGCAATCTGGGTCATGACCAACGCGTCTTTCGCGTAGAAGCCCCGGTCATTTTCGGGACAATCTGGTGGCGGATGAGGATATAGCTGCAGGGAGGCGCCAGGGAAGTACGTGCTCTCTAGACTTGGGACGGCGTTGGAGGTTGACATTGGAATGACTGCAGGACCCCGACTGCAGCCGTGCCGGCCGGCCGCCAATACCGAGAGCGGCATATCGGCATCAGACATCCTCAACATTAACGCCATCACCTTCAATAGCTTCCTTGGGAGCAACCTTGACGGTGACGACATTGGTCGACTTTGCGTGTGTGGATCTTTGCTTTGACACTGTTGATGGCAGCCGCATATCCGGCATCTCTTGCGCACCAACTGCACCTAGTAACCGAGGACGTCAAGGCAGTCGTAGGACACACACCATCTCACAGGTGCATGGGCACCATTAGACTTGAGTGTTCCACTCCGCCACCCGTCAAAGCCTCGCATCTATTATCCTCACGCATATCGTGGCTTGTATAACGCCTCAAATGCTGGGAGTACTGGGTCATTGCGGACAGAGAGACGGAGGGATCAATTCGAATACGACGCAGAGGCGTATCAATTCATAGGCCATACCCTCGCAAAGACGCTGGAGGCAGACAGCATTTCCTTCGATGACTATGAGCCTCAGACGTGGTAGACTCGCTGGGGAAAATTCCTGCCGTGCGAATTTATGCTGGTCTTTGTCGCCTGCTCGTTTGCATCCTGGAAGAGGACAGCAGAGACTCGAAAGCAGGTAAAGCAGCGTTCATCGGTGATGTCGTTTTTTGTAGTGGTTTGGTGGCGTTGGGGATTTTGTCATATTGGTAATACACGAAGAGAAGAAAGTGGTGAGTACTCTATATTATTCCTGCATATCTTCTCTGATTTCGATGCTCAGATCTCAACCATCCTCTATTGCCGTGGTCTATTGTACGTGCCATCTACCTTACCTGTATCCTCTGCTCTAAGTTTCCTTCAGTGTACATATCTAGAAGCCTCTGTATTCGCCGCTGTTGCTGTATTGTGGACACCGCTATATGCTTCGTGTTGACTGCTCGAAACATGAACCATATACGTCCGCATCCCTCTTAAACGCCGAAGAATCCAACTATTTCGCTCAAAATGGTCTGCTGCCTGTCGATTTCACCAGGGACCCCAGCAGTCCGACGTTCGTAAACCTTGCATTGACATTATGTGGAAGACGACTGTTTACGTCCATCGTTCGAGTACCAACACTACCCTTATCGATCCAAGATTCCTGTGGAAGTATTTCAGAGTCTATATCCATCCCCTTCTTTGTACTTTTCATCATCTTTGTGATTACCGCTTGACCTCCCCCAATTGTTTATAGATGCCAAGTACATCAAGCTCGGATGTAAGGAAGCTCCCTCCTGCGTAATCTCTATCTCACTTCCCTCCAGCTAGGGTTGTCCCATACGAAGGAACTCATCGCCTCGGCTTTGAGCCCAGCAAATGATTATATTGGTGTTGCACCCCAGTTCATGCGAGACGAGATAAAAAAGCCAAAGCTGTAATTAATCGGTCCTTGATTGAGACCGTTAACTTTCCCGTCTACGGACCGGAAGACCTTACGATCGACTCATGCTTTCCATCAGCCATCGAGCGTCTTTCAAGTAAACATAGGCGTCACATCGTGATTGTTTGCCTCAATCTCCAGTATATGGGCCGCTGATCATACCGGAGAAGTTTTGGTATATCTCATTATGTGCAACGACTTTCCATCTCTTGACCGTCGTCCCTTCCCCTAGCTTGGATGGATACAACATGGGCTGAAGATCCACAACAGCTTCTATGACGGTATATTTTGGCCCGATGGACCGGGGTACGCCAGGCTTCCGCTGTAATCTGAAGGCGTAGTCTGAATAATACGTTCACAGGCCCTAGTATGTTGGATCTATCCTCGATGCAGATTCTTTCATTCTGACGTTAAACTGGTAGTATATGGACCCGCGAACGAATGGAGAAGGTTAATGCTGCTGACGGGAATAATTCGTTCACGTATTCCGCATTAACAACCGTGCCACAGTCTCACTTTCGCAGACCGACACTGCTTTCCCAGTCCATGTCTCTTCCCCTATCGAGCACTGATTCCACCACCGCGAGTGCCACTTCAGCTTCCACCTTTACACAGAGGGAAAGTTCGTCAAAATCTCCCAGTGCGAGGAGCCCAGTCGATGCACCCGACGAACACTCGGGAGAGTTGCCTGTAGTGTTGGTGGCCTGGATATGACAGATTAGTCGATGAGGAGAAAAAATTGTGAGTGTACCCACGCTCCGCCCGTTCTGGCCCTTAAAGTAATTGGTCTGGAAAGGCTACCCAAATATGCCGTTCCAGCGATGATTATTCTGTATGATCGTATATTTGGTGAGTGTTGTATTGGGTCGCTGAAGATGAATATGAATCGAAGAGACCACACGTCTTCTGGGAAGATTATCAAAGCACCGTTAAGGGTCATAGCCCAGAAGGAGTGAGAAAGGAGGACGGAGGAAAGAATAGGGTAGATACAGCACAACTCAAGTCAGTGCCATGTCGTTAGATGCTTGCGAATGAATTATATTCGAGATGTCGACATTTTTAGGTGTTTAATTCCATACCTTTGTATCCCCCTCAAATGCAATTTCTTTCCTACATCATATGCCCTCGTCTCTTTTCACTCCCTGCGAAGAGCCTCTACTCTACGAGACGCACTCAACGGTGTAATCGGTGTAATTAGAATATGAGCGACGGCGTCACCAACTTGCTTGCACAGCCACATCACTCACTGGTCTTTTTTTAACCACCACCGTGTCAATCAATATGAGCTAGAAATTGCCTGCACAGCCACATCACTCGTCTTTTCTTAACCGCCACATGTCAGTCAGTCGTGCTCTCCACCTAGTACCTTTGTGCCGCGTGGGTCTCAGTGCCACTACACCATATCTTTCCTGTGAGCGGTCTCTAAGTAAGGTCGAATGATGGAGGAACGTGAAATTGATGAAGATGGAACAGGAATTGGGATCAGGTCGGTGAGTATGCTAGCTACCTGGAACGCGAGAGATAGCTAATTAGGAATAGGCACTGTGACTACGTGTATCTTCGTCTGAACTGGTACCCCACATCTCTGGCCATGAATTCGAATGTGTTTCCGGAGTTCAATGCCGAGGCTGGAATCTGACTGCGGGAGAGAAAGGTTCGTTAAATAGAACATTTAAATGCTAATTTTGGTATTGTCAGACTATTGAAATACACCGCCGCATCCTGTCTATACATATGAGATGTGATCCTTGTCACAGCCTACAGGCCCTGGCCTAACCCCGAGTCAGCCCCAAGCCTTGTAGGGTTTCAAGGCGGGCTCGGGGGGTCTGAATTCGAAAGCCAGGCCCAAGCCCGCCCCTGTAAATCAATAAATTATTGGCAGCTCCGAGTCCATGGAGGCAATAAGTTTCAGAAGCCCCCAAATATCCGATGAAGACGTTCATTAGTGCCAGCATATATAATATTTTCGACCTTTTGTCGGTTGTCTGGATGTACTGAGGACCATTCAACGGAGGGTGCGATAGCTCTGGACTCGGTGTCTGACTCGCCTTCCAGACGGCTCTTCTCAACCACAGAGTATATATACTCCACTTCATGGTCCCAAGACGATACTTTTATCAATCATGGCGAATGCTAAAACACAAACCCCGCGCTGCTCTATCGAGGAAGGTGAGCTTACTGACAAAAAAAACGCCAGCATATTCGTATGCTAATTTGACTAGCCGACAGAATACTCACAGGACCAGGAAGTTTGCTCGAAATTGAAACTCGAGTCAGTGCTCTGAGCTGCCGTCTACTCTTTGAAGGTCTAAATGCAATTTAGGTCATTGACGGGAGGGTCTTGAAAGTCTGGAAGAATCTCTGGCCATCCTTGCGAGACCTCTTCTTGCACTCGACCAAGGAGCACGCGGACAAAATCTATATAGTATACGAGAAAGAGCGTCACACCTACCAGGAGGTATTAGAGAAGGCGGTCAAATGTTCTGCCATTTTGAGAGATGTTTATGGTATTAAGAAAGGTAAGGACATCCTGTTGTTTTTTTTTTAGTAAAACCACCTACTCACTCACTTTCGGGGTAGGGGATCGAGTAACCATCTGCTCTCGAAATTGTCCGACTTACTTGATCGTGTTTTGGGCTTGCCGTGCGTTGCATCTCACGTCTGCTTCAAAACTGAGGACTCAGTCTTGTAACAGATCTCCTGGGTGCCGTCACCGCTCTTGTGACCATGTAAAATTTGCTTCTGTATGCCTTTCATTGGTCGTTTGCTGATCGTACCAAAAGGTGGCTGCCATTGGAGCCGCTCCGACACTGTATAATGCTTACAAAGTGCTCACTGATCATCCTTGATACCGAGCGAGCTGACATGGTCGAACCGATTGGTGCTGAGCTTAGGCTCGCATGTGGTGCGTCAAGATGTCTCGTCCTCGAGGATCACGAGGGGAAAGGCCATTGGGAAGGCATGGACGTTTGGAGTAGAGTCTTCTCCGAATACGATGGAGATATTGGCTCGGTGCTTCAGGACGATCCTCAAATTTCACCTGAAGATAACGCAATGATTATCTTTACGTCGGGGACCACTGGCTTACCAAGTACGTAGTAGCTGAACCTGTTGCACAGCTCATCAGTGACGTTGTTCGTTCAAGAGGGTGTCTTGAGCACACATCGTGCATTCTTGACTACGTTATTTGATGTATGTCTTCTTTTCTATGAACTATTTCGTTGAGCTTGTAAATTGTACTAGATAGCTTTGTTGACAGGGAGAGACCGCCTTCGACGAGGCGAACCACTCCTTCAGGTACCAAGTACAGGTCCTCAGGAAGGTTTCCTGTTTCCAGGGGTGCTGTCACAGGCTTCTTTCAACCTCGCGACTGTAAGACTGGCAGCCGACATGGTAACGAATCAATATTCACCCGTTTTCAGATGCACTGTGCTGTTCAAGGATTCAAGGTCGTTTTAACACGCACATGGAATGTACCTCAAGGCAAGAATCGACTTTGTTCGTGTTTAAAGGTCTCATTCTTACTCAATACTTGCAGCTGCGGAGTAATTCCATCCATTTGATTTGGTACAGCTTTCTTGCCTGCTAACTGATACTTCATTCTAGACTGTGTAAAACAGAGAATATCGTTCGGCTCGGCGGGTGCGTATCTATGTTTTCATGCTTGCGTTAGTTAACGGTGTTGCAGTCCACCTTTAACCATCAGACAGCTCGCTGAGAGCGCGATATCCAATACTTCGATAAAAAGCATATTATATGGAGGTAACCCCATTGCACCGTCTCACTTTCAAAGATTTAGACAAGCATTTCCTCTCGCCACCGTGTAAGTGCGCCCCAACCTGGCCAGTAGTCGGCACTTACTCGGGTTGTCTTGTAGCTTTCAAATGTATGGTCTAACTGAGACGAATTGCGCCGCGGTAGGATTCGGTGAGGAAATTCTTTCGTAAACAGATTATAGCAGAGGCCTGATCTGCTCCCAGGTGGACCGGATTACGATGCGAGGCCAGATAGCTGGTGAGTCTGTTTGTTCTGTTTCTCTCATCCTTAAACTGTTTCAATTGCAGTGGTTTCGTGCTTCCTGTTAATGAGATTCTGATAATGAAAGATGGTGCTAAGGCTGCGCCGGGAGTGGTGGGAGAGATTTGGCTGCACGGTCCAAATGTGATGAAAGGGTATTTCGGCGACGGAGGTTGGTCTTAAGATCATTTATCTCACTGGTACACAGGCTTACACTTTTGGACAACGGTTGCAGCTGCTACTGATCGGGTGGGATCCCTTATTTACAGGTGCCTGTGGCGACTGAACTTTGATCCAGGTCCTTACTAAAGACGGATGGCTGATGACCGGTGATCTTGGACGAATTGATGAAGGTGGTTATGTTTCCATCACGGACAGGATCAAAGATATCATCATCAGGGGTGGGTATAACGTTGTGAGTGCCATTGTAGTACGTTATACAACTCTCAGTGATGAGTGAATTCATAGGATTCGGTTTTCGTCGAGAATGCCCTGTACACCGAACCGGGTGTATTGGAAGCAGCAATCGTTGGCGTACCTGACGAGTATGTGGGGGAGTTGCCTGTAGCGTTGGTGACCCTCAAGTCCGGGTATGGTGGATTAGTCGATGAGGAGAAACTCACGGCGACTACCGAGAGACTGTAAGTGTATCCATCTTCTGGATCTAGCTTTCCTCAAAGTAATCTGTCTGGAAAGGTTACCCAAGTATGCTGTTCCGGCGATGATTATTCTGTATGATCGTGGATTTGGTGAGTGCTGTATTGTTTAACTGACGACGGTTCTGAATCAGAGATTGGGCACAGATCACACAGATTCTGGGAAGATTGTCAAAGGGCCGTTAAAGGTCATAGCCCAGAGGGAGTGGGCAAGGAGGTCGGGGAAAGAATAGACTAACCTTCTCGTTATGAAATACTTAGAGCAGTGCTGTTCGTTCGGCGACTGCGAATACATTATATGCGGCTTTAACGAAGTATGAATGGTAAACATCGTCGTACAGTATATAGCATTTTATAAGTAACCTAAACAATCAAAGCTTGCCAAAAATGATATGTTAGTATCTGCTCTTGACTCCTTATTGGAAGGATTGAACTTACTTGTATTTCATCCAGAATCTATAACAGGACTGGCGACACCAGGCCTCAACCGACGCCCTCGAAATCGTACCTCCTCACCAAACGGTGATCTCATCAGAAGAGCGCGCCAGGCGTGGCAAGAATCCGGGGATGTCCAATCCAGCTAGGCGCATACCCGAAGAGCCGGTGGGTTCACCCACCACGACACCACCTGGTCGACATGGCTCAACCTTTCACAGCATCGTTGCCATGCCTCACATGAGACTGTCGATCCTGGCCTGTCTGCCAGGATACTCACCCCGCCTCTGCAGAACCAACGACATGCTCATACGATCCTAAGCATGGCGAAAGAACGTGTGGTCGCGGGTTTTTCGCGTCCCTACGAACCTTCCGGATATGCTACAGCCTTTCGTGGTTTTGATTTTCGGTTAACTGGCTTGATCGGTCTGAGACTTGGACAAGACTGCATACGACTATGTACATTGTCGAGCGATATACAATCGAACTGTTACAGCGGGCTTTGTGATGGAAAAACTTGTGATAGCGAAGGTAGCAATGTAGCGAGTCTTCAAAGGCTGATATACAAGAGCAGAGCGAAACCATACTTCAGGTGAACACTTTGTCAGGCCTGTGCGTTTCATTGGTTCTCCATTTCCTCCCCTAAGCGAGATGAGAGAAAAGTTGTTGAAGGAGATGAATCCACATACCTTCCTAGACTGAGTTTTGGTCAACATCGGTTGAAATTTGCATCGCTCTGCGTCTTGGTCCACCAGAGCTAAGTTGGTCTTGGCAAGTTCAGCTGCATCATATCGGTACTAGTCAAATAGATGTCGGTTAGGATATCAAAAAAGACATACTTGGTGAGAGTTGGATGCTTGACTCTTTCCAGATGGAGTCTATCAACCCTTCGACCGCTGCTCGATGTCGTCGAGCGATGCGGACTTAACTTTCAAGAGCGATGGTGCTATCGTGTACTCCGCTGGCTGTGGGAGCTTGGGCTGTAAAAGCCAGAATGAAGTTGCTCATCGGTCCTGTCTGGTGGTGCCCTGATATGCAGCTGGAATATACCGGAAGTTTCATGGACGCTGAGGAAAGCGGAGACATAGTAGTGATTTGAGAGCCTTGCGAGAGACAGCGTCTCAGAGAGGACCTGTGGAACGTGAGAACGTGCCAGTTTAGGTCTCTGTATACCTGAAATTTTCAGCAGAGAGTCTGAGCGACGCGGGTGAGCAATGGGCATCCGTCTGTCGAGTAGAGCAGCCCTTGGTGGCGCCTGGGACGTAATATCACGTTCCTGGGCTGCATGTCTACCTTTGCGATCCCCAATGCATAGATGTCGAAATAAAGTCGGAGGGTGGCGTCGATGAGAGTGTCCTTGTGTGTGCTACATAGCGCCCCTGATATTTCCCGAGGAACGAGGTCGCGGATGTCCCTGCCGTGGATGTACTCCAACAAGATGATGTTGACAGTTCTACTGTGCTGAGCGTGTAGGGGAGCTACAAAATTCCCATAGAAATGCGGAACCTTCGTCCCGTAAAGCCACTTTAGACGTTGGTATGCTTGTGTCTCCCGCGAGACGAAGAAATCGAGGAAACTGAAGGGATCAAAGTACTGTGCCTCTCCGAAATAAACGGGATCGTAGATTTTTGCGATCATGATCGATGGGTATACGGTGGCATTGGGTGAAGAATTGTGGACATGAGCTGTCCAGACATGGGCGATACGATGGGTACTGGAGAGAAGTCGCTTATCGAGGACGATGGAAACATTAGCGGATATGGTAGGAACTCGGCGAGCTATGGAGGCATCCATGCGATCTGCAATTTGGATCACGACCAACGCGTCCTTCGGGTAGAAACCCCGGTCATTTTCAGGACAGTCTAGTGGCGAGTGAGGATACAGCTGCAGGGAGGCCCCGGGAAAGTATGTGCTCTCCAAGCTTGGGACTGCCGTTGAGGGTGACATTGAAATGACAGGCTGCTGGACGCCGACTACAGCCGTGCCGGCCGGCTGCTCATGCTGGGAGCGGCATATCGGCATCGGACATTGTCGGCAGTCGGCTTTTATACCCATCACCCTCGTTGGCAGCGGGCTGCACCACCTTTACGGCGACGACATTGGTCGACTTTGCGTGCGCGGACCTTGCTTAGATTCGACTGCATTGCTATGATACCAGTTTATGCCGCCGGCATATCCAGCGTCTCTTGCAAACCAACTGAAGCCAGTACCTGAGGACGTCGAGGGAAGCATACCATACACACCGTCACCGGTCACCGTCGGACACGACTTTCACCGCGAATCGTTACATTCCCAGGCATCAGAATCCCACCCACCCGTTTCTGCTGTTGTGCCACGTTCACCCGCTCCTGCTGAAACGCTCGCATCCATTACTCTCACGCGTATTGTGGCCCCTCGTTCGACGCCTCAAATGCTGGGAGTACAAGGTCACTGCTGACATCTAACGTATGACGGAGAGGCGGGAGCGTCAGTAATGGTAACTCAAATACGACGTAGAGGCATATTAGCTCACAGGCTATACCCTTGCAAAGATGCTGGAAGCAGGCAGTATTCTCTTCGACGATGACGGCGAGCCTTAGACCCGCTGGCCTGTTCCGTTGGGCGCCGTTTGCAGGATAGCAGAAACTTGAAAGCAGCATTGGCCTCCCTGGTCGGTAATGTTGTTTCTTGTAGTGCTTTGGTGATCATCTTGGTGTTGGGGGTTTTTCCGTATTAGCAATACGCGAGGAGAGGAAAGTGGTGAGCACTCTTTATTATTCCTGCGTATCTTCTCTGATTTCAATGCCCATATTTCAACTATTCTTTATCGTTGTGATCTATTGTACGTGCCATCTATCTTACCTGCATGCTTTTCTCTAAGTTTCCTTCAGCGTACATATCTAGAAACCTCTGTATTCGCCACTGTTGCTGTGTTGTGGACACTCCTAAATGCTTCGTGTTGACTGCTTGAAACATGAACCATACACGTCCACATCCCTGGGAAACGCTGGAGAGTCAAACTATTTCGCACAACATGATCTACTGCCTGCCGGATTCCACCGAGGAACCCAGCAGTCCAACATTCGTAAATCCTGCATCGACATTATGTAGAGGACGACCATTTACGACCATATCTTTCATCGTTCGAGTACCAACACTACCCTTATCGATCCAAGATACCTGTGGAAATACTCCAGAGTCTATATCCATCCCCTTCTTTGTACTTTTAATCGCCATTGAGATTACCGCTTGACCTCCCCAATTGTTTATAGGTGCTAAGTATCTCAAGCTCGGATGTAAGGAAGCTCCCTCCTGCGTGATCTCTATCTCACCTCACTTCAACTAGAGTTGTCGCATATGAAGGAATTCATCACCTCGACTTTGAGCCTAACAAATGATTACACTGGCGTTGCACCCCAGTTTGTGCGAGACGAGAAGCTGTAAATAATCGGTCCTTCCTTGAGACCGTTAACTTCCCCGTCTACGGACTGAAAGACCTTATGATCGACTCATGCTTTCCATCAGCCATCGAGCGCCTTTCAAATAAACAGAGGCGTCGCATCGTGATTGTTTTGCCTCAATCTCCGGTATATAGACCGTTGATCATGCCAGAGAAGGTTTGGTATATCTCATTACGTGCAACGACTTTCCATCTCTTGATCGTCGTCCCTGCTCTTCCCTTCCCCTAGCTTGGATGGATACAGCATGGACTGAAGATCCACAATAGCTTCTATGATGCAATATTTTGGGCCGACGGACCGTGGTATGCCACGTTCCGCTGTGATTTGAAGATTTGAATTTTACACTCACAGGCCCTAGTATGTTCGATCTCTATCCCCAATCCAGTTCCTCCATTCCGACGTTAAACTGGTAGTACGTGGTGCCGCGAACAAATGAAAAAGACTAATGCTGCTGATGGGAATAATTTGTTCACGCAATGTACATCGACAACTGTGAATATAACCAGTAACTCGCTGTCAACACCGATGTCACTTTCGCAATTGACCCCACATTCCAAGTCCACGTCGCTTCCCTGTCAAGCACTGATTCCACCACCACGAGCGCCACTTCACTTCCACCTTTACAGTAACACAGAGAGAAAGCTCGTCACAATCTCCCAATGCGAGGAGTCCATTTTTGTCGAGAATGCCCCCTGTACACCGAACTGGGTGTATTGGAAATGGCGGTAGTCGGTGCACCCGACGAACACTTGGGGGAGTCGCCTTTAGCGTTCGTGACTCTCAAGCCTGGATATGGCGGATTATTCGATGAGGAGAAAACGAAATTGTGAGTGTACCTACGCTCCGCCCGTTCTGACCCTTAAAGTAATCGGTCTAGAAAGGTTACCTAGATATCCTGTTCCGGCGATGATTGTTCTGCATGATCGTGGATTTGGTGAGTGTTGTATTGGTTAACTGAAGATGAATTTGAATCGAAGATTGGGGCACAGATCACAGGTCTTCTGGGAAGATTATCAGAGCACCGTTAAGGGTCATAGCCCAGAGGGAGTAGGAAAGGAGGACGGAAGGAAAGAATAGGGTAGATTCAGCACCGCTCAAGTCGGTGCCATATCGTGAGATGCTTGCGAATATATTTTATTCGAGATGTCGACAACTTCCAGGTGATTAATTCCCTACCTTTGTACCCCCCTCAAATACAATTTTATCCCGACATGATATGCCCTTGTCTCTTCTCACTCCCTACGAAGAGTTTTTCTTCGGCGAGACACACTCAACAGTGTTAGAATGGTAATGGTGGTGGTGTTACCGGCGCCAGGTCCCAATAAGGAACGGCCGAGTAGTGTTTCGATGACGTGACTTGGCGCAGCTCGGCGCGACTTCATTCGGCTTCGGCTTCAACGGCTTCACCAAGTCATAATTTTTGATAGCTTTGAAGCCAAGTTGCCGTCACGCCGCTCCAGCCGGTCAAGCTATGACTTCATGCATTTCCTTTAAATGGCTCATCAGTAGATTTTCAGGTAACGTAATATTCCAGAAATTTTCGGAGAAACTGCGGGAAAAATTAAAGTCGACCTAAAATACAGTTATTGACAGGTCATTGCAACACCATCAGTCACTGAAACAGTTGATTTAGCCTCCTTCTCCCCAGTTCCGCTGCCTGACAGTGTTGCATAATCGGAGACATAGATATTATGGATTTTTAGTGATTTTTTGGGAATTTTAGCGCTACTGCTGACCCCGTGAAAAATCGAACAGTGATGCAAATTTGGCAGGGGTTTGCCACGTGGTCATTTACCAGTCAATGAAACACCGTAAATTACGGATATCTCAATACTAGATGCTTTGATCCAGTTCATACTTTGTATGGACATCACTGAGTAATATTAAAAATTTTGTGGCTACTTTATTTGAGGAAAAAGACAATGTGTGGTGGATGGGACAAAAAATATTTTTCGGCATTCCAATGACCGGTAAATAACTGTAGCATTTCGGTATTTTTTACTCAAGTCGAAGCTCGGGCAACTTCAAGTCGCGCTAAGCCGCGCCGAGCCGGTACTGTGGTGTGACTTTGCCGAAGTCATTCGGCAACATCGGCGTGACTTCGTTCGGCTTGACTGGCGTGGCGCGCGGCTTTAAGCCGAGTCATCGAAACACTACGGCCGAGTCCACAGCCCTGACATGGCGAACCATGCCGCGCTGTGGCTGCAAAGGCTCATACCATTGTAATCACACTGTTGAGTGCGTCTCGCGGAGTAGAGACTCTTCGCAGGGTACACGATTGAATGAAAAGTGATGGAGATGAGCACAATCGAACATGGAGAACCAGTTAGCATTGGTGTACACCTCGAAAATCCGGTGCGGTGTATGACTCTTTAATAAGAATCAGTGCCATCCAAAAGGAGGAGCGTTATGAAATGGCTCATGAGACATGTGCATCAACAATGACAGTGAAAGAACATGTGAACAAATGTGAAACGCGTAACGGGAGAGTGAGACATGGTCCATGGACCATGAGGTGTATGGAAGGTCAGCAGCAATGAGAAGATATCAAGCACAATGGGAGCATACGAAACAAAGAACCACAAACTGCAGGAACGAAACACAAGCATCGTGTGCGCACAACAAACGAGGCCCGTTGTTTCGCTCAAGCCTTAGCCCATATGAAACGGAAACTAAGAACAGCGAAACAGGCAAGCTCCTTCGAGAAAGAGACTGCCTGCGAACGAAACACCGAGTATCACCAGATTGGTGACATCCTTCACGAAGGACACCACCAGCGGACGTAACCACCGAGTACACAGGTGAGATCTTTCGGAAAGGATCTCATCTGTGGACGTAACCACTGCACAGGCGAAATCCTTCGCAAAGGACTCCATCTGCGGACGTAACATGGTTATGAGCCAGCGTCACGGTGTCGTCAAATTGTCTGCACAGCCACAATCACTCGTCTTTTCTTAACCATCAAGTCAGTCGTGCTGTTCACCTAGTACCTTTGTGCTGCGCGAGTCTCAGTGCCCCTACACAATATTCTTCCTGTGAGCGGTTGCTATGCAAGGTCGAATAATGGAGGAACGCCAAATTAATGAAGATGGAGCAGGAATTGGGATCAGGTCGGTGAGTATGCTAGCTACCTGGGAACGTGAGAGATAGCTAATCGGGAATAAGCGCTGTGCCTACGGTGGATCTTTGTCTGAACTGTCACCCCACATCTCTGACCATGATTTTGAACGCATTTCCCGAACTCAGTGCCGAGGCTGGAATCCGATTGCGGGAGACAAAGGTTCGTTAGATAGAACATTCCAGTGCTAATTCTGGTATTGTTAGACGATTTTAATGCACCGCCACATTTTTGCCGACGAGTATGAGATGTGTTCCTTGTTACGCTGCGGCCCTAGTCTAACCCCGAGTCAGGCCCAAACCCTGTATGGTTTCAAGGCGGGCTCGGGGTTCGGAATTCGAAAGCCAGGCCCAAGCCCGCACCTGTAAATCACTAAATTATTGGCGGCTCCGAGTCCATGGAGGCAATAAGTTTCAGAAGCCCCCAAATATCCGGTGAGGACGTTCATTAATGCCAGCATAGATAACATTTTCGACCTTTTGTCGGTTGTCTGGATGCATTGAAGACCATTCAACAGAATGTGCGATAGCTCTGGACACGGTGTCTGACTCGCCTTCCGGACGGCTCTTCTCAACCACAGAGTATATATACTTGACGCCATGGTCCCTAGACGGTACTCTTATCAATCATGACGGATGCTAAAACACAAACCCCGCGCTGCTCTATCGAAGAAGGTGAGCTTACTGACAAAAAAAGCCAGAACATTCGCATGCTAATTTGACTAGCCGACAGAATACTCACAGGACCCGGAAGTTCGCTCGAAATCGAAACTCGAGTCAGTGTTCTGAGCTGCCATCTACTCTTTGAAGGTCTAAATGCAATATAGGTCATTGACGGGAGGGTCCTGAAAGTATGGAAGAATCTCTGGCCATCCATGCGGCACCTCTTCTTGCACTCGACCACGGAGCACGCCGACAAAGTCTATATAGTATACGGGAAAGAGCGTTACACCTATCAGGAGGTATTAGAGAAGGCGGTCAAATGTTCTGCCATTTTGAGAGATGTTTATGGCATCAAGAAAGGTAAGGATATCCTGTTGTTTTTTTTTTAGTTAAACCACCTGCTTACTCGCTTTCGGGGAAGGGGATCGAGTAACAATCTGCTCTCGAAATTGTCCGACTTACGTGGTCGTGTTTTGGGCTTGCCGTGCGTTGCATCTCATGTCTGCTTCAAAACCGAGGACTCAATCTTGTAACAGATCTTCTGGGTGCCGTCACCGCTCTTGTGCACATGTAAAATTTGCTTCTGCATGCCTTTCATTCTTCGTTTTCTGATCGTACCAAAGGTGGCTACCAGTGGAGCCGCTCCGACACTGTATAACGCTTACAAAATGCTCACTGATCATCCTTGACACCGAGCGAGCTGACATGGTCGAACCGATTAGTGCTGAGCTTAGGCTCGCATGCGGTGCATCAGGATGTCTCGTCCTCGAGGATCACGAAGGGAAAGGCCATTGGGAAGGCATGGACGTTTGGAGTAGAGTCTTCTCCGAATACGATGGAGACATTAGCGAGGTGCTGAATTGCGATCCTCAAATTTCACCTGAAGATAACGCAATGATTATCTTTACGTCGGGAACCACTGGCTTACCAAGTACGTAGTAGCTGAACCTGTTTCACAGATCATCAATGACGTTGTTCGTTCTAGAGGGTGTCTTGAGCACACATCGTGCATTCTTGACTCCGTTATTTGATGTATGTCCTCTTTTCTATGAACTATTTCGTTGAGCTTATAAATTGTACTAGATACCTTTGTTTACAGGGAGAGACTGCCTTCGACGAGGCGAACCACTCCTTCAGGCACCTAGTACAGGTCCTCAGGAAGGTTTCCTGTTTCCAGGGATGCTGTCACAGGCTTCTTTCATTCTCGCGACTGTAAGACTGGCAGCCGACATGGTAACGAATCAATATTCACCCGTTTTCAGATGCACTGTGCTGTTCAAGGATTCAAGGTCGTTTTAACACGCACATGGAATGTACCTGAAGGCAAGAATCGACTTTGTTCTTGTTTAAAGGTCTCATTCTTACTCAATACTTGCAGCTGCGGAGTAATTCCATCCATTTGATTTGGCACAGCTTTCTTGCCTGCTAACTGATATTTCATTCTAGACTGTGTAAAACAGAGAATATCGTTCGGCTCGGCGGGTGCGTATCTATGTTTTCGTGCTTGCGTTAGTTAACGATGTTGCAGTCCACCTTTAACCATCAGAGAGCTCGCTGAGAGCGCGATATCCAACATTTCAATAAAAAGCATATTATATGGAGGTAACCCAACTGCACCGTCTCACTTTCAAAGATTTAGACAAGCATTTCCTCTCGCCACCATGTAAGTGCGTCCCAGCGTGTCCAGTAGTCGGCACTTACTCGGGTTATCTTGTAGCTTCCACCTATATGGTCTAACTGAGACGAATTCCGCCGGGGTAGGTTTCGGTGAGGAAATTCTTTCATAAACAGATTACAGCAGAGGCCTGATCTGCTCCCCAGGTGGACCGGATTACGATGCGAGGCCAGATAGCTGGTGAGTCTGTTTGTTCTATTTCTCTCATCCTTAAACTGTTTCAATTTGCAGTGGTTTCGTGGTTCCTGTCAACGAGATTCTGATACTGCAAGATGGTGCTAAAGCTGCGCCAGGAGTGGTGGGAGAGATTTGGCTTCGCGGTCCGAATGTGATGAAAGGGTATTACGGCGACGAAGGTTGGTCCCAAGATCGTTTATCTCACTGGTACACAGGCTTACATGTTCGGACAATGGCTGAAGTTGCTACCAATCGGGTGGGATCCCTTATTTATAGGTGCTTGTGGCCACTGAACTTTGATCTAGGTCCTTACTAAAGACGGATGGTTGATGACCGGCGATCTTGGACGAATTGATGAAGGTGGTTACGTTTACATCACGGACAGGATCAAAGATATCATCATCAGGGGTGGTTATAACGTTGTGAGTGCCATTATAGTATGTTATACAACTCTCCGTGATGGGCGAATTCATAGGATTCCGTTTTCGTCGAGAATGCCCTGTACACCGAACCGGGTGTATTGGAAGCAGCAATCGTTGGCGTACCTGACGAGTATGCGGGGGAATTGCCCGTCGCATTGGTGACCCTCAAGTCTGGGTATGGTGGATTAGTCGATGAGGAGAAACTTACGGCGACTGCCGAGAAGCTGTAAGTGTATCCATCTTCTGGATCTAGCTTTCCTCAAAGTAATCTGTCTGGAAAGGTTACCCAAATATGCTGTTCCGGTGATGATTATTCTGTATAATCATGGATTTGGTAGGTGTGGTATTGCTCAACTGAAGATGATTCTGAATCAGAGATTGGGCACAGATCACACGGCTTCTGGGAAGATTATCAAAGGGCCGTTAAAGGTCATAGCCCAGAGGGAGTGGGCAAGGAGGTCGAGGAAAGAATAGACTAACCTTCAAGTTATGAAATACATAGAGCGGTGCTGTTCGTTCCGCGCCTGTGAATACATTATATGCGGCTTTAACGAAGTATGAATGGTAAACATCGTCGTACAGCATACAAGGTAACCTAAACAATCAAAACTTGCCAAAATGATGTGTTAGAATCTGTCCTTGACTCTCAGTTGGAAGGATTGAACTTACCTGTTTGTTATCCAGATTATACAACAGGACTGGCGACACCAGGCCTCAACCGACGCCCTCGAAATCGTACCTCCTCACCAATCGGTGATCTCATCAGCAGAGCGCGCCAGGCATGGCAAGGATCCGGGGACGTTCAATTCAGTTAGGCGCGTACCCGAAGAGCCGGCGGGTTCACTCACCACGACACGACCTGGTCGACATGGCTCAACCTTTCACGGCATCGTTGCCATGCCTCACATGAGACTGTCGATCCTGGCCTGTCTTGCCAGGATACTCACCCCGCCCCTGCAGAACCAACGACATGCTCATACGGTACTAAGCATGGCGAAAGAACGTGTGATCGCGGGTGTCCACGCTTCACGTCCCTACGTACCTTCCGGTTGTGCTAAAGCCTTCCGTGGTTTTGATTTTTGGTTGACTGGCTTGATCGGTCTGAGACTTGGACAAGGGGCTGTGCATATGACTGTTTAATATAGATGAGCGATGTAAAGTCGAATTATTACAGCTGGCTTTGTGATGGAAAAACTTGTGATAGCGAAGGTAGCAATGTAGCGAGTCTTCAAAGGCTGATATACAAGAGCAGAGCGGAACCGTACTTCAGGTGAACACTTTGTCAGGCCTGTGCATTTCATTGGTTCTCCATTTCCTTCCCTAAGCGAGATGAGAGAAAAGTCATTGCAGGAGATGAATCCACATACCTTCCTAGACTGTGTTCTCGTCAACATCGGTCGAGATTTGCATTGCTCTGCGCCCATAGAAATGCGGAACCTTCGTCCTGTAAAGACGTTTTAGACGTTGGTATGCCTGTGTCTCCCGCGAGATGAATAAATCGAGGAAACTAAAGGGATCAAAGTACTGCGCCTCTCCGAAATAAACGGGATCATAGATTTTTACGATCATGGTCGATGGGTATCCGGTAGCGCTGGGTGAAGAATCTTGGATATGAGCTGTCCAGACATAGGCAATACGTTCAGTACTGGAGAGAAGTCGCTTATCGAGGACGATAGAAACATTAGTGGACATAGTCGGAGGAATGGGAACTCGGTGAGCTATGGAGGCATCAAGGTGATCTACAATCTGGGTCATGAACGCGTCCTTTGGTAGATGCCCCGGTCATCTTCAGGATAATATGGTGGCGGATGAGCATACAGCTCCAGGGAGACCCCGGGAAAGTGTGTACTCTCCAAGCTTGGGACTGCCGTTGAGGGAAAATGACAGACTGCTGGACGCCGACTACAGCCATGCCGGCCGGCTGATAATAGGTACGGCATATCGGTATCGGACATTGTCGGCAGTTGGCAGCGGTCTGCACCACTTTTACGGCAACGACATTGGTCGACTTTGCGTGCACGGACCTTGCTTAGATTCGACTGCACTGCTATGATATCACAGCGTCTCTTGCAAACCAACTGAACCAAGTACCTGAGGGCGTACACGCTGCCGCCGGTCAACGCTGGATTCACCGAAAATCGTCACATTCCCAGGGATCAGAATCTCACCCACCTGTTTCTGCTGCTGTCCCACGTTCATCTGCTTCCTTCCACCATCCGTCAAGCACACGCATCCATTATCTTCACGCGTATCGTGGCTCCTTGTTCGATGCCTGTCACGCCTCAAATACTGGGAGTACAAGGCCATTGATGGCATCCAGCGGGTGACGGAGACGCGGAAGCGTCAGTAATGGCAACTCAAATACGACGCAGAGGCATATTCACTCACAGGTTATACCCTCGCAAATATGCTGGAAGTGGGCAGTATTTTCTTCGACGACAACGATCCTCAGACCCGATTGCCGGCTCCGTTGGGCGCTGTTTGCATCCCCGAAGAGGATAACAGAGACTTGGAAGTAGGCGAAGCAGCATTGGCCGCGCTGGTTGGTGGGATTCGTTTTTTGCAGTGCTTTGATGATTATCTTGGCGTTGATGGTTTTGTCGTATTGACAATACGCGAGGAGAAGAAAGTGGTAAGTACTCTTTATTATTCCTGCATATCTTTTCTGACCCTGATGTTCAGTGTGTTCAGATTCAGCCATTTTTATTGTTGTAATCTATTGTACGTATCATCTATCTCACTCGCAATTTTTCCTTTCCTCTAATTTTCCTTTACAACTATCTCTCCCCTTCCAGTTCTCTTCGATCTCTCATTCCTGGCTCCTCGTCTGCTTGCGCAAGACCATATAGATAGCGGATCAGACTGGTATACGAATGCCGTGGGGGGAGACGCCGTGTAAGACTACTTGTGCTTCCACTCTTTGTTAGAACTTAACTTTTTGCCAGGCTGAACGCACAAGAGCCTCTATGGCGCTAGATTCCGGGCAGATGGATGCCACGCTTCCGTTGTGATCTGAAGACATAGTCTGAATCTTACATCCACAAGTTCTAGTATGTTGGATCTATCTTCGGTGCAGTTTCCTCCATTCTGACGTTAAACTGGTAGTACATTGTCCCGCGAACAAATGAAGAACGTCAATGCTGCTGACGGGAATAATTCGTTCACGCATTGTGCATGGACAACCGTGAATATAACCAGTAGCTCGCAGTCTCACTTTCGCAAACTAACGCTGCTTTCCCGGTCCACGTCGCTTCCCTTGTCAAGCACTGGTTCCACCACCGCGCGCGCTACTTCAGCTTCCACCCTTACACACAGAGAAAGTTCGTCATAATCTCCCAGTGCGAGGAGTCCAGTCGGTGCACCAGACGAACGCTTGGGGAGTTGCCTGTAGCGTCGGTGACTCTCGAGCCTGGATACGACGGATTTGTCGACGAGGAGAAAACTCATGGTGCACTACAGAGAAATTGTGAGTGTACCTACGCTCCGCCCGTCCTGGCCCTCAAAGTAATCGGTCTAGAAATGCTCCCTAAATATGCCTCTCTGGCGATGATTATTCTGCATGATCGTGTATTTGGTGAGTGCTGTATGGTCAACTGAAGACAGATTTGAATTGAAGATTGGGGCACAGATCATCTTCTGGGAAGATTACCAAAGCGCCGTAGCCCAGAGGGAGTGGGAATGGAGTATGGAGGAAAGAATAGGGTAGATACGCCACTACTGAAGTCTGTGCCGTGTCGTTAGATGCTTGCGAATAAATTCTATTCGCGATGTCGACATTTTCCAGGTGTTTAATTCTATACCTTTGTACCCCTCAAATACAATTTATCCCGACATGATATGCCCTTGTCTCTTCTCACTCCCTGCGAAGAGCCTCTACTCTGCGAGACGCACTCAACAGTGCGTTAGAAATTAGAATGGTCTGAGCCAGGGTGTCGCCAAATTGCCTGCACAGCCACATCATTCGTCTTTTCTTAACCACCATGTCGGTCAGTCTCGCTCTTCACCTAGTACCTTTGTGCTGCGCGAGTCTCAGTGTCCCTACACTATCTTCTTCCTGTGAGCGGTTGCTATGCAAGGTCGAATAATGGAGGAACGCGAAATTGTTGAAGGAATTGGGATCAGGCCGGTGAGTATGTTAGCCTTCCGGGAACGTGAGAGACGGTTAACTAGAAATAGGCACTGTGACTACGTGTATCTTTATCTGAACTGTCATCCCACATCTTTGACCATGATTTTGAATGCGTTTCCTGAAGTCAATGCCGAGGCTAGAATCTGATTGCAGGAGAGAAAGGTTCGTTAGATAGGACGTTTGAATACTAATTCTGGTATTGTTAGATGATTTCAATACACCGCCATATTTTTGTCGACAATATGAGATGCGTTCCTTGTTACAGGCCCTGCCCTAACCCCGAGTCAGGCCTAAGCCTTGTAGGGTTTCAAGATAGGCTCGGGGGGTCTGAATTCGAAAAGCCAGGCTCATGCCCGCCCCTGTAAATCAATGAATTATTGGCAGCTCCGAGTCTATGGAAGCGATAAGTATCAGAAGGCCCCAAACATCCGATGAGGGCGTTCGTTAGTGCCAACATATATAATATTTTCGACCTTTTGTCGGTTGTCTGGATGCACTGAGGACTATTCGATGGAGGGCGCGATGGTGTTGGACTCGGTGTCTTTCCGGGCGGCTCTTCTCAACCACAGAGTATACATACTCTACTTCATGGTTCACAGATGGTAGTTTTAATCACTCATGACGGACGCTAAAACACAAACCCCGTGCTGCTCTATCGAGGAAGGTGAGCTTACTGTCAAAAAAAAAGCCAGGACATTCGCATGCTAATTTGACTAGCCGACAGAATACTCACGGGACCCAGAAGTTTGCTCGAAATTGAAACTCGAGTCAGTACTTTCAGCTGCCATCTACTCCTTCAAGGTCTAAACGCAATACAGGTCGTTGACGGGAGGGTCCTGAAAGTCTGGAAGAATCTCTGGCCATCCATGCGGCACCTCTTCTTGCACTCGACCAAGGAGCACGCGGACAAAATCTATATAGTATACGAAAAAGAGCGTCACACCTACCAGGAGGTATTAGAGAAGGCAGTCAAGTGCTCCGCCATTTTGAGAGATGTTTACGGCATTAAGAAAGGTAAGGATATTCTGTTGTTTTTTTAGTTGAACCACCTACTTACTCACTTTCGGGGTAGGGGATCGAGTAACCATCTGCTCTCGAAATTGTCCTACTTACTTAGTCGTGTTTTGGGCTTGTCGTGCGTTGCATCTCACGTCTAATTTAAAACTAAGGACTCAATCCCGTAACAGATCTCTTGGGTGCTGTCACCGCTCTTGTGAACATGTAACATTTGCTTCCATGTTCAGTCTTCGTTTTCTGATCATACCAAAAGGTGGTTGCCATTGGAGCCGCTCCGACACTGTATAACGCTTACAAAATGCTCACTGATCATCCTTGACACCGAGCGAGCTGACATGATCGAACCGATCGGTGCTGAGCTTAGGCTCGCATGTGGTGCGTCAAGATGTCTCGTCCTCGAGGATCACGAGGGGAGAGGTCATTGGGAAGGTATGGACGTTTGGAGTAGAGTCTTCTCCGAATACGATGGAGATATTGGCGAGGTCCTGAATGACGATCCTCAAATTTCACCTGAAGATAACGCAATGATTACCTTCACATCGGGGACCACTGGCTTACCAAGTACGTCGTACTAAGCTGAACCTGTTGCACAGCTCATCCATCATGACATTGTTCGTTCAAGAGGGTGTCTTGAGCACACAACGTGCATTCTTGACTCCGTTATTTGATGTATGTCCACTTTTCTGTGAACTATTTTATTCAGCTTATAAATCGTACTAGTTAGCTTTGTTGATAGGGAGAGACTGCCTTCGACGAGGCGAACCACTCCTTCAGGCACCTAGTACAGGTCCTCAGGAAGGTTTCCTGTTTCCAGGGATGTTGTCACAGACTCCTTTCATCCTCACGATTGTAAGACTGACGGCGGATATGGTAACGAATCAGTATTTACCTGTTTTCAGATGCATAGTGCTGTTCAAGGGTTCAAGGTGATTTTAACACGCACATGGAATGTACATGAAGGCAAGAATCGATTTTGCTCGTGTTTAAAGGTCTCATTCTTACTCAATACTTGCAGTTGCAGAGTAATTCTATCTGTTTCATTCAGTACAGCTTTCTTACTGCTGACTGATACTTCATTCTAGACTGTGTAATACGGAGAATATCGTTCGGCTCGGCGGGTGCGTATCTATGTTTTCGTGCTCGCGTTAGTTAACGGTGTTGCAGTTCACCTTTTATCGTCAGAGAGCTCGCTGAGAGCGCGATGTCTAAAAATTCGATAAAAAGCATATCATATGGAGGTACCCCCATTGCACCGTCTCACTTTCAAAGATTTAGACAAGCATTTCCTCTCGCCACCATGTAAGTGCACCCCAGCCGGTCCAGTAGTTGGCGCTCATTCGGGTTATCTTGTAGGTTTCAAATATATGGTCTTACCGAGACGAATGCCGCCGCGGTAGGCTTCGGTAAGGAAATTCTTTCTTAAACAGATTACAGCAGAGGCCTGATCTGCTCTCCAGGTGGACCGGATTACGACGCGAGGCCAGATAGCTGGTGAGTCTGTTTGTTCTATTTCTCTCGTATTTAAACTGTTTCGATTGCAGTGGTTTCGTGGCTTCTGTCAATGAGATTCTTATAATGAAAGATGGTGCTAAAGCTGCGCCAGGAGTGGTGGGAGAGATTTGGCTTCGCGGTCCAAATGTGATGAAAGGGTACTACGGCGACAAAGGTTGGTCCCAAGATCGTTTATCTCACTGGTACACAGGCTTACACTTTTGGAAAACGGCTACAGCTACTACTGATCAGGTGGGATCCCTTATTTACAGGTGCTTGTGGCGACTGAACTTTTGATTCAGGTCCTGACTAAAGACGGATGGTTGATGACCGGTGATCTTGGACGAATTGATGAAGGTGGTTATGTCTACATCACGGACAGGATCAAAGATATCATCATCAGGGCTAGTTATAATGTTGTGAGTACCATTGCAATGCGTTATACATCTCTCAGTGATGAGCGAATTCATAGGATTCGGTTTTCGTCGAGAATGCCCTGTACACCGAACCGGGTGTATTGGAAGCAGCAGTAGTTGGCGTACCTGACGAGTATGTGGGGGAGTTGCCTGTAGCGTTGGTGACCCTCAAGTCCGGGTATGGTGGATTAGTCGATGAGGAGAAACTCACAGCGACTGCCGAGAAGCTGTAAGTGTATCCATCTTCTGGATCTAGCTTTCCTCAAAGTAATCTGTCTGGAAAGGTTACCCAAATATGCTGTTCCGGTGATGATTATTCTGTATGATCGTGGATTTGGTGAGTACGGTATTGCTCAACTGATGAGGTTCTGAATCAGAGATTGGACACAGATCACACAGCTTCTGGGAAGATTGTCAAAGGGCCGTTAAAGGTCATAGCCCAGAGGGAGTGGGCAAGGAGGTCGAGGAAGGAATAGGCCAACTGAAATAATTGGGGGTCAGGAATGTATTTCTATATAATTATGTTTCCGCACACTGGGAACCGCTGGTAGACGAGAGAAGACACTTCAAGTGGAGTGTTCGGCGATAACATCAGTCACCTCATACATTGTTCGTGTCGAAGCCCGAACAGCCTAGTCACATGCTACCGAAGAGTCTTGAGTCCGGCGTCTAAATAACCGTTTTTATAGTTCAACGTGTTAGAGGTGTCCTTCTATTGCAGCTATCATGACGAGCACGGCAACCTGGACCCCACGCTGCTCTGTGGATGAAGGTATGTCTACCCTACCAATGCAGGAGCTTGCTGATGTGTAATAGCGGACAAAATAATCACAAGGTCAGGAAGTCTATTTGAGATTGAGAATCGTGTGAGTGTTCAGCATTTCAGCATTGTGGCTTGCTTTGGATGTGATATAGGTCGTCGATGGGAGGGCCTTGAAAGTCTGGAAGAATCTCTGGCCATCCGCACGAGAGTTCTTCTTGAAATGGACCAAGAAGCACGCCGACAAAACTTATGTGGTATACGAGAAACAGCGCTTCTCCTTCCAGGAAATGCTAGAAATGGCTGTTAAATGTGCGGCCATGTTTAGAGATGTTTACGGTGTTAAAAAGGGTAAGTTAACGTCGAGTCGCTTTTTCAGTGCTACAACCCACCTCCAACTTACAGGTGATCGAGTCGTTATCTGCTCTCGAAATCTTCCAAGTTACTACGTCGTGTTTTGGGCTTGTCGTATGTTTTGCAACCATGCTTCAACAAAATTGAGATACTGAATTCTGCAACGCAGACCTTCTCGGTGCTGTAACTGCTCTCGTGAATGCGTACAATCCGAACTTGCTTCCGATGTTTCACGTCCTGATCCACCCAATAGGTGTCTATCTATAGACCGCCTCAGACGCTGCATCATGCTCACAAAATGCAGGCTGGTCATCTTTGATCCCGAGCGAGCCGATGATATCGAACCGATCGCTGCTGACATTAAGCGCGTGTCGGGCATTGAGGGATACCTGGTCCTTGAGGATCACGAAGGCAAAGGCCGCTGGGAAGGCATGGACGTTTGGAGCAAAGTATTCCTCCAGTGCCATAAGGATCCAGGAGAAATACTGCGTGACAATCCTCACATTGTTCCAGAGGATAATGCAACGATCATATTTACGTCGGGAACTACTGGCCTACCAAGTAGGTTTCATCAATTCATCCGGTCACGAAGGAGTCCTGATTTACTTTTTCTTGTAGAGGGTGTTCTAAGTTCACAGCGCGCATTCCTGACTCTCGTGTTAACTGTATGGTGTATATTCTCAGGGCGGTTCAGGTGGTTCTCATGGATTTTCTATAGTCAATGTCTTTGACTGCAAGGGGTCGTATTCGGCGAGGCGAACCATTCCCTCCATTACCTGTTTCAGGTCCTCAGAAGGGAGCTCTGATTTCATCGCCATTGTTCTACATCAGCGGAATCACTCTGAGCGTAAAGCAGCTTCTCACTGCTACCATGAGCAAGGGCTGATGTATTCTTAGCTTCTTGGTACTTGTTTCGGACTCAAACTTATTTTGATGCGGAAATGGAATGCACACGAAGGTGAGGATTGGTTCTATTTTGATCTGGATGGACCTTGTTACATCTATTTTCCCAGCTATAAGGTAACTTGTATCCGTCCCGTGCATGGAAGGTGCTTTACAAATTAATGCTTTCAGACTTTGCAGAGAAGAGAACATTGTCTTGACAGGAAGGTCTGTCTTTTTTTCCCTTGTTTCTTGCGACTCCTGCTGACCATCATGAGCATCTCAGTGCACCATCACTTCTGATTGATCTCCTCGATAGCCCGTCATCAGGTCTAACCTTGGAGAACGTTGGCATCGCAGGTGCCCCAGTCTCACCGACTCTTCTCCAGAGAACAAAGGAGGCTTTCCCCCTTGCAACAATGTGGATTCTTTAGTACGATCTGTTCTATCTTGGTCACTGATTTTGCCATTTCGTAGAAGACATTTGTACGCTCTCACTGAGACCAATGCCACATCGGTATCATTCGGTGGGAATTTCCTTTCAAAGCATCTTGTTGGGTTACCTGATGACGTCCTAGATGGGCCGGATTTTCTCGCCAAGCCAGATAGCTGGTGCAGTCCAAGTATACTGCCTTTCCTGTATCATTAAGCTAATCTGTTCCAGCGGTTTTGTATCTCCGGTCAACGAGATTTTAATAATGAAAGGCCATGTCAGAGCTGCTCCGGGGGAGGTGGGAGAGGTGTGGCTCCGTGGTCCCAACGTGATGAAAGGGTATTATGAAGATCAAGGTTCTGTCATATTCTGTTTGTTGCGGACCTGTGCCGATGATCATGATGCTACACAGCCGCTACTGACAGGGTATACAAAATGCGTATCCCTAGTATCTTTTCCAGCGACTCATTTTCGATCAAGGTACTCACCAAAGATGGATGGCTGATGACCGGTGATCTTGGCTACGTCGATGAAGAAGGGTATGTCTACATTAAAGACAGGATTGAAGACATGATATTCCGTGCCGGGGAGAGCATTGTGAGTAGCCTGTTATATCTTGCTATAACGAGCCAACCGTATGCAGGACCCTATTTCCGTGGAGAACGCCCTGTACACCGAACCAGCTGTTCTCGAAGCAGCTGCAGTGAGCGTACCCGATGATAGGCTGTGCCAGCTAGTGACGGCATTGGTCACCCTCAAACCTGGGTATCACGGAAAGATCAGCGAGAAAAAACTTTTGGAGACTGCGAGGAAACTGTGGGTGATATTCTCCGAATTGAGTTGCAGTTCCTCAGCCTATGAGTAGGTTACCACAGTCCGCCGTCCCGGTAATGATTATTTTGAAGGATGGGGAGTTTGGTGAGTCCTTATATATTTAAAACGCGCACATTCTAAAATGTAGGCAGATCATACGCCTTCTGGCAAGATAATCAAGGTACAGTTAAGGGCAATAGCGCAGGAAGAGTGGGTACGCAGAAAGAAGGAAAATACGCAGATAGACGAAGCGAAGTCCACGTTGTAAGATTGCAACGCGTAGCCCAATTGTAGTCCGTCATCAAGGCGAACATGTCATTCGAGAAGCAGAAATCTTTTAGATGAATTGGTACTACTGAACAGAGCGGCTCGGCAGAGAAAAGCTGTGTGGTCAGCTAAGGTTCTATGAAAGCACCTCATTTCATTCAACATCTCGACGCGGTTCGATACGACGACGAGGCCTAAGAAGCTTGGTTGGGAACAACACTAAAATGATATGTTAATACCTGTTCTTGACTCTTAATTGGAAGGACTGAACTTACCTGTTTGTTATCCAGATTATACAACAGGACTGGCGACACCAGGCCTCAACCAATGCCCTCGAAATCGTACTTCCTCACCAAACGGTGATCTTATCAGAAGAGCGCGCCAGGCGTGGCAAGAATCTGGGGATGTCCAATCCAGCTAGGCGCATATCCGAAGAGCCGGCGGGTTCACCCACCACGACACCACCTGGTCGACATGGCTCAACCTTTCATGGCATCGTTGCCATGCCTCACATGAGACTGTCGATCCTGGCCTGTCTTGCCAGGATACTCACCCCGCCCCTGCAGAACCAACGACATGCTCATACGGTACTAAGCATGGTGAAAGAACGTGTGGTCGCGGGTGTCTACGCTTCGCGTCCCCACGTAGTTTCTGGATATTCTACAGCCTTTCGTAATTTTTGATTTTTGCTCGACTAGCTTGATCGGCCTGAGACCTGGAGAAGGAGCTGTGCAAATGACTGCCTATTAGACGAGCGATATAAATTCGAATTGTTACAGGAGGATTTGTAGAGGAAAAACTTAGGATAGCGGATAGCGATGTAGCAAGTGTTCAAAGGCTAAGGTACAGGAAAGATCCTTGCTTCAGGTGAACACTTTGTCGGGTCTATGCATTTCATCTTTTCTCCATTTCCTTCCCTAAGCCAGATGAGAGAAAAGTAACTGCAGGAGATGAATTCATGTACCTTCCTAGACTGAGTTCTGATAAGTATTGGTCGAGATGTGCATCGCTCTGCGTCTTGGTCTACCAGAGCTTTGGTCTTGGCAAGTTCAGCTGTACGAGGACCAGTCAGAGAGACGTCGGTTAAGATATCAAAACAGACGTACTTGGTGAGAGTTGGATGCTGGACTCTTTCCAGACGGAATCTATCAATCCTTCGACCGCTGCTTGGTGTCGTCGAGCGATGCGGACTTGACTTTCAAGGGCGATGGTGCTATTGCGTAATCCATCGGCTGCGGCAGCTTGTGCTGTAGAAGCCGGAATGAAGTCGCTCATAGGTGTTGTCTGGTGGAGTCCTGAGATGCAGTTGGTATCTACCGGACGTTCCATGGACGCTGAGGAAAGCAGAGACATAATCGAGACCAGTAGTCGTTTGAGAGCAAGGGAGACCTGGCGAGAGACAGCGTCTCATAAAGGAGCTGTGGAGCAGAATAATGCGCTCATTTTGGTTTCGGTATACCTGAAATTTTCAACAGTCTTGGTGACGCGTTGGAAGTGGTATTAGCACCCAAATTTCCGAGGTCACCATCTGCTACGTGAACGAGGCATTGCTTGGGAATCGTGTACAGAGCCATACTCTAAGAGAAAGGTAGAGAGTAGAATGCCATTGTCTGGTAGCTGTCGTCGCTGCCAAGGCCGGTGTCGGAATCGTTCCTGCGAGGTCGTCGGCGTCGTAGTCGTTTGCGATGATGTCATATGGGTCGTGACTCGCTACACGCGTCATTTTAGTGAGCACGTGACGCTAACCTTTCTTCTCCGGAACGGCCAGCATCATTGAGCAAGAAGCGCCTAAAGGCGTATCATTTCATCGAAATAATTGCTGAAATCTGTCTGCGCACTCGGAATGACAGACAGAGCCACAGATCACCATTCAGATCAATCCTCGTAGCCAAGGATTCCAATGGAACTTCCGGAATCAGTCGTCGATATATACGGCAGGTTATTTTCTAGACGATATCTACCGTGTTGTTTGTTAATTTTTTTTTTTCGATAGATATCTACCGCTTCCCACCTCGCTTCTATGATGTGTGCACAACAGCGTGTCTGTACTTTAATCTACTTCCTCGCTCTTGTCGTCGTCAGATTCCTCGGATATCCAGGCACTCATCATGCACCCTACAACACGGACCGTCGTCGGGTTATTGTGTGAATAAGGTCCCCGGCGGCGTTCTGACCGAGTCCAGGGTATATAACAGGGGGGAATGAAGCCTTAGATAGGCGCCTGGTGGGTCTGCGGCCTGTTGAATGTATTCCGCAGCTCATATGGCTGATGCGGCGAGCGCACAAAAATGCGTCCCAGGGAAAGGAAACTCTTTCAGCCTTAGCGCGGTCTGCAATTAATTTCTGGTAGGGCTTGAATACACTCATTTTTGCAGTACAACTTAATTTTTTATAGAGGGGTGTCTATGACAGAACTTTTACACTCCCAGGTCATTTGGATAAATATGCTGCAGTCATTCCGACTGAGATGGTGGCCGCACTGAATGCGCTGAGCCCGAGCCTTGCTAGTCCAGGCCGTAGCTAAGGTACGGTGTCTTCGTTCCACTAGAAAGGCACCACGTCGAAACTGTCCGACACCCCGAGCGGCTCATCTCAATTGCCGGTTTTGTATAAGTGCTCAACGAAGCTCCTCAAGTGGTTGTCTCTCACCCATCATGGCGGACGCAGAAACCTGGACCCCATGCTGTTCTATCGAGGAAGGTGAATTTATTCGCAATATTCTAGAAAATTGACATGCTGATTCGCACTAGCCGATAGAATACTGACACATACCGGGGGCTTGCTCGAAATTGAAACTCGCGTGAGTATCCGGAGCTGATTTATAGCTTTTCAATATCTGAACGCGATATAGATCGTTGACGGGGGAGTTCTGAAAGTCTGGAAGAATCTCTGGCCGTCTCTGCGACTATTCTTCCTCCACTCGACCAAGAAATACGCAGACAAAACCTACATAGTATACGAGAAAGAGCGTTATACCTTCCGGGAAATCTTAGACAAGTCAGTCAGATGTGCGGCCATTTTCAGAGATGTTTACGGTGTTAAGAAAGGTAAGGGTATCTTACTGTTTTCCAGTGCGCCAGCCACTCACTTTCGGTATAGGGGATCGAGTAGCTATCTGCTCTCGAAATTGTCCTACTTACTTGATCGTGTTTTGGGCTTGCCGTGCGTTCCATCTCCTTGCGTCTCATTTAAAGTCAAGGACTTGATCTTGTAACAGATCTTCTGGGAGCTGTAACTGCCCTTGTAGACATGTAAGATTTGCTTTCATATGGTTTACATCATTCAAATTCTGATCCTACCAAAAGATCGCAGCCGTTAGAGTTGCTAGGATACTGTATCACGCTCACAAGATGTGCACTGATCGTCCTTGACCCCGAGCGAGCCGACATGATCGAACCGATTGTTGCTGAGTTGAGTCTCGCATCTGACGCGTCAGGATACCTCGTACTCGAGGATCACAAGGGAAAAGGCTATTGGGAAGGTATGGACGTTTGGAGTTCAGTCTCCTCCGGATACAATAAAGAACCCGGGGATGTACTGAGTGACGACCCTCAAATCTTGCCTGAAGATAACGCGTCAATTACCTTTACGTCGGGGACCACTGGCTTACCAAGTACGTAGGTTTCGTTAGATCGGTTGCACAGTTTATTAATTTCTTCGCTTGTTCAAGAGGGCGTCTTGAGCTCGCAGCGTGCATTCTTGACGCCTATCTTCAATGTATGGTGTTATCTTCTATGGCATTTGGAGTTGATCTTATGGATCTTATTAGGTTTTTTCTTTGGCAGGAAGAGATTGTTTTCGACGAGGCGAACCGTTCCCTCCGATACCTGATACAGGTCCCCAAGAAGGCACCCTGATTCCAAGGTCACTATGCAATGCTACTGCATTCAATACGGCTGTAAGACAGTTGATGCCGGAATAAATCGATATTCACCCGTCGTCAGATGTTCGGTACTTCACAAGGATTAAAACTTGTTTTAACGCGGACATGGAATATCGATGAAGGCAAGCATCGGCTTTAACGTCTTCATGTCCATTCACACTCAACCCTTGCAGCCGTAGAGTAATACAATTCGTTTCATACCGTGCGGCGGCGATACTAAGGAATTGATCATTCTAGATTGTACAAAACGGAAAATATCACTCGGCTAAGCAGGCACTTATCTATCTTCTTTTGGTCCGCCTCATTGCTAACCGTGTTGTAGTACTTCCTCGATCGTTAGAGAACTCGTTGATAGTCCATTATCCGAGATCTCGATAAAGACCATTGCATATGGAGGTACCTCTATGGCGGCATCTCACTTTCAGAGGCTGAAACAAGCCTTTCCCCTTGCCACATTGTGAATGTATTACTCATATTACTCAGGAATTGGTACTAACGTGAATTTCCTTGTAGCATACAAGTTTATGGTCTTACTGAGAATGGCGGCAGCGCGGTAGGCTTCGGTGAGAAAATCCCTTGAGCTTAAACTGCAGAGGCTTGATCCGCTCCTAGCTGGACCGGACTTTTCTGCGAGGCCTAATAGTTGGTGAATCCGCTCGTTTGATGTCTCGCATCTTGGCTGATTCGATTCTAGCGGTTTCGTGTCGCCTGTCAATGAGATCCTGATAATGAAGGATGGTGTCAAGGTTGCGCCTGGAGCGGTGGGAGAGATTTGGTTGCGCGGTCCGAATGTGATGAAAGGATATTATGACGATAGCGGTTGGTTACAAAGTCGTTTATGTTGCGGATATAGGCTTACGGTACGACACTCCAGCTGCTACTGATAAGGTGAGTGAGAGGTACCTTTCAGGTGTCCGTCGGCTACTGAACTTTTATCTAGGTCCTTACTAAGGATGGATGGCTACTAACCGGTGACCTAGGACGAATGGACGAATACGGTTATGTTTACATTAATGATAGGAGAGAAGATATCATCATTTGTGGCGGGAATAACGTAGTGAGTATTGATTATGTACGTTACGTGTGCCTCAATGTTGAACGAATTCTTTAGGAATCCATTTTTGTCGAGAACGCCCTGTATACCGAACCGGGTGTATTGGAAACGGCGGTAGTCGGCGTGCCTGATGAACACTTGGGAGAGTTGCCTGTGGCACTGGTTACCCTCAAGCCTAGATATCATGGATTAGTCAACGAGGAGAAACTCAGGGCGACTGCCAAGAAACTGTGAGTGTACCTTTCGTCTGGCAGTTCTGGCTCTCAAAGTAACACGTCTGGGAAGGCTACCCAAATACGCTGTTCCGGTGATGATTATTTTGTATGATCGCGGTTTCGGTTAGTAGTTTATTGCTTAAATCGAGATGTTTTTGAATTGAAGTTCGGGGCGTAGATCACACATCTTCTGGGAAGATTATCAAAGCACCACTACGGGATGTAGCCAAGAGGGAGTGGGCAAGGAGGTCGGGGAAAGAGCAGTCAAATCTCCGGGCTACACGATAAGGAGCGCTGTGGAAGTTCCATGTATATGGACCAGCCTGCACAACAAAGTATGAATGGGAGGCGTAGTGAACGTAAAATTTAAAGGGTAGTGGATTCCTATGGGGGTACTATCATGAACTTGCGGTCAAGGTCTAATTAAACTCCCGAGGTACGAAGGATGTGTCCTGCCTAGTAATCCGGCAGTACAGGGATCGGTCATCACAGGCATCGATGGTGGGCTTGGACGCACCCAACAATGACGCCGTAACTTTTTCTCGATTATTCCGATTGCTTTCGGATTCTTTTCGGTCGAAAATTCTTAGATCTCGTTCAAATTGATCGAAATAGTACAGGACTCGGAACTGCTACTTGACACTAAACAGTTGCATACGCAATCTTAGACTTCCAGATAAGGTACAAGTAATCTCCACCTCTATTCTCGTTAATGTCGCTGGTCATATCATCATACCCAAGCGATCTGATGTGCTCCCTCGTGGAGTATTTGCTAGAACGGAATAGCGCAAGCTGGTAGATCTTCTTGGAGTTGCGTTCATCTTTTACGGGGACAAGGTACCGGTAGTCACCACCCGCGTCTTTAGCGAGATCATCATGGCCAGCCCAGGCCGAGCTTTGAATGATAACATCGAAAAAGGTTGCCGCCTCACGAATGTCGTAAGTGTACACAGGGACAAGGCTGACATACCTGGAAAAGATAGGTTGACCATCAATTGTTTCTGTCATGTGACAAAGTACACTTACTTTCCCTTGAAACCGGCGTTGATATCATCATTTCCTCCGGAATACTCTCGGACTCTCTCCTCAGGCTTTCCGGAAGGCTGATCAGAGTAGACGACCTACAGGCAGTCAGTGGCTGTTCAGAGAAAGACCATCGTGCTAACCTTGACGTCCTTGATAAATTCTTGCTCTTCAATGACGACATCGATATCGACGATCTTGACTTCACTGCCCCTATCGGGGTTTGTACTGACGACATCACTCTTCAAGTCGACTCCGGCGGCACTGAACCACTGCTGGTACAAAATTAGCTTGCTGTATGGGCCAATCTCGACTAGCAAGGCATGAGCCACAATCCCAAGCAGAAGACAGTTATACGTACAACTTCTCTCGAACGTGCTCTTGGTTTCGTACGTCTCATCTGTCTGGTTTTTCGTTGTGCTCTCCATCAAATCGTTGATCTCTTTCGAACTCTCGTACTCCGCGGAGACGGAAGCAGAGACAGGGCCGTAGGATACACCCGCCTCTGATTTGATCTCCCCTCTCTCTATAGCCTTCTTCGTCTCGCTACTGACGTCTTGCCTAAAAGTACTGGAGGTGTAGGACGTCAATTTCTCCAGGGTATATTTTTCGGTGATTTTCCCTAAAACGCAATATATGGAACGTTCACGGGTGGCTGGCTTGGGCACATACCGTTGTTCTGGCTGTTGTCGTACTCCCAGACGAGCCTCCAGTAGATTTTTCCTTGAACTGTGATGGTATAACGGTTGGGGGCCATATTTCTCGTGATGCTGAAGGAACGATTGATGTGAACAGTAGAGTTGTTTGCGATGGAGACAAGCCAATAAATTGCGCGGTATTTATACAATTTCTTGCTGCGTGGACGAATACTAAATGTAAATTGCCTTCTCTCTCCCAAGCTACGGCAGATACGTGTGTTGGTCCCACTCCACTTCAATTCCATCCGTCAGTCTTGTCGTCGATTTCCTTGGAGCAGGAATGAATGGCTGCAGCCTTCTCTATGGCCACCCGTATCCGAGAGCTATTACGACAATTACCTGAGCATGACCCCAGTTGCGAATCACAGCGGCGTACCTAATGAAGGTTAAAGACAGAACTTGAATCGACGTGAAGAATGTACATATAATTGAACACTGCAGCCTTCTGCTTCTTACTTCTGCTATTCAAAACGATTTGGCAGTCACGCGTCACAGAGCCCTTTGACGTGCCGAAATTTGGTGGATGTCACTGGCCACAACAGGCCCTGACGAAATGATCCCTCCGTGATGACCAATTTTGGTAGGATTTTGGACCCAGAATTAGTCGAAAATGATGAAAATTTCTGTGTCACGGAGCATTTTTCTGCTTGCCGAATCCATTTTTTTGGGGCCTTTTTCTTCGTCAGCCTGGTCACAGTCACCCTAACTGTCTGTCGAACCGTTTTGAATACTACAGTACTCCACGGCCGCTCAGTGTCCGATAGCTATTACGACGATTACCTGATCATGAGTAAGCGGGCTTGGCCCCAGTCACGATTCACAGGTACCTCAACGAGAGAACACGAATTGACGAGAAGAATACACATATAATTGAAACTCGTGCATTCGTCAGAACATAACCATGGATCATACGATTGTACCACGTTACATAAATGAATATCCCTCATTCAAAATGTCCACTCCTGCCTGTCCGATTCATCTGGTGCTCAAATGGTCCTACAAGATGGTGCATTCCATGCCGTTGGTTTGTCAGAACTGGCTTTCAGGATGGCTACCATTGGTGCTTTCAGAGGAGCTTATCATCCTGCCAAACCCGTCGTCCTTGAACCAATTATGAACGTTGAGGTTATCACACCAGCAGAGTTCTTGGTTACGGGAAGAGAGTTAGTGTAGTAGTAGTAGTCGCACTGGCAACGGTCCCTGTCAAGGGAACGGCCAATGTTTTCTATGCCGTTGTTGACAAACAGGTCAACATCGTAGACCGCGAAGAACTCATGCCGCTGTAAGCATCGTTGGTTTTCCGGACCAAACACATCTCACGTCGGAGTTGGATGACTCCGAAGAGACAGGATATAGATGTGATAGAAGTGAGCGTTCTTTGGAATAAGTCAGAAAAAGATGCCAACAGAAGGATAGCATATATTCTGAACTAATTTTGAACGGCATACAAATAGACATTCCATCAGATCAACGTGTATTCAATATTCACGATTCCGCAACGTCAAATTTGCATCGGCCTTAAGCGAATTCCACATATCACATGGACAACCTATGAACGGGGTACTAGCCTGAATTGTGAAGTTCCTCAGTTATTTCGGGGCGGTGTCTAAGGTCAGTCTTCCCTGTCCCATAGCCCATTCATCCAGTCTTTGAATTGAACAGGAAATTGTGGGGCTCCTTTTCTCCCTTCTCAACTTTACTGTCTTTACGTTCGATCACTTTCTTTAGTTGAAACTCCCTCGTTCTATTCTTGCTTGATAGGTGTCGGAGGCCTGCAAGTACTGGCTGAAATCTGTCTGTTTGCCAAGTCATCTTGCTGCACTGGACTTGCCCACCATTGTGCACGTAAGTAGCAAGCGGCTTCGTCAAAGGGTTTATTGCGTACCGAGTACTCCTCTTGCTTACTTCTGGCCTCATCTACTAAATTGTGTCGCAAGATGCTTTCGGAGTCGCCCCTAACAAAGCAGCGATACTTTTTTTTGCTTTGTCTATTATTCTCAGCGGTGAAACGTTGTTTTGATACCATCTTGACTGGAGGTAGAATGATTCGACCATTACCTCATCGTGGGATTCCCCACAGCCTTGTTTAACCAACCTCTGCCACAGAAATTATTGTAAAAGAGGTATCGGTATAGACTGACGGCTCCTCTTCCTCCCATTTAACCACCACAGGTACCAGCCCACTATCCTTTTCCCCACGTTCCTCTCCCGTTCCTTCTTCCAATCATCCAGCGTCATCTGACGGCGCTGTCATAGCCAGTCGGGGTTTGACTCAGATTTCATCTCAGGGAGTGATTTTGATTTGTTTGGTGGAGGAGAATAGTTAAGACCGGATGCGGACGATGGGAATGAAGACGAAGAAATGTATGATAACGGCATCTTGGTTGATATAAGGACTCGGACCTGGTGAGGCACATTAGGTGAGGGGGTCATCACAGGCGACGGCGATTTACGACACATCTAGGGGTTCTGCATCCGGTTCTTTCGTCTTCTTTCTTCGATTCACGAATGGCTGGCTCGACTACCGGAACATTATATGCGAGCAGTGCAAAATTCCCATTGGGAGTTCGGTGCCTAGTGTAGAACCAGGCGATTCTCTAGCTTGCTGACTTCGTTTTGGTAGTGAAGGTTGTCGGGGAGCTTCGAGCGTAGTGGTCATCGTCGAGACGTTGCGGTAGTGTACTCTCGCCAGTTTGACTAGGTGACGCTGAGTGTGATTTTTTGGCTGTCCTTGCTTGGGAAAAGGAGGGCACGGACGTGTGCCAGAGATGGGTACGTGCGATAAGCCTGCCGTCGGCGGAAAATTGAAGGCCAGGCTCTCTGTCTCTGGACTCAATAAATCCGATGTGGAGCCAGGTGATTCTGCCTTCGCCTCAAGAGTGACAATGGTACTGGTGGAGTCGGTACGGAATCATGAATCAAAGATAAGGTTGTCGAATCTTCATTTCTGAGAATCAGAGACTTTAAGGACAGTTTTTACGAAGTCATCTGTAGGGCTCAAGGGTGATTGGCGATATTGGCGCTCGTGCTTGGCCTTTCCTCATTTGATTGGTACTACTCCTTCTTGTGTTCCTTCTCCACCGACAAGACCTCCCTCGTCACTTCCTTTTGCTTCTGCTTCCTTGTCCTGGTACAACCTCGACGCCACCTCGCTCTCTCGTCCTCGTCTTGAATCCGAACTAGAGGACGTAGATTGCCAGGCTTCCAATCATTTCTGTGCATTGCTTCGAGTGCACAGCCCATCCTACCGTTGCATGCGCATGTCATGAACGCTCCCTTCAAGGTGTCGACCCTTCTGTTCCTCGCCGCCATGTATGGGTGGGCGTCGTCCCATTCCTATACTAGCACTATCTCATCTCCGGTGTTTAGCTGTTGGATAGCATACACGCCCCATCCCCCGTCCTTGTTTGGCAAATGTTTTGGCATTAGGATAACAGCCTGAGCAAATCCAGCGGACGTCATTTCCCGCAAGCCTTGCACACCGCAATCGTCATACTAGTCATCATGTGAGGGGATGAGATGAACAAATACCATCGGGACCGGCGCGTATGCATACCCGTTGAGCGGATCTCTGACGTACGATCGGGCACTTGCGACCTTGAGAGAAGGGATAAGAAATGTCCCTGGACCGACGCGATGGGCGGTATGCAACGTATATACCGGTGGAACGGCGGAGTCTGGCGGGGAAGGCAACTGTCAGAGGTATATAAGGTGGGTCGGATGCCGCTGGGGGCTAGAATATGGTGTAGGCGACAAGTTGGGGGGTTCTCCAAGGCGCCCAGAGTTTTAAGCATCGTAGTGGATATAGTATCCTACTAGTACTATCAAATGAAAATGTTGGCCTTGGTTGTTAGTTGCACAAGTATTAAAACAGTAACTCACCCGACCGAAGAATCAATCAAATCAGGTCCATGCGGTACTGTACGGTCACAGTGAGAATAGACCTGAACTTCAAGGTAGAGGAAAGAGATGACTACTAAAGTCGTTATCAACAAGCAAATCTCGGCACTGGCGCGGAGGTTGGAAAAGGCAGTTCAGGTCGAGAAAAGCGTACTGTCAATCGCGATGGGAAGAGGATAGCGAGAACCAGATGCTCTTGCCAACATCGAGCACAGTGAGAATACATCGAGCCAGACAGAGCCCAGTCGCGATCATGATCTCGACACGGAGCCCTTGCCCAACACTCACGAGCTGAGGGAGTGTAAGTACCCGGGAGTGTAGTGCAGAATATTTCAATGAAGCAGTCTATATTGATATTTTTAAATTGATTATATCTGGAGGAACCAACAGGCTCACCTTGGCAGCGGTAATTGCCCCGCGCTCCTCCTGTGCATGCGCGGCAACCTAAACCCAGTTCTACACCCTCCCGGCCTCCAAAATCCATCCTTCTAATCTTCAGGGACTGCATCCATGCATATCGTCACATAAGTATAAATCCCGGATGCTAGATTCCTTAACTCGATCGCAAGGAAGGGAGCGTAGCGGTGCCGCTGGCAACACTATTGATAGCAAGAGAGACGACGTGAGATATAAGGAGCAGAGAAACAACAACGAGGCAACACACAATGTTCGACTGTTTATCGATATCCACCTTCCCTCGACTTCCCAGAGTTCGGATACTGCCCAATGACATGTTAGTCCATGATAACACAGTGAACATAGGCGCTGTACCTTGGAGAAGGAGACTCATCCTACCAAGTAAGGAATTTTCAGCGCTATTCCCACTTGAATACTCCCTCCCAATAATCACCTCCTCATCCCGTCCAAGTCCAATTCGAGAGTCCTCAGCTTGAGTAAGAATGACTCCAGCCGTGCTGTGGAGTGATATAACGTGCCCATTTTGGTGTCGGTAAATCTGAAATTTTCAACAGAGTCAGAGTGACGCGTTGAAAGTAGTATTGGTACCCGAATTTCCGAGGTCGCTATCTGCTAAGTGAAAGCGGGGCATTGCTTGGGAATTGTGTACGTGTCATGCTTGAAAAGAAAATTGCAGACCTAAAGGCCATCTTTTGGTGTTGTTTCTGCCAAGGTCGGCGTCGGAATCGATAGGCCAGTCATGACGGTCGTGTCATCGGTTGTGATGACGTCAGAAGGGTCGCCACGGTAGCTACGCGATCACGTGAGCACCTTGTGCTTGGACCACGACTATCTTTACGCCTTCCATCTGCCTTATCCTTCTAGCTCACAGTGACGGTACGTACTGCTCCTTATTTCTCGAAATAACCGCTAAAGTCCGTCTGTGCACTCGGAAGATTCACAGATCACCATTCAGATCGATCCTCGCAGTCTCGGATTGAAATGGAACTTCCGGAATCAGTCGTCGGTATACACGGTAGGTTATTTTTTAGACGATATCTTCCATGCTGTTTGTTACATTTTCTCGATAGATATCTACTGTTTCCCAACTCGCTTCTATGACGTGCGCGAACTGCGTACCTTCGTACTTCAATCTACTTCCTCACCCTCATCGTCATCAGATTCCTCGAGTCTATCCAGAAAAATGCCATGCATCCTACAACGCGGATCATCGTCGGGCTATTGTGTGGATGAGATGGTCAGCGGCCTTTTAACCGAGTCCAGGGTGTATAACAGGGGTGAATGAAGCCTTAGATAGGGCGCCTGGTGGGTCTGCGGCCTGCTGTACGGATTCTGCAGCTCGTATGGATGATGCGGTCTTTGAAAACCTCGAAACCATATGTCCAGCGCACGAAAATGCGTCCCGGGGCAAGGAAATTTTTTCCGCCTTAGCGTGGCCAGCAATTCATCTTTGGTAGGGCTTGAATGCACTCGTTTTTGCAGTACGGATTAATTTTTTATACATCGACGGGCTCTTATGACAGGGTTATTATACTGCCAGTCCATGTAGGTAAATATGCTGCAGCCATTCCGAGATGGCAGCCGCACTGAATGCGCTGAGCCCGAGCCTTGCCAGCCCAGGCCGTAGCTAAGGTACAGTGTCTTCGTTCCACTAGAAAAGCACCACGTCGAAATTGTCCTACACCCCGAGCGGTTCATCTCAATTACCGGTCTCATATAAATACTGAATGGCCCCCCTCAGGTGGTGGTTTTTTATCCATCATGGTGGATGCAGAAACTTGGACCCCGTGCTGTTCTATCGAGGAAGGTAAGTTTATTCGCAATATGCTAGAATATTGACATGCTGATTCGCACTAGCCGATAGGATACTGACACGAACCGGGAGCTTGCTCGAAACTGAAACTCGCGTGAGTATCTGGAGCTGATATATACCTTTTCAATATCTGAACGCGATATAGATCATCGGCGGGAGAGTCCTGAATGTTTGGAAGAATCTCTGGCCGTCTCTGCGACTATTCTTTCTGCACTCGACCAAGAAGTACGCCGACAGAACCTACATAGTATACCAGACAGAGTGTTATACCTTCCGGGAAATACTAGACAAGGCAGTCAGATGTGCGGTCATCTTAAGAGATGTTTACGGTGTTAAGAAAGGTAAGGACATTCTGTTGTTATTCGGTGCGTTAGCCCCTCACCTTCAGTATAGGGGATCGAGTAGCCATCTGCTCTCGAAATTGTCCAACTTAATCGTGTTTTGGGCTTGCCGTGCGTTCCATCTCCTTGCGTCTGATCTAAGGTCAAAGACTCAATCTTGTAGCAGATCTTCTGGGAGCTGTAACTGCCCTCGTGGACACGTAAGATCTGCTCTCACGTGGTTCAAATCGTTCTCATTCTGATCCTATCAAAAGATCGCAACCGTTAGAGTTGCTAAGATACTGTATCATGCTTACAAGATGTGCACTGATCGTCCTTGACCCCGAGCGAGCGGACATGATCGAACCGGTTACCGCTGAGCTGAGTCTCGCATCTGGGGCATCAGGATGTCTCGTACTCGAGAATCATGAGGGACAAGGCCATTGGGAAGGTGTGGACGTTTGGAATGCAGTTTCCTCCGGATACAACAGGGCGGAGCATAGATCACTCGTCTTCTGGGAAGATTATCAAAGCACTGCTACGGGATGTAGCCAAGAACGAATGGGCAAAGAGGTCGAGGAAAGAACAATCAAATTTTCGAGCTACACGATAAGGTAGCGCTGTGTCGTTCGATGCTATCATATGTACCAACCTGTAGGTATGAACAAAGTATGAATGGGAGGCATAGTAAACGTCAAATTTCAACGGTCGTAGACTCCTATGGGGTACTATTATGAGCTCGCAGTCAAGGTCTAATTAAACTTCCGGCGTCCGAAGGATGTGTCCCGCCTAGTAAAATAGAAGGACGACTTGCAACGGTGTTGAGCGAATGTCGACTTCCGACTACGATAACATACTACCACGGGAAAGAGGTGAAAGACGATGCAGACAGGGCATACATCGTTGGAGTCACCACTTGGGATTGCGACTTTGAATGCTCCTTGTTGGTACGAGTAGATATATTTACACCGTCCGGGGATCAACAACGCACTGTGCTATCGGATTGCCTGTTTTATGCTTCGTTTTGAATTGGCCACGGCACTTCGGTTGCATAAACTGAGAATGGAACAAAGGAGGAGCACATAATTTAGGACAGTTTTTCCACTCTCAGTGGTCCTCCTTTTCGCTGCGCCGACTGAGTCCTTACATTTGTTCTCCCATCTTTAACTGGATGCACAAAAACACTGAGTCTGAATTTGCTTGATCTTAGTTTAGAAAACCACGACGGCGTATGCTACGTGACCGGAACATCACCTCCGACTCTGGCAAGTCGTTTTTTCGAATTATCATCTACTCGCAGAACTCGTGTATGCGTCGTACCGGTGTGACTGTCCATAACAAGAGACGACGGCACGGACCTGGTGACAGGAGCGAGGGGGGGTCTTCGTGGCACTCAATCCGGAGAAGAGACACCGGAAATCAGAAAAAGCGAAATCATTCCGTAGTTGTGGGCGCTATGGGAAGACGGCATCAGGAAAAAGCCTTTTGCTACGTATCTGCCACTCAGGTATACATAGTCTATGTATATCCGGTAGTGGCTGTAGCAGGTGCTCAGTAGTACGTAGCAGTACATAGTGCTCCATATGCACTGGTGGGGACTACATAGATAGCAGTATCCTTGAGCAGGAGCTACAGAATACTACCATCATGGCCGGTATTTATGAAGTTTCTTCAGACCTTTTGATAATGAAAGCAGACAATGGTTGCCATGTCGGCTATCGGACTGGAGGAAGTTGTTTATCAGACCACAGCCGGGAGCAGAGGATTGGTCAATGAAGCTTGTAGTGGATGTTTGACCTATGCCCCATAACATACGGAGCAGTTACGATGGACTCTATCTAGCTAAGTCCATTTGAAACTCCGATTGTGCACGTGCATAATCAACAAGATCACGCCATCGGATTTCGATCAAATCCAACCAACCTTTCTTCCTTTCCTCCATTTCCACGCACTCTTCCCCCTTTACTCTTTCCTCATTTGTGGTTCTATCTTCTTTTCTCTTAGCGATGCAGCTAGCTGATCGATACTTGATGAATCTCCGTACAGAATTTGTGCTCCTTGGATCCATAAGCATGTCACACAGTTAGGCTTTGAAGATCATAGCTACTTTTCAACGTGCGTGCCCTTTCTCTGACACGCTCTGACATGGCTTGTATTTCAGGCAGCAACATCTGGGTAGGATGTCCTGTACTAAAGGTTGCTGGTAAGTGCCTCAACCATAATGCCATGCGTCGTCGCTGATTTCGTGCTTTTCATAGGAATCTTGTTCTATCGATGTCTTGGACTGGAACGTACGTACCTTGAACCGTTTTAGCATTGATTGTTCTCATCATTGTCTCCAGGGTTCAAACAAGCCATAGATGCCCAACGGCTGTAAGTGTAATGGTACCAAAGATCGGTGTCTCACATCGCCCAAGAACCGGCCATCATCACCCCCATCCCCGAAGCCTCCCCCAGCAAACCCGCACCATCGTAAGTTGTTCTGCCGAGCTTTTATTGACCGCTACTCATGCCTCTGTCGGTAGAATGAAAGCCTACTTTATGATGGCGGGATGGATCGAGATGGTACTTACATAGTTCGGCTGGGAATCAGAAGTTGTAAGTGGTCTAGTGCAGGTGACATTGTATACCAGTGTAGTAGCTAGTTCCAATCTATCGATTTGCATCGTCTTATGGGCTGTATTCACCAGAGTATATCTTGGTATGTAAGGATACAGTCGCAATACGGTAGCTTCAGTGAGGTGCTATCATCCGCTACAGGCTGCTACGTACTCTGAGTGGTCCGCTACAAGCCACTACATATGGGGGACTGTGCTACGGCGCTACCTGTGCTACATAGCCTACGTACCACAATGTAGCGAAGTGGGTTTTTCCTGATGGGGAATGACTGCCCGTTTCTGGAATCACAGACAAAAATAACAAAAGTATCCCAATCTGAGGATTGTAATTTGTCAATGAAGAAACGAAATAAGTCGAGGAAGTCTTGCTAGCAATGAGGAAGGTACTTGATAGTATGAGTACTAGAGTTTAGATGCAAGCAGGAAAGTTTGTTTCTACCATGTATGCTTACTTACGTAAATCAAGATGGCGATGCCGTGTGGCTGTACCACCCTTGCTTCTCAACGATGACCGTCGTCAACGTATGCACTTTTTCTAACCACCATGAAAGGCCAATTATCTGTCACAAAAAGGAGAATGACTCGTGCCTGCGATAGGTGCCGTGCCAGGAAAAGTAAAAAATTTCTGGACCTTTTTGTGTTGGGCTGTTTCTAACGGATATTCCTTCTAGTAAAATGTATAATCTGTTCGCTTCAAGCCAGATGATAGAGACGGCTGATTCTTGGAGGTTTAGGTTATGATATTGCTGAGCAAGGAAACCGCTGCTTAAATTGCATAGTACTTGGTGCAGAGTGCACGTATATGGCTCCGACGATGGTTCATTTCCCCGTTACTACTGCGAAAGGCTGAAACTTATCATAGCCCTCTTACAGAGACGGGGTCCGAAGTCTATGTTAGTTTTGTGTCACAACTCCCATCGTATAGACACTGATTTCAGTATTCCCAGGCAACACTCGACTGTATTACCACGACGAAAATACAATGCTAGGTGGGACAACTATAAACCAAGTGAATCCGTAATATACAGCTGATTCCTGATCAGCTACGTGGTAGACCTAGAACGACGTGCCGAGCAATTGGAGCGTATGCTCAAAGAGGTTCGGAAAATTACACCTACCCCACGACCTTTCTCAATCATCATAGCACAATCCGGATATCCTTCTGCCTGAAGGAACAAAAAGATATGTGCCGGGAGGTTCGTCTCGACATGCAAGTCTTGTGTCCGAGATTTCCGAGCTTGACGATGACTTTACGCGCTTGGACCTTGGGGAGGAAATGAAGAATCTGTCGTTGGAACACAGCAAGGCTCTCAGCGAGAGGTGTTTCGGACCCTCAAGTGCTTTAGCGCTTTTCATGAGTGCCCTTTCTACCAAAAAGAAGTTGGTCGGCAATTTGAATGCGATGCAACTACAAGACTATTCCGATTTATGTCCTGTGCGTCCTGCTTTATCGGCAAGTCACCCTTTCGCTAACCAATCTTAATGACTAGTGGGAGCGTGCTACGGCTGACGCCGAAACCATTAAACATGTTTTTCCTGACAACGATCTTATTACAAGCCTGGTCGCCATATATTTCGAACAGATCCATCCGATTCTTCCAATCATGCATCGACCCACATTCACGAGAGACGTCGCCGACGGTTTACATCTGCGGGATGAGAATTTCGGTGCTACGCCTACTTTCCGTTCTGGCTGTTGCGTCGCGTCATTCGGACGACCCAAGGGTATTGGCCGATCCCAGTTCGAGGCTTTCTGCAGGATGGAGATTCATCGAGACTGATTCCTATCTCCAAGAAGGTAATACTGCGACCTCCATCCTTGAATGATATTCAGCAGACTGTCGTAAGTCTATCTCATTTCACTTCTCATTCAAGCTCAAGATACTTTCGGAAGCTTGGGGCGATATACTTTCTAGGAACTTCTGCTCCCGATTATAGCTGGACGCCAATTGGGCTCGGGACTACGCTACGCAGTAGAAATTGGCCTGCATAGGAAGAAGCCCCAGGGATACGAGCCAACAATCGACGACGAACTCAAGAAGCGATCCTTTTGGTATTTTTACCCTCCTTTGTTTTGCTGGGGCATTGATTATAACTATATGCACTAGGGCGCTTGTCACGCTTGAGAGACTGTTTAGTCTATTCGACGGGTTGCCTATCATGATGCAAGAGGAAGAGTACGTAGTTTTGGGATATCCTATTGCGTCTACTGAATATACTTTGGCATAGTCTCGACTTGGAGCTACCAGTTGAATGTGACGACGAATACTGGGATATCCGTCCAAATGGAGCAGTACGGTTTTTCCAACCGGCCAACAAACCTTCCATAATCAGTTATTTCAATGCGCAAATACGGTTAAGCGGGATAATGTCAATTGTCGCGAGGAACTTGTATTCTATCAAGAAAAGCCGAGACATGTGGGGTCTTACCAGAAAGGATGAGCAGCGCATCGTTTCTGACATAGACTCTTCCATGAATGCTTGGATGAACTCCGTCCCCGACCATTGTAGGCCTTCCATTATGTCAGTCCAACATTTCCCTGACTATTTCATTAGTACGTTGGGATCCCGACAACGACAATATGCTGTTCTTGTATCAATCATCAGTTCTTTATAGCCACTACTATATGCTGCAGATCAATATACATCGACCCTTTCTACGCTCTGGCTCTTCCCTGTCTACGCCGTCCCTCGTTATGTCTACAATGGCAGCCAGATCTCATTCTCGAATCCTACAAGTTCATCTGACGAGAATAAAGATTATCTCACCCTACATTCTGGTGAGTTGAACATCTCTACCTCGCTATCCGTTAACGAGAAGTCGGTTTAGACGATAGCCTTCATGTCTGGTGCTGTACTGGCCATGAACATCTGGAGTAGGAAGCGGGCGGGCTATCCCCCAAACGCAGAAGACCTGAACGGTTATAAACAATGCCTAGATACCTTCATAAATGCATCCGACAGGTGCGTATGCGTCTATTTCGTGCCATGAATAAATTGACGTCTGTTGATAGGTGGTATATTGCGGGTTGCTCACTGTGAGTAGCCGTTTCGAAGTATCACATTTGCGTCAGGGTGACTACAAGGGGACTTCTAGGGGAATGTTCAAGGACTTGGCCTCCTCTGAGACGGCCAGCATTTTAGAAGGCATGTCTATTCACGCTTTACGCCTTCAAGAAACCACCACCCCTGTGCCAGCCCCCGCTTTGGACTCGTATTGGGCTATACCTGATGCTCCACCTGAATTAGTTCAGCAATATGGTACTGGTGGCCTTCCTTCCTTTGGTCTAAATCTTCGCTAACAAGAGCCCGCTTCTACAGATCCAGCGTACTTGAATGACTCTTTACCAACCGGCACAGGCCTACCCTTATACCGGACGAATGACAACCCATCGGGTTCGTCCCAGCCGTTAGTTCTCGATATTTCGGAATCAGAGATGCCTGGCGGGCTAGAAGCCATCAATATGTGGACTTCTGCACCTCCAGGATTTGGGTGAGCAGTCGCAGTCTTCTCGGGCGTCCGTTTGCTGATATGTGGACTTGTAGCTTTGCGGCATGGGACACATACATTACCAACATGGGTTTCGAGAATAGACACTCTTAGTCATTTCGAGTTCTGTAGCAATGCTAGTGAACAAGTCGGTGTTCATTGCAAAATATATACTTGGCCTGTATCTTAAACGATTCCTGAAGAGAAGGATGTAAGCGAGAGTACACAAAATGTGAGGGATTGAACATACTCGGAGTGTCGGCATCGTAGGTGCCTAGAATTCACATTAATGAATACTTCGGAGCCTACATATCAGGGAAAGAAACGAGATCTGTAGGAAAGACAGTTCCGTCACCTGAGACTTCGACCTGGATACAACCAAGGTAAACCAGAACTCCTTCATACCTAGTTAGACCGAAAGCACAGTTGTAAATAGACCCAAGATATTCGTATGCTGTCTGGAAGTAGCACCATCGACCGGAGTATCCTGAAAGTCTGGAATAACTTGAAGGAAGTGAGTGACGATGCAGGGCCTAAGCACACATTCCATGGCGTCTGCAATATTAGGCTTCAAAAGACTGAAAGAATGAATACAGAGGCCTACATCCGAGCAGGGATCGGTGGTAACCGAAGCGAATCATATCGGCTTCTCCCGGCTGTTTCGCAGCCACACGAGCACGTGAATAGCTTTGTGCCCGTACCACAACGTCGACAATTCGTACCGTCCTCCATCCATCCAACAACGATATCCATTAAATTGTTATTTTCCATTAGTACCGTTTCAATATGGTGGACGAATGCTTCTGTCCTATTTTACGCCCAGACGGAGACCGTCATCCACAATTCCGAGTCCCATAATGCCAGCTATAGGTCACGTCCTAAACATCGAAGTATGCCTCTTCTAGCGTCACCAGACTGTATTCACTAGGTAAGGCTATATCTGAAGATCACTGCTATGTCGTTCATTCGCTTGAGATTGACGTATTTCAGGCACACGCCTCGTTTAATTCTATCACAACCGACGAAGTTTTTCATTCCAGCTTATCCGTGAAATAAAAATTTCGGCGGCTATCGGCTCTGGTGTTACTTGTGCGTATGAATTTCCAGAAAAGATTTGCCCGCCAAGTAGGCTCCAGGTGCACTTGCTTTAGGGAATCGTAGCTTTCAGTTCGTCCCTGTAGTGTGGTTATCAGATGCTTGAGCCCATAACCCTTATAGCAGTGATCACACGACAAGACATCATCGGACTATGCGGGCCGGCAGTCCCAATTGTCGTTTTTTATCCACGACTTCTCCTTGGCTTCTTTCACGTACTCCAACTTCCATGGCATCGATTCGCATCGATATCGAGCGTATTATCTCTCCCGTAGACCCCCGCATCTACTCAGGCTTCACTGAGCATATGGGCCGATGCATCTACGGTGGGATCTATGAGCCTGACAATCAGCACGGTCTCGCAGATCCCAAAACAGGCTTCAGAAAAGACGTTATGGCCGTTTTGAAGGACCTCAAGATTCCCATCGTCAGGTACCCCGGAGGGTATGCCACCGACTTTGCTGTTAACCATGTTTCTCTTTGATCATGCTCTCCAGAAACTTTGTGAGCAGTTACCGATGGCAAGATGGTGTCGGACCCAAGGAGCTCAGACCGCGTCGTCCCGAACTGGCGTGGTTGTCGGAAGAGAGCAATCTCTTTGGAACCGACGAGTTTATCGACTTCTGTCGTGAGCTCGGGACGGAGCCCTTCATATGCCTCAATATGGGAACAGGAACATTGGAGGATGCCCTAGCATGGCTCGAATATTGCAACAGGCGGGTTTCATTTAAATTCCCACCTCTTTCTATCTTTTAACCCGTCACAAATAGCTCAGCCGATACTTACTATGCTAATCTGAGGCGCAAGAACGGCCATGAAAAACCTTACAATGTGAAATACTGGGCGCTCGGTAAGCTCCCGATAGGCTCCTTTTATTTCATGCTTTGATCATCCCTTCTTCAGGCAACGAGGTTTGGGGCCCATGGCAAAGCAAGTATTGTCTCGCGTAGGTGGAAGCTATGCTTACGCGACTCTCACAGTCGGTCAGCAAGAATCGCAGGACTATGCCAAGAAAGCGTACCAGTGGGCAAAGGCTCTTAAACTCCTGGATCCTACCATCAAACTCGTCTCTTGCGGCGGTACCGTACTGCACTATGTCGCGTAGATGGATGTACTCATACGCTGATTCAGAAACTGGATATGCTGACTGGGATCGTGTGACCCTCCGCAAGTTAGCCCCCGTCGTCGATTTTCATTCCATACATAGTGAGAATCTGGTATTTGTTTCAATTCACTCTCACTGAAATACAGATATACAGTATATACCGTCAGCGAAGGCAAACACGCAGTTAATGTGATTGGTCGTACGTATGGTGTTTTGCCTGACATTGCTGTTACTGACCCCTGGTATAGCTGCAGCTGCAGAAAAAGCGCTAGATATCACCCGGTCGCTCATCGATCTGGCCAAGATCGAGGCAGAGTTAGAAAAGGACCTAACTGTGTAAACCTAGCTGTCTTTTTTCCAATTTCCTCTACTGATTATTGTCTACAAGTTGCTTTGATGAATGGAACGTCTGGTAAGAACAGTTGACGCCCTGATCTGGCTGGTTGCTCACGATTACACTAGGGATCCAGTTCGCGGTAAGCCGCCCCTCCTTGCCAACCGGCTCATCCTGGTTTCCGCTGATACGGCCTCTGTCTAGCCCCGGGAGAGAAGGGTGCCGAAGAACATTATGACCTTTCTGATGCCATCGCTGTAGCATCATGGCTGAATGTATTCGTCCGGAAAGCGGATATCGTGAAGATTGCGTGTATCGCACAGTAAGACCTCCCCCTTGCGACGAACTGATGATTGACTGCTTTGCAGGTCAGTCAATGTCATTTCTCCAGTAGGTTTAGTGCCAAGCTAGGTTCCTTATCGTTAAATTGCTTCTTATCTAGATCATCACCTCTCCCCAAGGGCTCTTCAAGCAGGTCAGTCGCATCATTAAAACTTCTCCCATCTTACGTTATTTCTAGACGACCTACTATCCACTTCACCTGTTCACCAATCTCATGCGGGGAGCTTCTCTTGCGGTGCATGTAAACTCGCCCGTGTACACTGGCCCCACCGTGCCGACATGGATCAAACAACTAGACACCCACACGCCCGATACGGCCAAGTTGACCAAATACATCGACGTGAGTGCGGTGTATGTGGAAGAGAGCAAGGAGGTCCGGATCGCGGTAGTCAACCGGCACGAAAGTGAAGACTTTACGGTACCCATCATCTTCGCGCAGCTGGTTGGGGAGAAGAAGGTGAAGGTCTATGAAGTCTGGAGTCCGCAGTTGGGCGACAGGAATGGTTTCGAGGGGGAGAAGGTTAGTACTATTCAGAAGGAAGTATATTGGGAAGGAAGCTATGTCTTCAAGAGGCATTCGTTCCAAGGTAGGCTCCTGAGGTTGTTCTGGGGCGCTCTCTGACATGATTCGTTCTTCTAGTGTTAGTATTCAAGTTGACTTAGGATAACAGTGCCGGTCGGTGTATGGTTCTTCCTGTAACTTGGCATCTGTTTGTTCCTCGTTGCTCTGACCTAGATTGACCTACCTAAGAACACGTTCGTATCAAAGATCTACAAAGTCATTGACATGTTTTCCAGACCTTTCTACCCTGGTCATCGCACTAACCCTTAACGTCCACATGCATGCAGAGCTGCGGACACGAAGTCGCTCTCTGTGCCGTTTCAACCTAGACATTCCAAAGAAGCACGGGATCCAAGCACCACCTTTACTAGGAGATTGATATCTCCTTCTTGCCTTCCGCCGGGATTCCAACGCCTGTAACTGATGACGGACAAACTGCGGGAAAATACTACTGACATCAACCCCCACAATCTCCCCACACGCAGGGACATTCGCGTTCTCATGACCCCATTTTAACAACCAAGCGGACCGCCTCATCCCGGTAAGTCTACAAAAACATGCATAGTGTATTTTTTGCTGAGCTTTCCCTCAACTTTCACGAACATGATTATAACGCTCTCACCGAAGTGGTATACTTGGCTTTGTGGGCTATTTGCTAGTGAGTCTGTTCACTGCTGGGTGAAGGCTTAGACACTTATTCGTCCTAGGTCTGGGCAGTATCATCTTTGGATACGACCTTGGTGTCATCGCAGGAGTGTTGGCAGCAACAGATTTTGCTGTATGATTTTGGTCGTCCTATCGATTGTATTTTCTAATGTGGTTAAGGACACTATGGGTTCACGATTCGGGAATGAAGGTTTGAAGGGTTTGATAACGAGCATATTCGGTTCGTGTTCTAACCTTCGACCGCGTCGATCTGTCTGTTAACTACTCGCCTCTTTTACCAGTGCTGGGGTGGTGCGTGCTCTTGGCACTACATCGGATGTCGAATATTTGAACCTGTGACTAGCTTCTTCGGCATGTTCCCCGTCGCGTATGCCGCAGACATGCTTGGACGTCGCAAGACAATTCTCCTCGGCGGCCTTATATATATGTCAGCTCCTCTTCTTTAACTTCGCTTCTATAGCACTAAGCCGAGGTCTTTTAGTCTTGGCGGGACTCTCCAAACCTCCGCCCCGAACATGGATATGATGCTTACTGGTCGGTTCTTTGCCGGTACGTCGCAGTGATTTCGTTGGCTTTGTCGTAGGGAGTTCAACTTGCCAGGCTTTGGTTCTGGAATCATGTCGGATTTGGCGCCATTATATCAGGTAGCACGGTTCTCTTGTTTGTTTGCATCCGCGCTCACTGGCTTTGTGAAGGCCGAGATTGCTCACCCCAGTATTCGAGGTCGGCTCACTACTTTACAACAGGCAAGCGCGACTTACGGACACTGGAGTGTACAGACTAACTTTTCTGATAGTTCATGTTGGGAATTGGAGGTATGGCGCTTTTTCATTATCCTGGCCGCGTAGTTATGAACCCGTGTAGCATTCGTCGCTTCTTGGGTGGTAAGTCTTCCTTCCCCGGTGCCTAACCTAGCTAATAATCGTAGACCTACGGGACCGCCCAAGGACTTCCCGGTACACAGTCGGAATGGAGGATCCCTTTAGGAATTCAAGTGAGACAGTATCCATTGACTTGTACTCCATCAATTCATGAGAGATACGATGTAGATTATTCCAGCTATTCCTTTGGTCGCGTTCGTCATGCTCTTCCCCGAATCGTGAGTGGCAGTCACCATCATTTTGTGCACACATATTGAAAATGTCGAAAATATCTATCTAGACCTCGGTGGCTTGCCGAGAAGGGTCGTATGGAAGAAGGTAGGAAACTGATCCATTTACCATTTCGTTCGCTCATGATATACAGCCAGGATCTGTTTAGCTCGTCTGCACGCCCATGGAGATGTTAACGACCCGTTCATCACTGCCCAAATGGAGGACATCAGAGCTGATATACATAAGGCACAAGATATTGGGGAGTCTACGTATGAGCGTCTTCTCTGTGTATGTGTTAAGTCGTTTACTGATTTCTTACAGGTGGTCCGAGCTATTCACCGTTCCTAGCAACTTCCGGCGCTTAAGTCTGGGGTACATTCTGCAGTTCTCCGTTCAGATGACGGGTGTTAGCGTGATTCAATACTACTCGACCACTGTGAGTATAGATTTTATTTTTCATACAAGTTTCGATCATTCATTGTCCTTCTAGATTTTCACGACGGTAGATTCCCAACTTGCCTCTTTGTCATCTCTCCGCTTGATCTTTCCTTACTAGATGGGTTTCTCCTCAACGCGCATTCTTCTCTTTCAATCCGTCAATAGTATTATAGCACTTATCGGAGAAGCTTGCTGTGTGCTCTGGGTGGATCACTTTGGGCGACGAAGGCCGCTCATCGTAGGCAATATCGCTTCGGGACTATCTTTCGTCGTTGGCTGTGTCTTAATGGCTCGATATCCTGGTTCTGTTAATAAGTGAGTCTTTCTATATTGTATTTTGAGTCTGTGTGTCTAATGACTCGTTAGTAACGCGGTATGTATACTTCTTCTATGTCAAAACCCAGGATTCTGAAATGTGTATGACCTATTTTTAGGCCCATTATGTGAGTTTTTGTGTCCTCAACATTTGACGCGTCTGACACTCTCCTAGATATTTATTAGTACGTGGTTTCTTTCTAATTTCGTTCATCTTTCCTACGAATCTTTTCGCAGTAACGTATGATCTTTCAGCCGCATTTGAGCAAAACGGCCCTAACAGTGCCTACCAGGACCTGGATCTTCAATTTCTTCTTCAGTTCCTGCATCGGACCGCTATCTTGGGCGTACCCCGTCGAAATATAGTGCGTTTCCTTCTTGAATGTGATATCAGACTCAATGATATAATTCAGTTCGACACGAACGCGTGCAAAGGCAACAGCACTGACGAGTTCTTCTTCATGGCTTTCAAACTTGTAAGCGCAAGATATGCTCTAAGATTTTCTGCGCTTAGTTGCCCTCTAAGCTTCATTGCTGAAGTTACTCCTAAAGCGTTTAGTGCAATCGGCTGGAAGTAAGTCTCTTGCTCTTATTCACATGACACGGTTTTAATGTTTCCATTAGATACTGTACGTTTACCGTCTATATCGTCCTCCGCCGGTATCTTCACGACGATATTAGACCTGGTCTTTGCCATCTGCAGTCACACCAAGTACAAGTTTCATCATGCCGTTAGTGATCCTTACTGACGAAATTAGTGCCTTGTGTATTTGGGCATTCTACCCCGTAAGTCACCATCTCGTCTACCATGTTCAAACCCACTTACTAAGGGTTACACATAGGAAACAAGCGGGCGCCGACTCGAAGAAATGGACGCTCTCTTCGAGGACTCTCCCCTCTTCGTACCGGGAAGCGAATACACCAAGGTCTGCGATAGACATGCAGCAGAGAACGATCTTCGTGCAGGTAAGCTTGTTGCACTGTTCGAAGCCATGAAATGCTGATGCTGTCAAAGGCAACTTTGTTCCGGGTGAGCTTACGGGAAGAGAGGCATCGGGAAAGGGGGACGAAGAGTCAGCTGAACATTACGAGAAAACGGCATAATCGTTGATGGTGAATTTTCTAATAACCTTTCATGTAAGTAATCGGAGGGAGCTTTAACTATCAACATGTCCATCGCCTACATTCGGCATGTCTTGAATTCAAACGGAGCGTGGAAGCCGTCTAATGCCGGATTCTCGGCATCTTTCCGGTCAGCCGCGGCATTTCCCACTTCGGAAATCATCGGCGACTCTTGTCCTTTACCAACCTTGACTGCGATGGACTCGTCACCTCAGCCCATAGGGAGTGGCAGCTTCGGGTCTGTATACATGATCCTCTCTTCTCTCGTTGCTTTCAAGGAGGTTCAGCTGGAATCAAATGCAGCCCAACTCCACGCTGAGTTCGAGGCCCTTGAACAAATCTACAAAACCTGCCAAAGTTCCGACGCTTTATTTTCTCTGCCCCGCCCACTTGCATACAAAGACGCACAAAAATTTCGGGCACTAGCATACCGTTCTCCTCGAACAGGACATCCCCGCCCCCTTGTAGCATCTGCCTCGTTCGCTGCATTCGAGCGGCCTACGTATGCAATGGATCGTATCCAGGCTTTATCTACAGAAGTAGCTGCTCGTATTCGTTCACAATTTTATCCCTCTGGCGTACCTGCTAAAGGCCCACTGTTGTTTCGACTCTACTTCGGGAAAGATTTTACGGACAATAGACCGTCCCGGTTTATCAACACGTCTCACTTCTTTCTCGACGTAGCACGCTACCGCCAGCTCGCCAGCTCCGAAGGGGGCACTGCTGGTGATCTTCCGAGCACAGAAATTGTTGCAGAAGCTATGGGCAACATGCTAGGGCGTATTCACATTTGCGGAGGCTACGACGCCCGTGATATTGAGTTTGTACTTGGTGGGAACGGCTTCTCTGGATTTGCGTTCTATGTCATCGACTTCAATCAGGTTCGTACTTCTATTGATACTCACGTGGACTCGCATTAATACCTAGTTATAAGATGCGAAAATGGAAATCTGTTAATGAGCTCGTCGATGCGCACATCGCGAATGATCCATATTTTCCTGTAGCACGAAGGGGTGAACAAGTATACGAGGCTTTCAGGAGCGGCTATCGCGCAGCCTACGCTACGCGACTAGACATTGCTGATGAGTTTCTTTCTCAACTCGAGGCTCTGCAAGATACGGATGGTCGACAAGCGCCTCCTTGACATACTCCAGTGTTAGGCGGAGAAAAATCAACCAGGTCATAGTTTCTGTTGTAACCCAGATGCAACGATGCAATAACGGATATCTTTGAACGACGTTCGGTGCGCATCAATTGTAAAGTTATTCTTTCTGACGAAAATCTAAGGGAAGCGCATTTTGGCCTAGTACCATCATCATTCTTGGTGAGACGTCGACCCATCAACTGGACCTACCCAACCGCTGCTGAACCAGTTATCAGTTTACCTTGCCGCCTGAGGGCCTAATGTGAAGCTCTTGTCGAGGATTGCCTATTGAGCAGTCTTAATCGCAAGGCGTCAGCAGAAGTTCTCAGCTTGCCTCTCCTAGAATTGTTCCTAAATCGCCACCTGCAACCACAATTCTTTTCTGAATTTGAAAAAGCCGGGCGGTGAATTCCTCTTTGGGACCTGGCAGTGATATTCGATTTGCATCCGCGGATGCTTTCTCTCACAGCGTTGAAGACACTATCAAGAGGGGATAAAAATATGGTGCGATCAAATCTAAACTCAAGAATGATATGTTAATATCTGCTCTTGACTCTTAATTGGAAGGATTGAACTTACTTGTTTGTTATCCAGATTATACAACAGGACTGGCGATACCAGGCCTCAACCAACACCCTCGAAATCGTACCTCCTCACCAAACGGTGATCTCATCAGCAGAGCGCGCCAGGCGTGGCAAGAATCCGGGGATGTCCAATCTAGCTAGGCGCATACCCGAACATACCCGAAGAGCCGGTGGGTTCACCCACCACGACACCACCTGGTCGACATGGCTCAACCTTTCACAGCATCGTTGTCATGCCTCACATGAGACTGTCGATCCTGACCTGTCTGCCAGGATACTCACCCCGCCCCTGTAGAACCAACGACATGCTCATACGGTACTATGCATGGCGAAAGAACGTGTGGTCGCGGGTGTCCACGCTTCGCGTCCCTACGAACCTTCTGGATATACTACAGCCTTTCGTAGTTTTGATTTTTGGTTGACTGACTTGATCGGTCTGAGACTTGGATAAGAAGCTGTGCCGCTGCGCACAACTTTTGAATTTTAGTATTTTATTTATCATTGTTGGATCAGGGTGAGAGTTTGGAGTGTAAGAGTACTGGATGGCTCTAGTTGCGGAACTGTGGAGTATTGTGATACTTCAATAGAAACAGCTACTTTCTCGGCTCTTGTCTTCTTGTGTTTGAGGCGAGTAGCATTTGCAGTGCGGGCCGCTCTCCGAAGGTCTGCTATCGTCCAGATCAAGATTGACTAAATATTAGGTGCACCTTTACGCTTTGACTTTCCGGAGGAAGTGGAGATCGACCGGTATTCTGAGATAAGCCAAGCCAGCAGGGAGGTACGAGCGGATGGCTTATCGGAGGAAGAATAGGCAGACGGCGAAGCCCTTAGATATACACTGCCACAAATAAGCTGTTACAATGTTTTTTTTTTTTTTTTTTTGGTGGAGCCTTATGAATCCCACAACTAACAACGTTAGTCTGAGGTTCAAGCTGGTTTTTGAGGAGTTTCACCTCTATTTTAGAGCCACCCCAGGGAAATGCATTACGCACTTTGTGTGGGGCTCCCATCTTGTTTATGATATGGTATACCCACTAAAACCCTGGGTTGCCTTATCCAATTGTCAGGCAACTTCTCTTCATTTTCTAAACACCCACTCCATGTGTGGAGTACTATTTTAGAGTTTAGATTATGTTTTCCATTTTTCTGTACTTTTACTATTTGGCAGTCTAGTGATAGTCATTGATTGATGCAGGATACCCAGCGGTTATGGATTTCTACTTTAGAGTGCCATTTTGTTTCATCATCTTGTTTGCTAATTCTCCATTCACAGCGAAGTCTCCATATTAGAGCAGCAGATTCTGATATTAGAATATGGTATAACCTGTTTTTTCCATGTAGGGGTTGGTTGTTTTTGTTTCGAAATTGTGCAAGACCGCAAGCAAGGATTTTTCCATATGAGATTTGTGGCCATTTGTTTCCAGTTTTTTCCCATAGTTGTTCACATAGTTTCCAGATGATATCTTGTGTTGGAATCTGTCTGCAATCTATTAAAATGTGTTCGAGTGACTCATCTGCTGTACATTTAATGCATGTTGCTCGATATGTATAGTTGGGGATGTTGTCCCAGTATTTTCCACATTTGTATGCATTGTGTATATTTTTCCATAAGAAGTTTTGTATGGTTTTTGTTATGTCTTTATTTTTTATTGATAGCCATATACGTTTATCTGTTGGTAGGTGGCCGCTAAGGTCATTTGCAGCATATCGGGCTATTTCAAGATTAATCATAGTTGATTTACGTTCTTTTGTTATTTTTTGTTGGCAGATTGTTTTATATGCAATTGCTTGTGTTAGACAGGATAGTTTTGCACCTTGAAGGTTCAGATATATAGGTGTTTGTAGATTTATCTTAGGGTTATCTATCCTTTGTTGTCCTATTGTTGCTAATTTATCTGCTTCATTGTTTCCAATATTGTTTGCATGTCCTTTTATCCATTCAAAAAGTGTATCTGAACCTCTGTGTCATAACCATGCAACTACTCTTTTGATTTCATAGGCATTTTCAACTCCAACCCATCCTTTATCTTCAAAGTATGAGAGTGAGTTGGTAATAGCATTTATTGTATATTTGGAGTCTGTTCCTATTTTTAGTTGATATGTCTTTGGAGTTTTACATGCTGTATATTCTACAGCATATAGTTCACCTGTTTGATTACTTTGATTAAGACCTGGGACTCTACATGCTATATTCATATTGTTGTCCTTGTTGAACCAGATTCCACTTCCTGCTTGAGCATTTATATCACCATTTAATTGGCATCCACCATCTGTGTATGCTGTTATAATATTGTCTTTAGTTTGGTTTGTTTTACATGTTTCAGACAGGTTGTCTTCTGTAGTTGTAAATATACATAGTGCATCATGTATGTTATTTGATGTTGGTAGTTCATGTTTAAAGATTTTTATAGTATTACTGTTTTCATCTTGTGTGTTCCCATTTGAGCCTATTTTAATTTGTTGTCTATTCTTGTTCTGAGGATTCCAATGTGCTGGTAGATCATTTAAGAGCTTTTTAGCTGTTACAATGTTACAATTAAAGAACCGCCTGCGCTAACTTAAGCTGTTTCTTTGGGGCAGTGCTACACTCGTCCTCTTCTCGCTGTCTGACTCCCTCTGGCCAGTATTAGGCCACTTTCCTTCTTTCTTTCGTTCCACCCACCTACTCCCTAGGACCCTACAGTGTTCGGTACACCAGATTCAGCTTCCTCTCGCCCTTCTGGTTCCCGGGCGCTCAAGACTTGGGTCCGCCGCGTCGTATTTAGGTTTCTGTCTCGTCGGACCGCGTCCTTACCGACTGACTCGCACTTCGAGTTGGTTTCTCCTTCTCTGACACCAACCCAAGGAAACTCGCGGCCTTTTCCAGGCCTTGTCTTTTGACAACCACTCAAATACATGTCAGTATTTGGGTGGCCTTCTCATTGCCATACTAAATACGTAGCCAGCTAATCTACCTTATGCACGATTTTTCTACTATCATTGCTCACCCTTCATCCAACCAAGATTAGGATCGCTCTGAAATAATTGTCGACGAAAACATCGGTATGTCATCGGATAGACGTTTTTGCTTTATAGAATCTATTCAAGATCGACAAGCTAAGAGGGAGGAGAGTGAGAAAAGAGACAAAATGAGGAACAAAGCCAGAAAGGAGGCATTGCTAGCAGCTCGCAAACAGCATATTCTTCCCCTAGTTACCATCTCCGCTCTCTCTGAGACCGGACAAGCGGAATCATCGATTAAAGTTCCAAAACAGATGACGTACACCGCACGAAGACCTGTCATACCGACCTCCGTTGCATCCATTCCCTGTGCGAGCCTAGGCACTACTAAGCTCTTAGATCGCCTCAACGCTACCCTTGGAACCTCATACACCTTGGACACCCCATCCCTGTCCTCTCTTCTCGAATCCTGCATCTCGAATGACTACGACTTCGGTACTGCATACGCCCGACTCCGTCCACAATGGCTCCGCGACCTGATGACTATGCAGGATGAACTACGCACCCAAGAAGCTCGGGATCGAGAGATGCGGGAAAAGGCCCTTGTTGGTAAACGGATCCTCACCCCGTTCATGCCACCTCGACGCGTCTGGGATCTGTACAGTAATCGGGTGGTGCCGCTGTGGATTATCCGCGGGCAGCCATGGGCAATATCGCATGCTTGGATGGACATTACGGATCGCATCAACGTGCAGACACCCATCAACGGATACGAATGGCCCGTACCCATTCCGAAAGACACCAGCCTGGAACTCATTCGGATCGAGATGCTGAATTTAGGAGCAGAGTATGTGTGGTTGGATGTTCTCTGTTTGAGACAGCAAGGCGGGCCCAGGGAGGATCTGCGTGCGGATGAATGGAAGCTCGACGTGCCAACTATCGGACACGTGTATCACCAAAACCAGATGGTGGTGTACTACTATAGTGGTCTGGGGAGGGCTTTCAGTTTGAAGGCAGGCGACTTGGATAGTCGTCGTTGTTGGTTTAATCGAGCGTGGACGTTGCAGGAGATCAGCGAGAATAGCATTATTGGCGGGGATACGGATGACGGTCCGCTGAAAGCCATGCCGATTGACGAGGATGGGAATTTTGTGGACGAGGGTAGTGCTGAGGTTTTACAAGCAACTGGGGTCCTTGAAAGACATTGCGCAAGAGGTCTATAACGTGTTTAACACGCTGGCGCACATGCGAAATCGGGCATCGGAGGGTGCTATAGATAAGATTGCCGGGATGGCCTTCCTTCTGCGGTCGAAGACGATACCAGCCTATTACGAGACGCAAACTGTGGAGGATGCCTGGACCGAACTGGTGAATGCGATGAGGGAGCAGTATCGGGGGGATATGCTCTTCTTGTATCCTGCACCTGGGAACGGGAACAGAATGTGGAGACCGTCGTGGGATCAGATCTTAAATATGGAGCTTCCGTCAACAGGCGGCATCTATCTGTACGAGGAGGTTATGCGACTTGACGCGACGGACGCCGACTGGCACTATGGATACTGCATTGAAAAGGTCCTATGTGCGGGGACTGGCTGCGGGAAACTCAAAAGGGGCCACACGACGGGGGGAGATGTGTGTCAAAGACGATACTGGACAGAGTCATACGTTCGAAATCGTCGCCTCCCACCAATACCCTATACCTGAAGACTCGTATACATTGATAACCGGTGCATTCACACAAATGGAGCACTGGGTAGTTGGACGAAGACTGCCATTTTGGAGGATCGAGAAAGTGTCAGTGTTTAGAATATCAGACCAAAAGGAATCACGGCGGTTGAAAGAGCTGGGAGTAATTGACGTTCAACATAGGTCAAATAACTACTTTGTTTGATGCTCACCTTAGAAACACGATGACTGATACCTATTATGACCCAGCTTTGGGACCTTGGGGGGGACACTTTGAATTGGTAAACTCGAACCTTGCGAAATATCTAGGTCTGGATGAGTTTTCCGAATAACAGCAGTCAATATACACACCTGACCCGCTTCTCTCCCAGACAAAGAATCATCAAGACGGTACAAATTATATGCCAAAACTCCCTGACAATGTATCGACGCTCCTGGGTCACGCGAATGAAGCAGCTGCATCGCGGCTTTAAAAGGGCGAGGTTGTCTTGATTGAGTGTAACAAGCAGCTTCACTTCTACATCATGCTTGGAGTGATATTTCTGGTGAACTCTGCGAGGTCTTGATGATGTCTTCGACACGGTGATATGCGTATTTCTTGAAGGAGAGGAACGGACAGGTTGTTGTTACACGTACAAGCATCGCGCGCCTAAAAGACTCGACATTCGACCCGGTATAAACCAAAAAAAAGAGCAATTAACTCACTAGTCACTCCAGCAGTTTGTCAGTCGGATTTTCTTCGTATTTTCGACCAGCGTGATCTCGAACTGTTGTTAAGGCCACCAAGCGCTCTTTTAAAATTCCCGCCCAAAGTGATGAAAGATGAAATGAAATTGGAAAGAGCGTCATAGAATGCTACTTGGTACTTCGAACCCTAAGAAGCAAATCTCCTAGAGGCCAGCTCAAAAGAGAAACTGCAGTGTCATAATCGCCGACAAGAAGTCCTCAGACACTCCATATCTGACATCTATAGATGGGTTCAGAAACAGATATTAGGCAGAGGATAAATGGACGTACACTCGCTTCCGACTCTTCCTGCTAGTCCTGGATGTACTTCGGGTGAACATCGATCATCGACATAGAGGCAAAAGGATCCGGGACATCGAGATATAAAGCGCTTTCTGGACGCCAAACTTCTACACTGCTATCGTACTCCTTCGTGAATTCATCGCGGGTATCATCGGTTTGAACAGGCTATGAAAGAAGGACGAGTTAGACTCGATTGCACACCTTGAGAACAGAACAGACCACATCTGACTTGCTCGCACCGCGACTCAGCTTCGTGCGGACAGAAGAGAATAGCTTCTCAGAGAGCGTAGCATTTGCTGGGCCAAGAGGATGCGAATGGTAATCACTATAATATCCTTGAACAATCGGGGTGTCCGGATACGTCTTGACTCTGACGGAGCAGAAACAATTGTCTTCGATGGACTTGGACTTGTTAGGACCGACGTATTTGGGTATGCATCGTTTGTGACGGGAGCAGTAAAAGATATGCTCCGCCAGCCACGTACGCTTCCTGGGAGGAGCCACGTTCTCAAGGCTGGTAAACACGACGAACTTGATGCCATGAACACGTTGTTCATTCAAAAGCCAAGTCTGGAAATCCTCGATGGATGCCCATTCTCTCTCGTAGAGGCCGGGACAGTGCCTCTTGTCGTAGTCGAACCCTCTGCTGTTGCTTTTGCCTCGAATTTTCTCGACGGGATGTTTCGACATGTTGGGAAGACTGGGAGGACATATTGAACAAGCTGGGCTTGTGGAACAGCAAGACAGGGCAGCTTTGAGGACAGTCGAAGGTGGCATCGCGTTTCAGCTGAAGACAGCAGGTTCTGTGTTGGACTCGGATTGCAAAGAACGTGGTTGGGAGAAGGTTATTGGGCGAGCTTCAAGCTACGCGATGAGATGGAGGAAAGAATGAAAAGGTACTGAAGAATCGTCGAAACGTCTGTCACTTATATACACGCCTGCAGAGGAGATTACGGCAGATACAAAGGATTTGCTGGTGCTTGGAGCTGAATCGAAACCCTTTGTTGGCCATTGTTGGCTAGCACTCATCGTATTTTCATGCTATGAGGAAGAATCGGAACAAGAATAGATCCCATGTGCGGTAACGTGCACAGCACAATGACAGTAATTTCACCCACGGAACTGAGCGTCGCTAGCAGCAAGTCACATTCAGTTGCCAAAGCAGTTCGACCAGCACGTACAAGATAGACAATAGCCCTGGCCTGTCGCCGTCGCTGATAGCTTCGTGCAAGATAAATATGCAATTACTTGAATAAGGATGAATTTCTGTAGGCATGAACACTGAGAAGGAACAAAATCGTTAGTGTGACTGTGGATGCTCGTAGAGCTTTTGACACAGGCATGTCCATTCTAGAGAGTTACGGGCATCGTGAGTGACAGAACTAAAAGAGGAAGGGGTCGTGGGAAAGTATGTCAGATTCATCCATTGGCGGCCTCTGCGGCCCGGTTCCGCTTTTCTTCCTTGACATCTTCCATCTTCCCGGGGCTTCAGTTTCAACACGTCAAGGTGAGTGCTGAAGCACTAATAATAAAGTCAATAGCTTATGAGCCTTACTCTAGGGAAATAACTGGAATTGTCGCAAAAGAGAAAAAGGTCAGCAACCAAGTTAATAGTAGTTCCATCAACAAGTGTGTATCGTCGTTTGTTTATCATATACTATTTAAGTAGTGCCCTCCAGGCGAAGCGCGGGCACCCCCTCCACACATAAGACAAATAAGATCACTCAGCTTGACTTGGCCCAAAGGCATGTCAGTCGTCCTACCGACGCTACAATTGTAACTCATTCAAGGCCAGATAGTTTTTCTACCCCAATGGGCACCAAAAATCATTCTATCAAAGAAGGTGCGCTCATTCACTGACGCGTATCGCTTGCTAATAAGAAAATATCCAGTGGATCAAATACTCACAGCACCTGGAAGTCTTCTCGAGATTGAAACTCGCGTAAGTGTAGCCTACTTAGTTGTAGCACCACGCCTGAATATCCGCACTTCAGGTAGTTGATGGCCGGATCTCGAAGGTGTGGAAGAATCTCTGGCCCTCGATAAGAGTGTTCTTCTTGCAGTCGATGAAAAAACATGCCGACAAGACATATGTAGTGTTTGAGGAAGAACGGTACACCTTCCAGGAGATACTCGATAAGGCAGTGAAGTGCGCTGCCATCTTTAGAGATGTTTACAAAGTCAAAAAGGGTGCGTCAACTAAGCAACTGTGGAGTCGCACCCAGATTCATTTCATATGCAGGTGATCGTGTAGTAATCTGCTCTCGAAATTTCCCGAGTTACTACATTGTCTTTTGGGCTTGCCGTACGTCGATATCTAGGCTTATAGGAGGCGTATTAAAGCCCTATCTCAGATCTTCTTAGTGCTGTAACTGCACTCGTGAACGCGTAAGACTTTTGGTATGTGTTTACACAGTTTTCTTACTCGTATGCATGATAGGTGGCTACCACTTGGGCCGCTTCAACACTGCATCACGCTCACAAAGTGCTCGTTGATAATCCTAGACCCCGAGCGAGCTGATAGGATCGAACCGATTGCCGCCGATCTTAAGCACAGCTCAGGCACGTCAGGATACTTCGTTATTCAAGACCATGAGGGCAAAGGGGTTTGGGAGGGCATGGACACCTGGAGTACAACGTTTTCCCAGTACGACAAAGACCCTAACGGAATACTGCAAGACGATCCCCAAATGTCGCCTGACGATGATGCGATGATCATCTTTACGTCGGGAACCACTGGCCTTCCGAGTACGTCTTGTCGAATTTCCTGTATACGAGCTCGTTAATTACATCGTTTGCTACAGAGGGTGCACTAAGCACGCAGCGCGCACTTCTGAGCACCCTTTTCAGTGTATGATTTACATCCGTGAAGTACGGTCCCATTTTCACAGATACTCGATAGAGAGCTGCTATGGTTGCAAGAGACCTCATTCGACGAGGCACGCCTTACCCGCCTCCGCAGCCTGCTTCGGGTCCGCAGAAGAGTATCTTGCTTCCAACACCTCTGTTCCATGTCACCGGAATGAGGATGAGCGTAAGGCGGTCTTTCCTCCTAAATGTACTACAGCCAAAGCTGATCTGTGTTCAGTTTACCGGCACTTCTCAGGGATCTAAGCTAGTTTTAATGCGTAAATGGAACGTAGAAGAAGGTAACGAATGGTCCCATGACAGTATTATTGTCCTTTTGACTCTTCTTTGTCTCAGCTATCAAGTAATTGTTTGTATTCATCCCCGAACTGTTGTTAATGCAGTTTGCTTAGATTGTGCAGAGCAGAGGGTGTAACCTCTTTGGGCGGGTTCGCGTCTGTCTGCTGATTTTGGCTTCCGCTAACATGCCCGCAGTGTACCCTCAACCATAAGCGATCTTACCGACAGCCCCTTATCCGGGTTCCCTATAGAAAGTATCACATTCGGAGGTGCACCAGTAGCACCGTCTCTGGTCAAGAGATCGAAAAAAAGCATTTCCCCATGCGGTATTGTATGTGTTCCGACAAGTTGCTTCTATATATAGGGCTCGACTAATGTTTGTTCTGCTCAGTGGACAGGCGTATGGTCTCACTGAGACCAACGCTGCCTCGGTAGGAGTCGGTGAGAACCATTTTCCCTACCTGCTCTTATCCAAAGCCTGAATTTTGTCGTAGTTGGACCCAATTATACCGCAAAGCTGGATAGCTGGTGACGCGCTGCTCTCCCTCTCTAATGTCCTTCTTGCGAGCTCACAAAACTTCCAGCGGGTTCATTCTCCCTCCAAATGACATTCTGATCATGAAAAATGATGTCAAGGCAGCCCCGAGAGAGCTGGGAGAAATATGGCTCCGTGGTCCGAACGTGATGAAAGAGTACTTTGGAGATCAAGGTTTGTTCCATGTCGGTTGTTCAATTTCATGGAGCACACTGGCTTATTGCGTTGTCGCAGCTGCTACCGACAAGGTAGGACATATCTTGCTTGTGCGCGTTCGGGGACTGATCTCCGGCAAGGTTCTTACAAAGGATGGGTGGTTCAAGACTGGTGACCTAGGTTGCATTGACGAAGAAGGTTACGTCTACATAAAAGACAGGATCAAGGACATCATTATCCGTGGCGGAGAGAACGTCGTGAGTGCTAGTGATCGTGAATGCCTTCGATTATTAACGATGGATACGAAGGACTCCACTTCCGTCGAGAATGCATTATACACTGAGCCGGGCGTACTGGAAGCAGCAGCGGTAGGCGTACCCGACGAACGGCTGGGAGAATTGGTGACCGCGCTGGTTACCATCAAGCCTGGATATCATGGAAGAGTCAACGAGAAGAAACTTTTGGCGATCGCAGAAAAGCTGTACGCGTGTCATTTATTTCATGTTCGGCTCGAGTATATGACACTAACACGCGGGTAGGTTACCCAAGTTTGCTGTTCCGGTGATGATCGTTTTGCACGATGGGGAGTTTGGTATGTTCTTTTTGATGCTATATCAAGATATGTGTGAGATTGAAGAACATGAAAAAAGACCATACGCCCTCTGGCAAGCCAGTCAAGCCGCACCTGCGACAGATAGTGAAAAGGGAGTGGGAGCGGAGAACGAGGCAAGCAAGGGGTTTTGATGGGGAAAAGTCCAAACTATAGGATAGGGTAATACCCGTAATAGGTCGACACTCTGGATTCAGTGATAGGTCGAAATGACACTCTTTGCTACCTTCGAACCGTAGTATCATAGGGTCTAAGAGACGCAGTGCTGATCATGATCGGCAGCATGAAGCAACAATTGGTCCGGTACGTATACATTCACGGCTTTTCTACCGAGCCCGGACTCCAATTTAAAACAATGGGCGTATCCAACAGGTGGAACAGGGGATGACGTTAATAACAATAGCATTTGAAATCGCCGAGTTTGAAGGTGTCTGATGTGGAGCCCAACTGCCTCGTGGCACGCTACCTGGCTGGCATCGAATCTGGTGCACAACACATACTTACCGAGCAGGGGAAGTTGCCACCCTATATTATACCTATGCGTTGTACTCAAAGGGGAGGATAAGCTGCATATTTGCCTCAATAGATATAAAGTCGACAATGACATGGTCAGCGCGTCCGTAGGTTCGTAATATTTGTTTCGCAAATCGGAAGACACAACGTTTAGATTCTATCAGGGAGGATACCTATCTTCCAGACATGTATTCGACCGTGCCATGTAATACTACCTAATTATAAGGTCATCATAACAACTCCCAGCGCCAGATCCCCCCTGGAGTTTCCTTCAAACAGGCACGATTCAACCATACACAGCGAGCACAGTCCACGGAGTAACCACAATAGGAATAGCACAAGACGTCGGCGGCCTTACACGTAGAGCAGGCATATTTATACTAGGGATCTCTATCAAAACGAGGCCATCAAAGCAACACAAACTACAGACCGGATGACCGCAAGCCTCGACCAGAAAATTTTCACGGAAGTAGGCGCCATGGATCTTGAGGATGGACCCGTAGTCCTGCTCAACAGGGATACAACCGCGGATCATCTTGCGTGGAACTTTTGCAGGAACGAGCTTGCCATGGTAAGTCCTGCCACCGAGGCCCAAGGTATCAATCTCCTGCGAGGGTTCTTCCTTCCCCTCCCCTTCAATATCCTCTTCTTCATCCGTCACGGTAGCATTCTGTACCGCCTGTCCCTTATCAAAAGTATTACAGCGGTGAGGACGAGGGATATTGGCACGTGAGATCAGACATACCTCGGTGAGAGCCGACCCGATTGTCTTCTCGTCATTGTTTAGTTCTCCGTCGGCCGATCCTTCTGAGTACATCTCAGTCTCCTCATAAGCACCTTTATGCTCCGAGGATACATTGAACAGGCGCTAAGCAATACGTCAGTCAGCGACAAACAGGAAGGAATTATACCGTACAGTCATTTCGTTATAATCTTGCTGTAAGTTATCTACAGCCCTACGCCAGCTTTCAGGGTCAAGTCGTCGAGATGCATTGCACAACACGTTGGACCAGTTCATGGCCTCGCTGTAAGAATTGTTGTCACAATACCCAGTAGCCATGATAGCATCCTGATTGAAACCGTTATTAGCGCAAAAAAAAAAGAAGTTATTGAGAAGTTACAGGGTCACCCACATAAGTATGATTCCCATACCGAGTGCATTCTTCACGTTTTAGGCCTTTATCGCTGGCTTCAGCAAGCTGAAAGGTGATCTCCTTCATACAGTCAGTTAGGAGGATTGTTTGGGTTTTGGGCATCATAGATAAACAGAGGGATAAGGGAAAGGGATGCGAGAGGAACGGAGCAGAACTAAGTTATGGGAACAAAAGCTCAACCATTCAAGCGGAAAGCAAGGAAAACGAATCGATGCGCCCCCAATATGTAGTGCATGTCCCGGCTTCACAATCTGGGAAAGAAACATTCCAAGAAGTTCGACTCTCCATTTTGACAGGGCACACCTACCGATATTCCCGTAGATCACCATGCCCGTTCAGGTCCAGCCTAGGATGGCCTAGGATTGTACCAGAGGTCCAGATGCGGCGAATTCGCTATCGGTAAATCTGCATTTAATGAAGGTCCGGAAATGCTTCCAACATCCACTCGAGTGGCAGATGCTTCTGTAAGGTTTTATGTCTACAAATTTGCAGTCAATACAAGTCGATGCTACTCCAAACACACAAAGAACCGGTACCTGTTCAAGTTCGCTGACTCGGATGCGTGTATTGGAACGGAATGCCAGGATTGTCCCTTACGAAGTCAGAACGTGCTTTCCATATGCACCATTCGTTCGAAAAGATGAATATTCTTCAGCGATAGCAGCCTTCCGAGGCATGTGGTCTGACTGGGACCTTGACGGCTACAATGAAAATGTAAGTAATTTAATATTTGCCCTGGTCACAGGTCAGAAAAGCGCAAGGAGGGAAGATACGGGACCCGTACGATAGATCGACATCAAAGAATACACAAAAAATGGCAACACCACCGGCAAAGAGCAGTGTCGCACGATATCTCCTCGGTATTTGCATGTCCATGGGAGCAGGAATATCCAATTGGCGAAGTGCTTCATATAAATTGTCTGGAATGCGTCCACCAAGAATAGAGCATGAAACAGTAGTAGGAGCGGCATGGAAACAGCAGGAGAAATGAGAAACTGGACGAAGGGTAACCAAGGTGTCCGCAGCATCCGCCATTTAAATACAAGCACCGATGCCAACTACCCAGCAATGCCGCTTTAGCATCTCCGGGAAAGGCTTATGTTGCTGCTTCCAGATATCCAGCATGTCGTATACTTGAACAGACAACACAGAAACACAAAGGAATAGTGAAAACCGTCTGCCGAGTGCGACGCCGGTAGCTTCTGGTCTTCAACTTATATAGGCGTTGTCAATGCTAGAACGCGAGAGAAGGACTCGGACTCGGACTCGGTGAGGACCATTGTTCAAGGGTGTTGCGCATAGCTGAGTTTAGTGCTGTGCGAGAGCAAGACTTGGACTTGCAGGAAAAGAAACACATATGACCGTATTATGACGTTGGCTTCATCGCAAAGGACTTGGTATCAAAGGAGTGTTCGGTTTCGTCCTCCTTCGTTCTTGAAAGAGAGAATGAATAGCATTGATAGTGCGTATGGTAATAACGACGATATCGTGCAAATGTAGGCCTGCAATGGAGTCAATTTGAGTAGTATATATGCACCGAGAAGCAACTTAGCGTCGAGCGAAAAGAATCGCGACAAAATACGTTCCTCCTCTAGCTGATCCAAGATGGCTTTCAGTTGTTCTATATATTGGGCATGTATGGTCCTAGCTGTCTGGTTAGCGATGAATGTAGAAAGCTAGAGAGCCAGTGAAAAGTACTACGTACCTCGTTCATAACTTAACACGAGTGGAAGACCATGGTTATGGCTGGAATGAGCAGACACGAGAATATTTAGAGAGACGACCGATGTGCGTGTTCCTAAAGACGTCTATGTGGACAGGGCACAAAGGCGGCGTAGCCTCCAGGCACAAAGGACCAGAGACGCCGACGTCTGACTGACAATGTACTATCTTCAGCGACCCTTTGCTCTTCATGCCTCAGGATGCAATTTGACGCCTTCCGCAAAGTTGAATTCACCGCTCCTTCGAGTGAGAACACATCTGTGAGTGGGTATTCTCTTTTGTGAGAGGGGGGATTGAGGGGAGCGTATGATTGCGTATGAGAACCCATTTCTGGGGCTATCTGAATATAGTTACTTAAATCAATCCTTCACATTGTAGGGGCCTTAGCTCAGTGGTAGAGCGTGTGATTCCAGTTTTCGGATGTCCACAAGGTCGTGCGTTCAACTCGCTCAGGCCTCAAGTTTTTGTACGTGGATGGGCCAGCATATCTATTTTTCACAAGGACTGAGACTCACTACTCACCACTAGTGAGTCCTGGCCGGAGATCAGGCACCAGATTTCCCAATGTGCATGTTGTCTTCTCTGGGTGATGTAAATACCAAAATCTTACACGGATGCCCAAGGTTGCATTGTGAGTGTAGGATGTCACTCTTCTTCACCTCTTCAGGCTTCGAACCGAGTGTATGGTTTGCGAGAACCTAAGCATAAAGTCCTAATACTCATGGTGAAACCCCTGGCACGCATGCCGTTGAATGTTCAACTGGTCATAGCAGCGGCCAATTGATGTTTACCATGATACGGTTCGGCGTATTCAACACGATATCTCATTCTCTTTCAATTGTATGACCTTGCCAAAGAGTCATGGAGCACTTCCATGATGTGGCCTTCTTCATTGATCTTGTATTTCATTGTTTCCGTCGATCACCATCTCAGGTTCTTGTCAATTAATTATCAACCTGCGACGCACACGCGATGGTCAATATGCCACCATTACTTTTGTTCCTTTTTTAACTGTTGACTCAAAGTGTCGCGGAAAATCCCCACTTCCCACATTTCCACCCATGTCTACAACACAGCGAACCGCGTACAGTATTGTTTTCGACAGGGAACTCGAACTTCGCCCCTTCCAATCCAACTTCCCGGAGCTTCTCATCTCTAGCGACAGCAATTTACGGCGCATATTGTGGCAGCTCAACAGCGGAGAACTCCCCGATGTCGACTGTTTTCAACTCCCCGTCATGCTGAAGCACGCGCAATTCTCCGACGTGGACCAGATGATGCACCTGCTCTCCCACTTCAAGTCCTTCGAGAGGCTCTCCATCAGCCGAGTGGTCTTTGACGCCAATCCTAATTCAAGCAGCGTCTGACACCCCCTCGATGGAATCAAGCACCTCTGTGTGGATTACAGGGACTCCTGTACTATCTCTCGCCACAGCCTGATTCGACTTCTTCAATGCTTGCCGGACCTCACTTCCCTGGCATTCCGTAATGTCATCTTTCCACCGCGCTACACCGTCTCGTACTCGGACGACGACACACTCCCGCTCTCGCAACGAGCCCAACCAAGAAAAATCTCTATCAGCACTGTCCACCCCATCAATTTTCGGTCTACCCTCACGTGTATCTGTGACACGCTCAACCTCCAGGGCCTCCGACAACTTCAACTCAAAGTGGAATCCTCTGCGTCCAGCGATGAGTACAACAGCTGCAGGGGGTTGTTCGAACTCTCGGAGCTCCTTAAAGGGAGTGAAGGTCTTCAGTCGTTGGACATTGGGTTTCACATGGATGGTGAGCCGATATTTTGTCATCATGGCTAGCAACTTGACCGAGCATAGATCATCTCAACAAATACTTAACCAAGCCTGACAAACTTGGTTTTCTCCGGGTGAGCATACACTCCAAGGCTTCATGCTCCCAACAGCTCCAGTGGCTCCGCTATTCGCTTCAACGAAGCTCTCGGAGAAACAAGACCGTCAAGATACAGCTTGCACGAAGACAGTCCCTCCAAGATTTCGAGGAATTCTATGACGATTGGTTCGACTTGGCCAGGGAGACGACAGCGACGATAGAAATTCCGTTCCCGGTGCAAGGCGAGGCGAGGGAAATGATCAAGGGTTATCTAGCGAGAGGATTTAAGAAGAGCAGATACACGGAAAATCAGGTTCGTGTGGGGTGGCTGTCGAGCTTCCACATTCAGGTGCTCCCTCAATCTTAGTGATGTTCGTCGGATAAATTCATTGTCGAATTCCATATCGGATTAAATTGGATGATCAAATCGTGTGGATACATTGGAGGTAGCCATTGTAAGCCCACCGTCACAAGAACTACTATAGGAACATTTAGCCTTGACGTTCAGTCCGGAAGTTGGATGTACGTACAGCGTTGTTCACTTGACCGTAGGCTCTTGCTTCCTCTCGGTCCGACTCCTAGCCTGAAGTACATTCCCAACGTTTCCGGAACTGCTTCGTCCCGCGAACTCCAAGAAACAGATCCGAATACCCACCCGTGCACAAGATGACCACCGGAAAAGGTAGCTCGAAGCAAAACACTGTTGGCAAGGGGGAGCAGCACCCATCTCTTGTAATAGTGATAAAGGAGGCGCGCGGGGGAGTTGTTGGTAAGTCTGTCTGTTACGTCCTGTTTGGTGGTACCGTAATATTCATTGGCAGCGACGAATCGATTATCTTCCCGTCAGAGTTTCTAGAGGCGGGATTTCTGGTGTGGTTCTTTCGTTCGTGACTGATGTTGGGGTTGTGAAGGTTATCGAGGAGCCTTGACAAGCAAAGATTGGTCGCTGTCAGGTCTTGGCGGCGGTGGATTTCGAGTCTGGTCAGTTTGGATAGGCGGCATTGAGGCCGACTATTTTTGTGTGAGAAAAGGAGGTCATGGAGGTGCGTCGGGTGGGGGCATCTGATGAACTAGCCGGATAAATTAACCGACAGCCAGCCTATGAAAGCCTGCAGTTGACACATCCGAATCAGACCACCTCAAGTCGGCGAGACTGATGAAGTAGAGAGCAAATCATAGGTCGAAGGTAATGATGTAGAATCTTCTCTGCTGCGGATCGGAGAAGTTAACGAAAACTTTGCGAATGCATCTGGCGGCAGCGACGCTGGAACACGGCATCAAAGCTTGTTCTTTCGTCATCTTTGACCCTCCTCGTTCCAACCGTTGCTCCGCTGGCACGACCTCCTTATCTTCCTTTCAACATTGCCCTCGAGCGCGCGACCCATTCTATCATTGCTTGCACATTATGAACGATCCCCCCAGGGCATCGGCAGCTTCGAGTTTCGTAGTGTTGGTAGCGGGTGTAGCACTAAGTGAAAATGCTAGGTTTTAGCCACACAAGCACCAGAAAGGCGATCCACTGGAAGAAATTTATCAGGTCAAAGCGTGCTCCCTCCGCAGCTCAGATATGGATTTGAGTTCCTCAGTATATGGAACGAACCCGGCCGAGAACGATGGCTATAGAAAGCTGGAGATAAATGAATACCGACACAGGCCAACGAAAACTACTATAGACGCACCTGGTTCGTCTTTCCAGGATCCCGCATAACTGAATACCGGCTAATGGCTTTCATAGTGACAAGATGAGGAGACGTGTTGCGCTGAGCGGAGTCGACGTCGCACTGTGAGGTCGCAACCATTCAAGTGACTCTCTCATAGAGCCCTGCTGTTGCTGCGAGCGAGAACGAGAACGCTATCGTGACTCGGGTGTGTCGGATGTGTGCCAACTGGATGCGGTCAGGGATCGACGCGTCCAATCATGCCAGCCAAACAACTTGAAATAAACCCGGACGTAACAACGGCCATCATCGGGGCGCCCGGGGAATGCATCTAAGATACCGTATCTTCACCTTTAACCCTTTGCTCCACGCTTCGAGCTCGTTTACTTCTCACTGGGACCACCCGTCCGTGCGCAATAGCCATGGCAAATGAGGGAGGGTTAGTTCATTTCATTCTTCTGTATTTTCTGCGTTCATACGTCCTTACAGGAATCGCCGGACCCTTTTCATCCGTGGTTAGTGTCATTCTACTCTTATGTGCTTAATCCAACGTTTCAAGTGTTGTATAGACATCGAAATCGTTACGATTGCACCCACAGAAGAATCAAGGTTTCGTTTGAAAATCATCGCAGGCAATATTAAGCGAAAGACGAAAATAATCAAGATGAACAGAGACGACGTCATGCCAAAGTGGACCATAAACATGAAGCTGTAAGTTGCATACGCATACACTCCCGTCCTGGTAGACGAATCATGGTGGTAGTGACCTCAACTCACAAACTGTGGTTTCATGGAGGCTATATGGTCGTCGGAGACTACGTTTCGAGGTCCTCGGCAGCGTCGAGAAGACGCTTGGCGAGCTGCTTGAAGGGAGAGATACAAGTGCGTGCGGTGTTCATTGCTTTGCTCTTATATATACTGATTTTTCTCTACAGGTACTGAGATACATCTATTCAATGGATCTTCTGAGGTCGCAGTCCTCAAAATAACCGGCTCAGAAAGCGCCAAGACAATCATGGACCAACTCGTCCCGAGCATCAAGAAACCCTCAGAAAATTCCAAGTACCTAGACAACATTGACGCTCTGCAGAAGGTGTTCGGTGCTGCGAAGCAGATGGTCGATGCTCTTGCGGGGGTAGGTAATACTTGACAAGTCGATTTGTATGGCTTGACGAGCCTTTTCCCAAGGTGCATCCCGCAGCTACCATCGCTTGGGGATTTCTGTCTGTTGGATTCGAGGTGCGTTGTCAATGGTGTTCCTAGCGCGCGATATTTTGACGGCATATATGCAGGCAGTGAAGAACCAACGCGACGCGAAACAAGCAATACTCAATCTTTACACCGAAATGATATCAGTCTACGAAGAGGCCAGCAAGGACAGTGTCTTGCAGCAACGCGACGGTCTATATGGAACGTATAGTTCCTTGTTCAAGCAGACCATCGAGTGCGCCATTTTCATTGAAGGCTATGCAAAGAAGAGTGGGATAGGTGTGTTTTTGAGTCTCAGTTCTCTTATGATGGATAACTCACGACTCTTTCAGAGCATCTTTTCACGATGGACCTATCGGGCCAAGCTGAAAATTTTCGTCAGGCCTTCATCGACCTGAAAGGCCAGCTGAGTATGGGATTCGCAAGGGAATCAGCCATTGTTACTCTCGGTGTCCAGGAGCTTGTGAACATTCAGAGTGCGCCGTTCTTCAACTGCAATCAGTTATAAGCACTGACGATTGAGGCCTTTAGTTATGAGAGATCGATTGCAAGATCTCCGACCACCTCAAGAACTGGGGCCAAAGTCGCGTTGTATGCCCGGAACGCGTGTTGAGACAATCAACGCGATGATGTCATGGATTGCCCAGTGTAACGGCGGGACAATGTGGTGCAAAGGATTGGCGGGGACGGGGAAGAGCTCTTTGATGGGAACCCTCCACGACTTGCTCACTGCGGACATCGGGGGACGGAGTCGGCTTGTAGCCTTCATTCGCTACGACCGTATCGAGTATTCAGATGCCAGCAAGCTAATCAGCAGCATCGCATATGCCTTGGGAATGTTCGATGACCGCATCGGGATGGCAATCTCCAAAGTTATCCAGACATCGCGATCGGTGCCGACCATGTTAGACCTGTCTGCTCAGTTTCGGCTTCTACTTCGTGATCCGCTTGAATCCCTCCCTAGTCTTGTTGATGAAGGTCCCCTGGTAGTCATCATCGATGGATTGGATGAGTGCGATGCATCTAGTGAAATGTTAGATGTACTCGCCGAGGGATTTGGTCCGAAACTTCCCTTCATGCGGCTCATTGTTTCCAGCCGACCGATTCATCGCATAGCTACGGTGTTCGAGGAACGGGATTGCATATCCATGCTCCATTTAGATACCTCCTCAGAGGATGTAAACCGTGATATTCAGTTCTACCTGGAAATCCAATTTGCAAGTATACACGAGGATGCGTTTCAGGAGAAGTGTAAAAAGCTGGATGCCATCAATAAACTGACGGCACGGGCGAGCGGTTTATTCATTTGGGCTGCAACTGTTGCGAAATTCATCCTTGCATTTCCAGGGATATCAAGGCTTCAGGCTCTCCTAGCCACGGATATCCCTAGTGATGCGACCGAGGCTCTAACATTCTTATATCGCACTGCTTTGAATACTCTCTCGTCTGAAATCCCGGGTACCAATGCGGACATTAAAAAGTGTGTGCGTGATGTTCTCGGCGCTGTGCTGGCAGCCGAGACGCCTCCAGGGATGACAGAGGAAATCCTTGATAACATTGTCCTAGACCAAGGCAGCCCTCCGTCGCATCGCATCGTGTCTATGCTAGGAAGTATAATCAGTCCTGAAACTGAGGACTCGCCCATCCGACTCATACACAAATCCCTCGATGATTTCTTACAGGATCGGAGCCGATGTGGGGACGATTGGTTCGTTGATGTCACTTTGCACCGCATGGCACTAGCCAAACGGTGTCTGACTTCATTGACGCCTTTTCTTCTGGAGTGGTCCAAAATCAATACACATAGCTTGGATATCATCGCTGTACCAGAGTATATTTCCCGATATGCATTGTTTGGAGCGTTGTGGCATATTAACGTCTTCGACAAGACTGGCTTAGAACTCTTCGCTTCCTTTTTCCGTCGCCACTTTCTTCCTTGGTTGGATGTACATCTATGTATTGGATCTGATTCTGTCCTTCAAAACATGGCGATGTTGCTGAACTGGTCTAACGTACGTGGCATGAAAGTGAGCTTTATTTCCCGAACTAAATCACCTTGGTCCTAGCAATTTGACGGCATTGAGCCACGCACTTTATTCTACCACGCTTATCTGTTTGCGTACAGAGCAATAGAGGACGGAGGGCGATCTAGGTTAGGACCATCATATGTTTACACTCGCGCGATGTGTCTTTCACCGTCGAGTAATGTCATTCGCAAGGCCTGGGATTTAGAGCAGTCCAATGCTTTGGGTGAACCTGTGTTCCCCGACAGAGAGCGCCTTCTCTCTTGCATGATAGGTGGCCAGCATCTCCACTATTACACTCTTCCAGACTCCAACACTCTCATGACCTTAAGTACCTCATCATCATCCGTATTCATCCAGCAATGGGAGATCGATACGGGACGACAGAAATCATCGCCAGACGTGCACCATATTATTCAAACTCCATTTTTCAATAATTCCGAGTCTTATACCGTCTACACGGATGGACGGTTAGTACTTTTGTTTGAAAAAGAAACTTTGACACCTCCGCCGACATCAGAATGGATAATGCTACCCCAAATCCCTAACTATGCTTCACAGGGGACCATCGGTACTGCTTCATGGCGTTACATCGGTCTCTTTGACTCCCGAACTCAAACGTTCAAAACGTACCTGTTGTCGTTGCCTAACACTGAGGCCATCTCAAACGAAGTATACGACAATGGCATTGTCCTTACACATAACGCTGGATTTTTTATGAAGATTACCGTCTGTCAAGAGGACAACTTTGCGTGGACATCAATTCCGGCATATCGACGATTACAAATTAATCGAGATGGATCAACAATTCTGTTGAGGCACCATGATGACACTATACAACTATACGATGCACGGACAGGTGCTGCTGTCTTTGACTCCCTTCACAGTGATAAATACCTGGTTGGTGTCTCTGATGATGGCACAAAAACTGTGCTTCGTAGCACGGAGGCTGATAATGTGGTGAGCATCCTCGACATGGCTCTGGGTGGGAAGGTCCTTGCTGTATTAGGCGACATAGGGAGTAAGGTCTGGTTCCTTGGAGAGTCAAAGATTGCCTATAAAGTCCGCCAATGCTTAATTGTTCAAAGTCTGGTGACAGGTAACATTCTGTTCTGCCATGGCATTTCCAAATCTTCCGAGGAGCTACATTATTCTGTACACGCTACACTAGATGGAACGAGAGTCGTCAGTCATGGACGTGGTACATGCATGGTATGGGATGTCGAAGACTTATAGTATATCAGTACCTATTTTTAACAGTGTATACATTTTAATTTTTGATCGGATGTTCACAAAGATTTGGAAATTTTGAAAGGAAAATCATCATTAGCACCGTTCGTTCTTGTTGACGCCATCCATCACTAAACACCGGTGGTACAGTATACAGCTGAAAGTTACATCAACAATACAGTCAACCTCCGCTAGGAAGAATAACTGCAGTTAACGATGAGTATAGCTATCAGTATCGGGATTCAGACCTCGGTATAGGTATTATCCTCAATGATGGCTCCTCTTTCTCTCGCCTACTACAACAGGTGTTGACCCATCCCCATTCCGTTTTCTTCTTCTCTCGCACACTGCAGACCAGTGAAGGTCGTCATCAACACTTCGCGGTTGTAGACTCTCATCAGTGATTAGGTGACGCTGAACGTGATTTTTTCGCAGTCTTCACTTTGGCAAAGGAGGTCGCAGACGTACACTGGAGATGGGCGCATGCGATGAACTTGCTGTCGTGGAGAATCGACGGATATCGAGTGAGATCGTGCATTGCTTTTGGGTGCGCGGTCCTCCTCTAGTACACACCCTTCCCTCCCGAAAGACACACGAATCGAATAGTCTGCGGTTGGAAAGTCTGCCGGTCCTGAATGAAATCAGGCGTGCATTATAACGACGGGTTTTGCCCTCTTCTTAATTCAAGCTGTATCCCATCCCACATGCGGGGCTAGAGAGCAGCTTAAAGTTATTTTCCCCCGGCGTGACGGCAAAGATGAACTTGATTCGCAGTGGGTTCATGGACCACTGCTCTCTTCCCGCAAAATGGTTGAAGATGGGAGAAGTAGGTACATCGGTGGAGTTGGTGACAAGTTTGGCGTGTTAACCTTCAGTGGAAAGTCAAAATATAATCTCTGGCGCCAGCGACGGAACAGAAATGGGAGAGGGTGGATCCCGGCTGGTTCATGATATCATGATAGTCGAAAGTACTGGGGAGACTCGGAGTGGGTGAAGTTAGCCGCCTGAAACATATTGGGTTACGTGCAAGCACGTTAAGAGTTCGGCAGGCGGTAAACTCGGGCCAACATCAAGAACATACTAAGACAGACGAGCTCCGGCTGCTAGGCCGTGATAATAGTTCCGACGCAGAGCAGCCTATATTCATCAGTCCAAGTAGTAGGGGCCGAGCGTCGACAGCTAAAGACTTTGAACAACACAAGCTATGTTTTATCTGCTTTTTAGATCAGTTGTATCTGGAGGGATCAACAGGCTTACCTTGGCAGCGGGGATTACAAGGGTACATACCCCCGACACGGTTTCCAGTCAATTTCCTCCTGCGTGCACAATGGCTCACATGTCGACCCACAGTCAACCCGCCTAAGCCTCGAGAGAAGCGTCAGCGTCAGTCGTGATGCGAGTTCAAATCCCGAAGCTGGATTCCTGGCTTCAATCGCAAGGCGAACGACCCTGAATCCACAAAAGTAACCGTGTTCCGTCTCGATGACGAGCTTGAGAAAGTGTGGGAGACAAGGAGAGGAGAAATTGCAACTAACTCACCATGTTCAACTGTATCCAGTTACCCTCGACGAGTACCGAATCCTGGAGTTCCGGAGCGCTACACAAAGACGTGTTATCTCGCGAAAACACAGTGAAAATAGGCAACGTACCCTGGAAAACGCGGTTTGGATTACACCAAGGTAACGGCCATGATGGTGGCATCCAGTTGTTAGGTGTTTCGTGCCAAGCGAGGGATTTCCAACGTTATCCCAGTTTGATTACTCCCTCCCCATCATCACCTCCTCATCCCGTCCACACATGACGATTCGCATCCAATTCGGACTCCTCGACACAGGTAGACCCTTGGCAGCGATGGGCTCTCGTCAGTTTGAATAAGTGGCGTTAAGGGCGATTTCGGTGGCATAAAGGAGCCGCAGAGGTGTGTCATTGATGAACTGGTCGCTGTCGACGGGGAATCAACGGATGTGCGCTTGAATGGCTCTGCGCTGTGTCCAGCGTCGAACCAGGTGGTTTTTGTCCTCCCTTGAAAGCGCTGGTGGTACAGGCGGAGTTGTGCATCGAAGGAAACGTTGTCGAACTTTCCCTCCTGAGAATCGGGAACATTAACGACAGTTTTGCGACAGCGCATTGGCATCCTTACTTGGCCTTCCCTCATCTTTGGCGGTACTATCTCTCATTGTTTCGTCCTGTTCTCAATGACAAGATCCCCTTTGCTTCCTGTCAGAATCGCCCTTGAGTCGTACGATCGCATGTGCAAGTGCTCTGACGCCTTTCAGTAGCACGGTATACGGAGTGAGTCCAGTATCGACCTGGACAGTGATAGCTGTAGAGAACTGGAGGTAATGAGCACTGGCACAGATCAAGAAAAACTACTATGCACCTGATTCGTCTTTCCTCCTGCAGCGAACGCGGACATGTGGTGCTGAGCAGAGTCGCTGAGAGTCACTATTCGAGGCCATTCTGCAACTTGCTTGCGAGCAGGCTGAAATCGCGAGTTTCTTTCATTCTGACGAAGGAAAATAGATAAGGTCAGTCTCGACGCGTCAAAACTAACGTGATTGGACCAAACAAACAAGTCGGGCCTTCCGGACCTGACTTCGTTCCACAATGACGACCATCATCTTCTAACCAACAACTTAGGGTACCTGGGGAACATACTGTACTGCCGCTTTTACTTTTCACTCCGACCGTGGCGAAAGATAAAAAACAATCAAGCTATATAGACAGAGCCAGTATCATGTCAAAGTGGACGATAAACATGAACCTGCAAATTGCATACACACCTAGTTCATCTTCGTCTGTCTTATACTTGCAGAGGCGATCTCGACCACCAAACTAACTATGGTTTCATGGAAGCTTTACGGTCGTCGTAGGCTGCGCTTCGAGGTCCTTGGCAGTATCCTGAAGACGTTGATTTTTATAAGGACTGATGTAAAGGTTCTTTTGAGTTCGTCGTTATACCCAGCTCACACAACTCCAAGACACTCATGACCTATCTCATCCCAAACATCAAGAAACCCCCAGAAAACTCAAATCTAGATGCCAAGTTTCTAGGTAACTTGAAGATTGACGCTACGCCACGTAGAATGCATTCGATGATCAAACTTCTCGCAGGGGTAAGTCATATTTTACACGTCGATTTATACTGCTTGACGAGCTTCTTCCCAAGGTGCACCCCGTGGCTACTGTCGCTTGGAATTTCTGTCTACTGTATTCGAGGTAAGTTGTCAACAGTGTTCCTAGCGCACGGTATCTTCATGCATATATGCAAGTAGTGAAGAACTAACGTGACGCAAAACAAGCCATACTCAATCTTTACACAGAAATGATATCAGTCTACGAAGAGGCCAGCAAGGACAATGTCTTGCCGTAGCGCGATGGTTTATATGGAACGTATAGTTCCTTGTTCAAGATCGTCGAGTGCGTCATTTTCATTGAAGGCTATGCAAAGAAGAGTGGGATAGGTACGTTTGAGTCTCAGCTCCCTTATGATGGATATCTCATGACTCTTTCAGAGCATCTTTTCACGATGGACGTATCGGGTCAAGCTGAAAAATTTCGTCAAGCCTTCATCGACCTGAAGGGCTAGCTGAGTATGGGGTTCGCAAGGGAATCGGCCATCATTACTCTCTGTGTCTAGGAGCTCGCGAACATTCAGAGTGCGCGCACCGTCAGAGTAGCTAAGAGACTCATCGACGGACGGGTACCAGGATGTCTGTAACTATTTTGAGGACTATACGGCAATGCCCTTCAATAGGACGGTGTGGAGTCCTCAAATGTTCTCTTACCCACGCTCGACGAGATCGCACTCAATGAGGTCAGTGGAACTATGCTTGCAATAGACGAATTACAGATCTTATACAAAATTTGCCCCTGCGTATCTCTTCGATGTTTTAGTCAACAGAATTTACTACTTGTCCGCCTCACTGCGAATCTCAATCTAATCCTCGCTTTCAATCAAAGGTTCGCCATATACGACACCTTCGTCGGACCACTCCACATAAATCACGTCGGGGCCACTTGCGTTAGCGTCAGCCGTCGCCTCATTCTCCACAAACGCGTGCGCAATGGCTACGCCGGTGCCCTCTGGCCACTGGTTACTCACCACCCAAGGCGGGGGTTGACGTTTCGCCAGAGTCGACCGAGGAACAGAAGGTGGGGTGACGGGCTCAGGATATCCCTTAGGGTTACTCGTATTCTCACGTCGTTCGGGACCGTAGGAATAGATTCCATCCCGAGAGACGACAATGCCTGGCATTCCACGAGCGTATGCGTTTGTCATGTCAGCTCGGGATGGTTGAGGATCACCCCCGACGCTGCTTGAAAGGGGATGGGTGTGGAAGTTTGCCGCTATTAACGGTCAATGTTAGCGCCAGCCGTTGATTCGTATCGCTAATATATCCTTACCCAAGATGACGTTGTTCATCTGAATGCCTGGATTGTTCAAATCTATTGCCGCGTTCGGCCCCGTCGTTCTTTGATTCATAGTCACTCCCTTTGGAGCCCGGGTGACCCAGGCTCTGGTTACTGTGCTGGGCACTGGGAAGTCTACAGGGAAGTGTAGTGAAGATCGGTAAACATGACTTTACGAATAGATGCGTACCAACGTAGATGAAACCGCCTTGTTCGCAGCAATGGTATGCATCAGGGAAGGAGTCGCTCCATGCAGTTTGGAATGTGCCATCGTTCTGCCTTGTTAAGGATTTTACACCGTTAAGGAGCTCTGCAACAGATGGACACTCATTCTGAGCCATGGCGAAGAATGCTACATTTTGCGTGTGTCTATTGACGCTATTTTTAAGCCCACAGGCCTTCCTTTACGATTAGATACGTAAGGCGCACGGAATGCTAGATGATATAGAAGTGGGGTCTAATGAATGGCGTTCTTTGGAGTAAGTCAGAAAAAGAAGTCAACGGAAGGATCACATATATTCTGGACTGATTTTGAACGGCCCACAGACAGAAAGTCCATGAGATCAGCGTGTTTTGAATAACGAGTCCGCAATGTCAAGTTTGCATCAACTTTACGCGAATTCCACATGTGACTATCACATGGGACAACCTTATGAACAGGGTACTACTAGCCTGAATCGTCAAGTTCTTCAGTTATTTCTACTAATTTTCTAGGCCTGAGACCAGTCTTCCCCGGTCACATTGCCCATCCATCGTGTCTCCGAATTGAACAGGAATTATGGGGCTCCTTTTCTCCGTTCTCGACTTCGCTGTCCTTATGATCGATCACGTTCTTAAGTTGTTGAAACTCTATCGTTCTATTCTTGCTTGGTAGGTGTCGGGGGCCTGCCAATACCGGCTGAAATCTGTCTGTTTGCTAAGCCATCTTGTTGTGCTGGATTTGCCCACCATTCTTCACGCAAGTAGCAAGCGGCTTCGCAATATACTTTTTATTGCGTACTCTTCATGTTTGGTGTTGGTGTTGGTGTTGGTACCGGCACAAGGTCCCAATCAGGAACGGCCGGGTCCACAGCCCTGACACAGCAAAGCCATGTGCTGTGGCCATGAAGGCTCATACCGTTTTGATCGCACGATTGCGTACGTCTCGCGGAGTAGAGACTCTTCATGGGGTACAATGAAGATGGTATTTACTTCTGCCCTCATCCACCAGATTATGCCGCAAGCCCAAACGCCTTCGAATTTGCCCCTGACAAAGGAGCGATACTTTTTTTTCGCTGTCTATTCTTTCTCAGTGATGCAAACATTGATTTGATACCATCTTGACTAAATGTGTAAAATTCGACCATCACGTCGTTCTGGGAAAGTTCCCCATAGCCTCATCATGGGATTGCTCGCAGCCTTGTTATTAACCAGCCTCCACCACAGGAATTATCGTGAGGGAGATGTCGATATAGAGTGACGGCTCCTCTTCCTCCCGCTTAACCATCACTGGTACCGGTCCACTATCCCTTTCCCCACCTCCTTCTCTCGTTCCTTCTTCCAATTATCCAGTGTCATCTGACGGCACTGTCATAGCCAGTCAGGGTTTGACTCGGATTTCATCTCGGGGAGTGACTTTGATATGTTTGGTGGAGGAGAATAGTTGAGACCAGATGCTCACGATGGGAATGAAGAAGAGGAAATGTATGATAACGGCATCTTGGTTGATATAAGGACTTGGACCAGGTGAAGCATATTAGGTGAGGGGGTCATCACAGGCGACGGCGATTTACGACACATCGAGGGGCTCTGCATCCGGTTCTTTCGTCTTCTTTCCTTGGTTCATGGATGGCTGGGTCGACTACCGGGATATTATGTGTGAGCAGTGCAAAATTCCCATTAGGGGTTGGGTGCCTAGTGAACCGGGCGATATAGCCTGCCGTCGGCAGAAATTTGAAGGTCATGCTCTCTGTCTTTAGACTCAATAAATCCGGTGTGAAGCCAGGTGCAAATCCAGTGGACATCATTTCCCGCAAATCTTGCACACCGCAATTGTCGTAGTCATCATGTGAAGGGATGAGATGGTCAAATACCCTCGGGCCTTGCGCGTACGCATTCCCATTGAGCAGATCCTCGACGTACGATCGAGCACTTGTGACTATTGAGAGGAGGGTTAAGAAACGTCCCTGAAGCGACGCGCTGGGCGGTATGCAACGTATATGCCGGTGAAAAGACGGGGTCTGGTGAGGAAGGAAACTGCCAGAGGTATGGTCCGACGCCGCCAGGGGCTGGAATATGGCGTAGGCGAAGGTATGGGGGAATTCTCCAAGGCGCCGAGTTTTAAGCACTGGTAATAGATATGGTATCTTACCAGTACTAAGTGAAAATGTCGGCCTTGGTCGCAAAAGTATCAAAACAGCGACTCATGCGACCGAAGAATTAATCAAGTCAAAACATGCTCCCTCCGCAGTTGCTCTGGCATGGCTTCGTGGTATTCGGTGTATGGAGTGAGCCCAGCAAGAACCGATCACCACGGCCAGGAGATAAACGAGTTCCGGCACGGAGCAATGAAAACTGTTATGCACCTGGTTCGTCTTCCCTCCAACCGAACACTGGCAGATAGATTTTGAAGCAATGAAAGGCGAGGCGACACAGAAGACTCGTTGTTTTGAAAACAGTCGACGTTCAATGGCAGGTAGATGAGGATGTCGTTACGCCGGAGGTCATTGTCATTTATAAGAAAATGTAACCTTGACTTTCAGTCTTAAAGTTGAGCACACCTACAGGTTATCCACTTTGACTATACAGCTCTTGCTTCCTCTGGACCTGATACTCAGCCTGTCGTACGTTCAGAAGATTTTCCAAAGTACTCGTCCCACAAACTTGAAGTACCAGATCTCCATCTCCATCTGCGTAGTAGACGGACAACTTGAAGTGAATCACTGTCGGCGGAGAATCGAAGGACGTGCCCTCGAATGGCTCTGCACTCAGTGCGTCCGGCGTCAAATTAGGTGGTTTTCATCTCCTCGAGAGCGCTGGCGGTACTGGTGAAGCTGGCAGCGAATCGTGGACATTGTTGAATCCGTCCCGAGAATCGGAGAGGTTAACGACAGTTTTGCGAATGGGTCTGTTGGGCGAGAGGGCGACGGTGACACTGGCATTCGTGCTTGACCTTTCCTCATTTTAGGGGGTGCAACTCCTCCTCGTTTTTCGCTGTCTTCTCCACCAGAAAGAACTCCCTCTTCACTTCCTTTCGCTTCTGTTTTCCCTTTCCTGATACGATCTTGACTCCGCCACGCTCCCTGGCGCTGGTCTTGAGTCCTCTCTGCTTCCCCCACCAGCGGACCGAGCTTTCCGGCCCTCTGCGCATCGCCTCAAGTGCACAGCCCATCCTACCGTCGCATGCGCAAGCCATGAACGCTCCCTCCGAGGCGTCGACAGCTCCAAGCTTCCCATCCTCGTTAGTTTTGACTTTAAGGACGGAGGCTTGAGTAAGGATACCCTTAATAAAAGCCTTAATTAGTAGCCGAATACAGTGAAAATAGGCGGTGTACCTTGCAAAATAGACTACACGAAGGTAACGGCCGTAATTAGCACTGACGATCTTTTGTTGGTGCATCCTGGCCAAACGAGGAATTACTCCCCCTCTATAATCACCTCTTCATCTCGTCTACACACGACGACTCGCATTCCATCTCAGTCCAATTCGAGACTCCTCCTTGGCGCGTGTTAGCCCTTGACGAGGGCGGACTCTCGCCGATTTGAATAAGCGGCGGCATAGGAGGCTGCAGCGGTGTACGCCTGATAAGCTGGTCGCCGTCGACGGAGAGTCAACGAATGTGCCCTTGAGAGGTTCTGCACTCAGCGTGTCCGGCCTCGAATCCGATGGTCTTCGTCTCCTCCTCGAGAGCGAGGCTGATACTGGTGACGTTGGAAGTGAATCATGAGTACCAAAGGCGATATTGTCGAATCCTCCGACTTCAGAATCGGGGACGTTAATGACAGTTTTTCGAACGCATCTATTAGGCTCGAGCCTGTAGGGTCATTGGCACGAGAGAATATTTACTTGGTTGAAGTATAGTGGGATGTAATTGTGGCGCTGTTACCATTCCCTGAGATTGACGAGCTCGTCGACTAGCCATGGAAGTTGTTCATCATGCGGCAAGACCTCCTTCGCCTCCTTTTGACATCACCTCGAGTACACAACCCATCCTACCATCGCATGGGCAAGACCATGAGAACTCTCTCCAACGCGTTGACAGCTTCAAGTTTTGTGGCATTGCTGAGTGGAAATATAAGTCTTAGTCACACACGTACGAAAAAAGAGACTCACGTAGAGAATCAAGTCACAGCGTGCCCCTTCTGCGGTTGCTCCGACATGGTTTTCGGTTGTTCGGTACACGGAGTGATCCCAACAGCGCCATAGAAAGCTGGAGATGATTGAGTATTGAGTACTGGCACGGACCAATGAAAATTACTACGTACCTGGTTCGTCTTCCCTCCCGCATAATCGAACACTGGCTGATGGAATGCAAAATGAGGAGACGCATTGTGATGAGCAGACTATGAGTTACCGTTCGATGGACGAGTAGACGACACTACAAAATTCCAAGATCGCGTCAATGGCCCTTTAGAAAACAACGGTGAGTTGCCGCGGTTCATTCGACCTCTTTTATTCTCTTACCTCCATCCTTCTACCTGCCTCATCCACACCGGGACGTTTGATGCAAGTGCGCTACGCGTCGCAGAGCACGCGTCTTGCGAGATGGGTGTTGATGCAGATGACCGAAATAGCATGTTTGGCTCGCCGGCAAACAAACAATGTCCGTTCCATGCTTGTGTTTCTTATCTCCCTTTTTACATCCGGCAACATTGTCCAAGGTCTCTCGTATCTAAACATCCTATGATTACAACTCGACATCGATATTACAAGATGATTAACTTTCATTTTTTCCTCAAAGCTCAATATGCATTCCAACTCTTCAAAAATGTTTTGCCCCGGCGAGCGAACCCCTACTTACAAGGAGGGCTTGAACGGCTAGGCATGGAATGTGGGCGAGGGCGGTGAAGATACCTGCTCGCAGATTTTAGAGTGAGTTCACTTACGCGGTGGACGATGCATTTTAACTAAAACATTCCTCTCCCAGTCCAGATATCTTACACCTGTCGTCTTCCCCAGACTCTCCCTCGACAAATGGATTCAAAGCCGAAGACGACTAATCCAAGGGTGCGATTTTGGGCTAAGAGGACGTACCCATCCCGCGAGTAGCGTGTCCACGTCGTGGAGGAAAGACCCTATTCATTGCACTTGGGCAGGAGACGTGCAGCACGGCAAGTCTCCTCATACTTATCACTCACACTCAGGGATGCTCATCCTTTCCATAGTCCAGATCTCTCTCTCTTCCAATCCCACCGTCGGATGAGGGTGTACTGTGAATGGCAAGTCTCTCTGATCACTTGCATTCATTGGGACTCACATCTCTGTAGCCCGATCTTACCTACACGGCTCTCTCCTTTGCGCCACGACATCAAGCACAAAGTCTTGGCCAACAACGACCTGTCGAGAGCAGCCGAAGAAAGTTTGGGCCCACACGATGTATCATCGAATCATCCGGCGAGCAAGCAACATCACCAGATAGGTACAGACAGACACGGGTGCAGATGGTAGGTGCCTTCTGTTCACTCACAGAGCCCGATCTTATTTCCGATTGAAGAGTATATTCAAGAAACATATCGAGCCCTTCCAAATACAAAAACAGCTTCGTTTGGGACGCGTTTTTATCCCAATGCAACGCGTGAGCATCTGACGCTTTCGGGAGCGTGGATTTGATGCTATGCAGGTATGGAAGTGTAGCGAACTAAGGCGAGGATTGCGGATGTGTATCTGTAGGGTGGCGTAAGTTTTTCTCTCCGACAATTCTGTAACTTTGGCTAAATTGCGCCCTTCACCAGTACGTTCAATGCCGGCATCCCTGCCAGTTACTGTCTGCAAGCGAATATCGCCACAGGGAATGGGGTGGGAGCTAAGAACGTGAGGAGTGGATATGGTAGGATGCGGGAAGAGATGCGAGGGGAGGAAACAAGCAGGGGACGTTCAGGAGGGCGGGTGTGTGAGGGATTGGGCGGGAGCAAGGTTGGGACCCCGACGGCGCACGATAAAGGCGACCACAAGTAAGATCATATTCGGGTTACGTTTGACGATGTATGCTAAGGTTAGTCATATGAAGCATCCGGCGTTTAGTAATGAAATGACCTTGGTTCCCAATAGATTAATATGTGGGTCAGAAGGGAAGAAGCGAAAAATGACACATAACAAGGATCCGATGATTCGCTACTAACTATACACATACCAAATATGAAGAAGGATAGCACAAGCGACCACTAGCACTGGTCGGAGTTGGGGAATCATTACAGCGCAAGACAAGAGCTACTTTCTTCAAAATGGCCACGCCGTGTGGAAGTCGACCACTCGCCACCACGTCTACCATCCTGTCCCATTTGCCCCGTACCGTAGAATTGGTAGTCCAGCAAGACCCTCAGTTCCATTTCGAATATCTCAGGGTAACTAGAACGACGACCGTGTCAGCAAACCCAATGGTAACCTTTGAAGATCAAGAATGTACTCTGATAAACTTCGAGAAGATCTCCGTAACAACGTTTCTAGGCTCGAGCTGAGAGTGTAATTGTCGAATACGTGTTTCTGGAGACCTTGATGGTTGGTCTGAAACATACGGGTTCAGATACTCCGATAGGCGGAATGACCAACATCGTACATTGACTGCAAGGTGATACATTGGTTTCGGAGAATATCCATCAACAGCATCCACTGCTGGATTTGAGCGAGATGAAGCCAACCTCTTTGGTATACATATATACTATCAAGACCCGAAAGCTAAACGGACAATGGATTGATGTCAACTGATTATTGCGCAGGCAGAAATGTAGGGGTACATACATCCTGAAACTTTTGTCATTGACAAATGTCAGGTGTCGGGGCTTTCTCTTCAGCCTCTATTGTGTCCCCCAGGTAGTCTTCCGCATGGTGATTCGTAACCCCCGCTAACTGACCCGTGTATTCCTCGAAGATGGGGGATTCTACCTCCGTAGGATAGAGTGTCAATTGAGTCACGAGAACGAAGGCTTTTGCAAGGTGACGTTTGCAAGGTGAGACAGAGAAGGGTGCAGGCGAATCAGTGTCTACTTCGAAAATCGACGCAGCAGATATCTTTTCATCGCTACGAAATTTGGGTCGCGCAGACTAAATGCTGCTGCTTGCATAAATGGGGCGGCGGTTGCATACGGACGTTTCCCCGTATTTACGCGTAAAAAGCATAAACTTGACGTCAACGGGAAAGCCACCATCAAGTGTGGCTCTGATGGCTTTGCACATCGACACAGAGATTGCTCAAAGGACTTCAGAGGAAGGCTCTGAGTCCGAAGATGACAGGGTGATGATCAAATCAATGAGGATTTCGCCCAATGGAAGAGGGACGTCGCTGCGTCGCTGCTGAGGATTGAGCTGTTAGCGAAAGTGAAAAAAAAAAAAATGAAAGAACAGTAGCTTACCGTATTGCCTCGACTTTTAAAGTCTATCTGAAGACGAATAGCATGTTTTGCGGGATGAAGCCACTTGGCGAGAGTACGGGAGATCCATCACTGTTATAGCTGTTGGACAGAGAACGACTGTGGCGAATTTAAGATGGCGGGAAAGTAAATTAAAGGGTAGAAAGCGCACCTTGAGAACAAGAAGTTCCTGCCAACATCAAGAACACACCAAGCCAGATGACGTCCAGCTGCTAGGCTGTTGTAATGATCCCGACGCGGAGTACATGCCCTACATGCATCAGTCCGAGTGGTGGAGGGACCGAGTACCGAGGGCTGAAGACTGTGATGATACCACGAGCTATGTTTTATGTGCTTTTTAGATCAGTTGTCTCTGGAGGAGTGAACAGACTCACCTTGGCAACAGAGATTACTAGTGTGTATACTCCCAACACTGTTTCCATCCAATTCCTTCCCATGACTTGCATGTCGACTCTGACGTTCTGCCATTCCTTCCTCAAGTGAGGAATTTCCCAACACTATTCCCGTTTGATTACTCCCTCCCCACAATCACCTCCTCATCCCGTCCACACGCGACGACTCGCATCCCATCTCAGTCCAGTTCGAGACTCTACAACGCGTATCAGCCCTTGGCGGCGGCAGACTCTCGTCAGCTTGAATAAACGGCGTTGGGGGCGATTTTTGCAGCGGTGTATCACATAGGCATGCCTGATGGGCTGGTCGCATTCGATGGTGAATCGACGACCATGTCCTTGCATGGCTCTGCACTCGGCGTGTCCGGCGTCAAATCAGGTGGTTTTCGTCTCCTCCTCGAAAGCGCCGGTAGTACAAGCGAAGTCGTCAGCGAATCGTGGGTCAAAGGAGAGATTGTTGAACCCTACATCCTGAGAATCGGAGACGCTAACGATAGTTTTTCGAATGCACTGAAGGCAACGTTCGCATCCGAACTTGGTCTTTCCTCATCTTTAGCGGCACTACTCCTTGTTCCGTCCTTTTCTCCACCGGGAAGATGTCCTTCGCTTCCTTTCAGCATGGACCTCAGGCATACAGTTTCACAGCATTGGTAGCGGGAACGATGCTAGGTGAGAATATGGGCATTAGTCACACCAGTATCAAAAAAGAGACTCACCCAAAGAATCAAGTCAAAGCGTGCTCCTTCCGCCGTTGCTCTGACATGGCCTTAGTTACTCCATATACGGAATGAGCTCAGCAGTGACCAGCTAGGGATAAATGAGTGTTGGCATGGACCAATGAACACCACATACCTGGTTCGTCTTCCCTTCCATAGCGAACACTGGCTGATGACTTATTGCAGCAAATGCAAAACGAGGAGAGGAGCTGTGCTAAGCGGAGTCGATATCGCACTGCGAGGTTGCTATTCGAGGTGATTCTCAAGTAAAGCTCGCCGCGACCTGGTTTTCTTGGATGAAGCCAGACGAGATGGCGTGATGGCAAGCAAGCGCCGCCATCAATTTACATTGATTCTGCGAATAGATTTTCCTACGGTATTTGGCAAAACTTAATTGAGGTACGCAACATCATTTTCTCACCAAGAGCTTAGGTCGCTTGTGGATTGGATGCATTCAGATGCTGTGGTACTGCTTTTCTCTCGTGCCACCATCTCTGCAGTAGTCAGCACCAACAACCATGGCCAATGAAGGAGGGTTAGTTTCGCTTTCACTGTTTCTTTCTTGATTTATGTGCTCATATGTCCTCGCTGTAGTCGGATCCTTTTCATTCGTGGTTCGTGCCATACATATGAATACTTGGTCCAGCCTTAATGTGCTGTATAGAGCTCGAAATCGTCAAGATTGCGCCTACAAAAGAGTCAAGGTTTCGCTTGAAATTTACTGCTAGCGACAAGAAGCAAAAAACAGAAGTAATAAAGATCGATAGGGTCGGTGTCCTGCCGAAGTGGACCCAAAATTTGACACTGTAAATTGTATATGCACCCATCTCATCTTGGTGGATGTCTCACGATTTCACAAGTGACTTCGACCCGCAAGCCGTGGTATTATGGGAGCTTTACGGTTGTCGTTGGCCAGTGATCCCGCGTTACAAGGTTCTTGCCAGCGTCGAGAAGACACTTGGAGAATTGTTTGAAGGGAGTAATAGTACGAGTGCGTTTTGTGTTTATTTCTTTCTTCTGAAATCCTGATTTTTTCTGTAGGTGCTGATATACATTTATTCAACGGATCTTCCGAGGTCGCAGTCCTCAAAATATCTGCCCAGTTGGATAGTCCCAGCAATGTCATGATGGCTGTCGTCCCAAACATCGAGAAACCCTCAGAGAGCTCCAAGTTTCTGGATCCCAGTACTCTGCAGAAGGTGTTCGATGCTACGAAGACGATGATCGATACTCTCGCAGGGGTAGGCGACATTTTACAAATCAATTTATACTGCTTGACGAGCCTCTTCCCAAGGTGCACCCCGCGGCTACCATCGCTTGGGGATTTCTGACTATTGGATTTGAGGTGGGTGTCAACGGTGTTCCCAATGCACAATATCTTCACATCATAGATGCAGGTCCTGAAGAACCAGCGTGACACGAAAGATGCGATATGCGATCTTTACAAGGACATGATATCGGTGTATGAAGAGTTCAGCAAGGATGATATCTTGGAGCAGCGTGATCGGTTACAGGGAATCTATAGTTCCTTGTTCAAGCAGACCATCGAGTGCGCCATTTTCATCGAAGGCTATGCAAAGAAGAGCGGGATAGGTACGCATTTGAGTCACAATCATCTCATGATATCTCACGGCTTTCCCAGAGCGTCTTGTCACGATGGACATATCGGACCAAGCTGCAGAATTCAGTCGTGCGTTCGCTGACCTGAAGAGCAAGCTGAGTCGAGGATTGATAAAGGAATCAGTCATTGTCACTCTCGGTGTCCAGGAGCTTGTGAACATTCAGAGTGCGCCATTCTTCAGCTGCAATTTGCTTTAAACGCTGACCATCGAGACCTTTAGTCATGAGCGATCGACTACGAGTTCTCGAACCACCCCAAGAGCTGGGCCCAAAGTCACGCTGTATGAAGGGAACTCGTGTTGCGACGATCAACGAGATAATATCGTGGATTTTCCAATGTAATGGCGAGATGATGTGGTGCAAAGGCTTGGCGGGAACGGGGAAGAGCTCTTTGGTGGGAACCTTCCACGACTTGCTCACTGCGGACATGGGGGGACGCAGTCGGCTTGCGGCCTTTATTCGCTACGACCGCATCGAGTATTCGAAGGCCAGCAGGTTAATCACCAGCATCGCCTATGCCTTGGGAATGTTCGACGTGCGCATTGGGATGGCTATCTCCAAGGTTGTCGAGAGATCGCGATCAGTGGTGACTATGTCGGACCCGTCTGCTCAGTTTCAGCTACTCCTTCGTGGTCCACTTGAGCGCATTCTTGATCTTGTTGATGAAGGACCCCTGGTTGTCATCATCGATGGATTGGATGAGTGCAACGCGTCTAGTGAACTGTTGACCACACTCGCCGAAGGATTTGGTCCGAAACTTCCCTTTATGCGGCTCATTGTGTCCAGCCGACCAGTTCATCACATAGCTACGGCGTTCGAGGGACGAGACTGCATATATCCACTCCATTTGGATACCTCCTCGAAGAGTGTAAACCATGATATCCAGTTCTATTTGAAGCAAGAGTTTGCAACCATACGCGACGATGTGTTCCTGGAGAAGTGTAGAGAGCTAGATGCTGTCAATGAACTGACAGTACGGGCGAGTGGTTTATTCATTTGGGCAGCAACTGTCGCTAAATTTGTCCATGCATTTCCGGGGATATCCAGGCTACAGGCTCTCCTAGACACGAAAATCCCTAATGACGCCACCGAAGCTCTAACAACCCTATACCGCACGGCTCTGGATACTCTCGTGTCTGAACCAGGTGCCAATGCGGATATTAAGAAGTATGTGCGAAGCGTTCTAGGTGCTGTGTTGGTGACCCAGACACCTCCAGGGATGACAGAGGACATCCTTGATAACATTGTCCTACTAGGTGAAGGCAGCCCTCCTTCGCGTCACATCGTGTCTATGCTAGGAAGTGTACTTAGCCCTGAAACTGAGGACTTGCCGATCCGACTCATACACAAATCCCTCGATGATTTCTTGCAGGATCGGAGTCGATGTGGGGATGAATGGTTCGTCGATGTCAGTCTGCATCGCAAAGCAATAGCTGAACAGTGTCGGGTTGCATCGAAATCATTTCTGAAGACATGGTCTCCCAAAAGTGACGTGGCCATCGGAGACGTACCAGCGTACATATCCAAATATGCATTGTTTGGAGTGTTCTGGTATTCCGCTTTTGACCAGAGTGACGTAGAACTATTCACTTCCTTTTTCTGCCCCTACTTTCTTCCATGGTTGGACATTATTGTCACGGATGGCGGCGTTCTCCATTTTGAAATCATGGACACGTTCTGTCGACAACATGGGCTAACACGCATGCCAATCGAAGTCGATATCCGTGACTCGGACACTATCCACCGTGTTCTTCAAAGTTCCACTGAGTTTTACTGTCACCTTCACCATTCTAGCGAAGAGAGCCCCCTCACCGGAAAGGTCACACTCGAGTGTATGAAACTGAGAAATGGCCCCTTGGAGCCTACTGGCGATAACCTGAACATCGAAGGTGTAATTCTTGTTGATGCCGATACACAGACAGATTATGGATTCAAAATTGCCAATACCACATCTGTGCCTCTTTATGTTTCGATGTTCCTTTTTGATGTCAGTGATTTGTGCATTCGTACGTAGTCCTGTTGATCTTCACCCCTTGCTCTACTGACCAGATCCTGCCTTTTCTAGAAGCAAACTATCAACCGGAAAGTGCGGAAGGTGTTGACACCCCCCTCCCCCCTGGAGAATCATTGACCTTCGGGTACGGCACCAAGGACCGGGACCGTCCATGGAGCTTCGGCGTAACAGAGGGACAAGATGTCGATGTTGGCTTCTTGAAGCTCTTCTTCTCGACGGAATATCTAGACTGGTCGGCCATCGTCCAAGAGTCACCTTTTGAAGGCCATCGCCAGAGTGTTGCACCTTCGGTGAGGAAGATACCTTCCCTATGTCATACAATGTGTGTTCCAGTTGTTCAGAAATGGGTAGTGGGTGCCCCGCGAGGCTCCAGACGCAGGTTTCAGTAGCCAGGGCCACTAGTATGATTTCCATTTTGTTGATTTGACATTGTTCCCAAGTACTCCCCACAGTAGTATGTACTGTACCTGGTGTACCCCGCAGTCCATTATTCTTATACAAGGTTCGGCTTCCTTTGATAGTACCTCGTCCCTTGTCTTCACTAGCCAAAACCTGAAAATACCTCTCTTGAGAACCTGTCTTTCCGTACTTCATTTGCGTTCAAGCCCGAATCCGTGAACGTAGTCGAGAGTCTACTTTATTGCTATTTTCAAAAATGATGAGATTCCGAAAAAGAAAAAAAAAGTTTTGACACGACGTCCAATGCCGTGGCCAGCCCGATCTCAGCCTGCGCCATCTGAGACAATCCACGAACCCTATGACGTCGATCATCGTAGCGGCTCAGAGGCCTTTTAGCGAGGCCCAAAACTTTTTAATTATTTTTTCGGAATCTCATCATTTTTTGAAATAGCAATAACAGTCTGGTTTGATCTATCGGTCGAACCTCACCCTCGACATAGAGGTTACACTCCCGTTTCAACCAAATCCGCTCTTACGTCTGGGTCAAGGATGTGTGGTGAGCTTGAGGGCAAGACACGGGTCATTAGATACCAGGAGAAGAGAACTAACAATGAACCAACTCACCATGGTTTGACCGTTTATCGATATCCACCATACTAGTGACCCTTGACGAGTACCAAATCCCAGAGTTCGGATACTACCCAATGACGTGTTAGTCTGTGAAAACACAGTGAACACAGGCGATGTACCTTGGAAAGGGAGACTCATCCTGCAAAGTGGGGAATTTTCAACGATATTCCCATTTCATTCCTCCGTCATAATCACCTCCTCATACCGTCTACACACCCGACAACTCGCATCCCAACTCAGTCCAATTTGAGACTCCTCGATGCGTGTTGGCCCTGGGAGGACTGGATAAGTGGCGTCGAGGGCGATGTTTGCGGTAGAAAGGAGGGAGGCCGGCAAGGTGTATCACATAGGCAGTTCTGATGAACTGGTTGCCGTCGACGGAGAATCAATGGACGTGTTCTCGAATGACTCTGCACTCAGTGCATCCGGCGTTGAACCAGGTTGTTTTCGTCTCCTCAAGAGCATTTGCGGTACTAGTGAAGCCAGCAGAGAATCATGAATCAGAGTTGGATTCTCCGTCCAGAAAATCGGGGATATTAACGAAAGTTTTGCGAATGCGTCTGCTGGGCTCAAGGGCGATGGCGACGTTGGCATTCGTGCTTGACCCTTCCTCATTTTGGGCGGTACTACCCCTCCTTGTTCCGTCGCTTTCTCCACCGGCAAGACCGCTCTCTTCACTTCCTTTCGCTTCTGCTTTCCCTTTCCTGGTACAATCTCGACGCCGCCTCTCTCCCTTGCCCTGGTCTTAAATCCTCTCTGTTTCTCGACCAGCGGACCTAGGTTGCCAGCCTTCCAATCCCCTCTGCGCACCGCCTCGAGTGCACAACCCATCCTACCGTCGCATGCGCAAGTCATGAAGGCTCCCTCCAAGGCGTCAACAGCTTCGACCCTCCCTTCCTCACTGCCATGTATGGGATGGGCATTGTCCCCTAGCACTATCTCATCTCCGGCGCTTAGCTCTTGTATAGCATGCACGTCCCATCCGCCGTCTTCGTTCGCAAGTATTTCGGCATTGGAATAACAGCCTGAGCGAATCCAGCGAGCGGCACCGCTCACAAGTCGATCATCGGGAGCCGCACCACAATCGTCGGAGTCGTCATGCGAAGGAATGAGATGAACGAATACCCTCGGGACCCGTGCATATGCACACCCATCGAGCGGATCCTCGACGTAAGACCGCGCACTTGTGACCACTGAAAGATAAGGAATATGAAATGTTCCTGGGTCGACGCGTTGGGCGGTATGCAACGTATATGTTGGTGGAAGGACGGAATTAGACGAGGAGGGTAAATGCAATAGGTATGTGAGGGTCCGACGCCGCTGAGGGGCTGGAATGTGGTGTGGCGAATGGCTGGGGGAATGCAGCTGAAGGATATCCTGCTCGATACGAACGTATGTCTGCCGTTCTTCTTCTTCGTCGACCTCATCGCCTCGTCGCCTGCTCCCACCTTCGCCCTTGCATACCCAACAGCTCCACTCGTGGGGCTTGTTGACTCCGGCGTAAATCCCAAAGCATGCGGCATGGCACCATCTAAGGCAAACGTATTGGTAAACCAATTTCGCAATTGAGTTTGCAGAAGAAACTTTTTACCTTGAAGGTAAAAGAAAGGGCTTGTGAGCCGACGCTGGACGAAAATGCGGATGCTACCTCAAGCAGCCCTCGCAGACAATGTTAAACACGAACCCATCATCATGCGGCAGCACGCATATGCACTGGAGCGTAGGGTCGTCGGGAGAGAATATTTGCTTGGTCGTCATCGAAGTAGAAGCACAGGGAGACGAAGAGGAAGCACAGGGAGATGAAGAGGAAGCACAGGGTGGCATTGGTAGCAGGTATGGTACTAAGAGAATATATAAGTTTTGGCCACAAGTACCAAAAAAAAAGAGACTCGCCTGAAGAAATCATGCCAAACATACTCATTCTGCAGTTCCTCCGGTAGGGTTTTCGGCTGCTTGCTCAGTATACGGCGTGAGCCCAGCAGTGACCAATGACAATAAGAAGCTGGAGATAAATGAGTACCGGCACAGACCAATGAATACTGCTACGTACCTGGTTTGTCTTCCCTCCCTCATAACCGAGCACTGGCAGATGGATTTTATCGCAATACAAGATGAGGCGACATGTTGCACTGAGCAGAGTCGATGTCTAGCTGTGATTTTCCATTTGACAGGCAGATCGCACTTGGTGGACGACGCGTCGAATCGACCATGCTCGAAATAGAACCTTAAATAATAAGAGAAGGGGTGAGTTGTCGCGGTTCATTCGACCTCTTTTACTCTCTCTTACCTCCACCTACCCAGCCTTGTCCATACTGGGACGTTTAGTTTGTGTGTGTTACGCATTAGCACGCGTCTTGCGAGATGGGTGTTGTTGACCAAAATAGCATGTTTGGCTTGCCGGCATTGAGTCAAACAAAGCGAATACTCCGCACCACCATGCTCGTATTTTTGATCTCCCTTTTTTGTCCGGCAGCATTGTTCAAGGCCCTTCAAGATTCTCGTGCTGTAGGTTGATTTCAAAGCATCCTGTTAGTAGAAGTCGACATTGATTTTAGATGATGATTCACCTTGATTTTCAGCTTTTTCGATTGCTCCAAAGCTCAAGTGCTCGACATGAACCGCAACTTGTTCAGATTTTTGTTTCCGGAGAGCGAATCCCTACCAACGAGGAGGACTTCAACGTTGGCACAGACTAGACGTGGAATGTTGGCGATGGTCGTTTTAATTGTCCACCCTTCCCCTGGTCGTCGTTCCCAGACAGACTCTCCCTTGGCCCCTGGATTCAAGACGACCAATCTCAAGGACCTGATTTGGGCTAAGACAATTTGTCGCCATCCGGCATGTGGCGCGTCTACGTCGTGAAGGGAAAGACCTGTTCATCGCACTCGACGATGATGGGAACCGGGAGACACGCCATCCTCTCCATAACGACAGCGTGGAGGTAGGGTGTGCTAGGAATGGTAAGTCTCTCTCATTACTTGCATTCCTTGGCACTCACATCTCTATAGCTCGATCTTACCCACACGACTCTCTCCTTCACGGATCTCAAGCCTCAGGTCCAGACCTCAAGCTCAAGTATCGAGTCTTAGCCACTAACGATGTGTCGAGGGCAGCTAACCATTGTCCGGCGAGCATACAACGATACTGGGAGTAGATGATGCGGGAAGGAGAATAGCCGCAGAATCTCACTCTCGATTGAAGAATACGCTCAAAGGACATATCGAGCCCTTCCAAATACAAACGCGACATCGTGGCATTTGGCGCGCTCGGGAGCGGGAATTTGGCACTATGCGGCGAAAGCAGACAGGGACTATGGATTCGTGTCTGGAGGCTACCTTAGCAGAATCAGAATTGATTTACTGATGGAATCTCATCCTCGAGGTTATGGTCCCTGTTATGGATCTGCCGAAATCCGGAGATGCGAGCACGAGGCGAGGAGTGATGATCGAGGCGAGGTATGATTAATTAGAAATGATGTACGTCGTTAGGGAATATAATGGATTCCGGTGAGGGTTCGTGAGGAGACCTGAGAGGTCCGGTTTGCGAAATAAAGGAAATCAGTAAGCGCGAAGCAATTACTGAGGGAAATAGCCGGTAAGCGCGGAGCAATTACCGATATAGAAAGCCTGTAAGCGCGAAGCTATTATGGGCTGAGGGTGAAGGCAAGCGCTAAGCGTAACCTTCGGGTTGGTGTCAGAAAGCGCTAGGCATATCCAACGAGTTGTTCAGCAAGCGCTAGGCGTAACTGAGGGTTCACGCAGTGAAGGTGTCCTGAAAGTGGTAGATTGATCAAGTATCCCTAATACAATGTTATCTACAAGTTTATATACTAAGGAAAGGTTCGAGTCATTATTATTCTACAATGTTCTATAATATTCTAGTATCAGTACGAAGAATAGAGAAAGTAACAGAAAGTACGAGCGAGTCAGTATTAAGACCGAGAAGGCCGAGTACGGGCATATGTTGACTCATGCACCGAATCAACGGATACCCAATATCCATAACAGCCCCCCCAGTCTACATATGCCGGAAAGAGGCAAAGGAAAAGGTAAATGAAACGTATGAAAGGAATTAGTAAAAGTAAACCCCGTAAATTTGAATTGTTCTGTGGCTGCCGGTCATGCTGTAATTTCGAGTAGATGGGAGTAAAATTTATCCCACACCCTGCACATATGGAGGGCAGGGTTCGTCATCTTCTGGACTTTCATTGCGTGCAGGCATTTTACTGCTAGATGAGTCGAGGATCAGGAAGTCGAAATCTAGCAGATTTGGGGCTTGACTAGACAAGTCGGCGGATGAATGCCCTTGGATGACCCTTATAGTAAATCCGAAACTATTTCCGACATCGGGGACCTCCAATTTTCGTTCAGGAGATGCATGAATAGAGGGGCAAAGCTTTGCGCGATGATCAAAAGGGTAATCGGCAGATTCCGATGCTGGCGAGCTGTTTCCAAAACCGGAATGATATTGATGATGGCTCCCATCATTTCGCCGTCTCATCGATACCACTATTCCCTCATTCGCCTTCGAGATTACGTCTAGGTTCTGGTCTTGCATTGGTGTCCCAGGGTCCTTCCCTGAATTGATGTTCAATGTTATCCTCATTTGAACTGTGGGTTGCATGTTTACACCCAGATCCCGAATCTGATTTTCAAGTCTCCTTATTGGTCCGACATGCTGGTTTCTTTCCTGATCGCACCATTTACTACTTGCGGAGGCTTCTCTGTCCGCGGTTATCCCTTTCGCTTCAAATTCCGATACTTCGTCGTTATGTTGTTTAGTTATGACAACATTTGAATCAATTTCCGGCAACGCAACACCCGAATGCACGAACTGGCTGGCTTGGGCGTTTTCGGATGCGATAGTTGGGAGGATGGTGACAGGAATGATATTAATGGAACCGGGTACGTCATTTGAACAGGCTTTGAGTTGAATGCTCTGACTTAATCGTCCGCATTCAGTTTTCTCCGGAAACCTGTGCTTCAAAGATGCTGCACCGAGATCCGTACCTGGTGTGGTATCTCCGACCAGTTTAATTGACTCCTTTCCAGTTACAGGGACTTCTGAGAACGCCGCTTCTGCCTCCCTGCGTGTTTTCTGTTCTCTTTCTAAAGCACGTCTCATTTTTCGACTTAGCTTCTTCTCTTTTCCGGCTCGGGCTACAATGAGTTTCCTCTCCATGGAATCGACTATCTGGCACACTGTTTTCGATGTTTTCGGTACCATACAGTTCCGCTCTTTCATAGCATCCTTCTCACTCTGCTGCGCTCGAGTCGTATCGGCTTCCGGAAGTATGTACTGGTTTCGTTCTCCTTTCGATGGTTTCAATCCGGCAGCAGGATGAGGTTTCGGCATGATAATGCTCATGGGAACATTTGTTGAAGATGCAAGGGAGGTATCGAGAGATCCGTTACCGGGACCTGTAGATGGCTGGAAATTAGGTCTAGGAGACAGGTGAGTTGGGATTGCGTTGCATGATTTCACTGAATGACTGTCATTTTCCAGTTCTGTATGCAGCTGAGAATCATGATGTGCAGTTTCCGGCTTGATTTCCATGGCAGCTACTGCGGTGAGGTCGCAAGGACCGGAGGTACGGCTCGCAGCTGACTGGAGGTGCGCCGATGATAGTGTTAATGCTGACTTACTCAAAGTAACAAATTGATTGTCTTCGGTTTGGAGATTTCGTCCTGTATATATCAGAGAGGAAGATAAATCCTCCAGTTTATAGTTGCTGGTATTACGACAATTGGAAGTCTCGTCGTCGAGCTCGGGAATGTTGGCAGATTCATGATTCTGCTGGGATTGAGGCCATCCTTTGTCCTTCATTATGGCCTTTAACGAAACGTCTCCTGGCTCATTGATACGGTTCATAGTTGAACGGGAATTCGCAGTTCGATCCATCGGTGTCGATATTTTCAGCATGGTATAGTTCTCCTCCTTTGTAGCTTCTGTCCCCCTCTGCTGTGTCTGAGCCGCAATTCCTTCTGGAAGTATACTCTGATTCCCTCCCCCTTTCGACGGCTTCGAACCAATGGCGGAAGGGACCTTCAGCATGGGAGGAGGTGTCGAAGTTGTGAGGGATATTCCGAGAGATCCATTAGCAGGACTTGTAGTTGACTGGGATTTCATAGGTAGGTGAATCGGATTCACGTCTCGTATGGCATTTCCTGGATGACCATCATCTCTTCGCAGATCCGTATGTAAGTGAGACTTGCGATGAGCGACCTCGGGCTTGGTTTCCTGAGCGGCTATTGCATTAAAGTCGCAAGGACCAACAGTACGGCTTGCAGATCGTTGGAGGTACGCAGATGAAAGTGTTGGAGCTAACTTATCCGAAGTTATAATTTGATTGCCTCCAGTTTGAAGACTTGGCCCTGTGTATTTCCGAGAGGAAGGCAGATCCTTCGATTCCCTATTGCTATTATGACCACCAGAAGTCTCGTCATTGAAGTTGGGACCGCTAGCCGATTGTCGAGATTGTGGCCGGTGTTTACTTTCAGTCTCGCCCTTCATGGATATTTCGCAAGGACTATCCAGGAATCCCATTTCCCGCATCTTCGCTGATGGTTGAACGGGGTTATGCTTGAGTGAGAATAAGGATTCGCTCACTTTGCTTTGAGGATGGTGTCCGACGGCTGAGGGTTTCGGTTGTTCTGATTTCTCTGCTACCGTCTGCATTGAGTGAGTCAGATTTCGGCCATGCTTTCTCCATTCGTCAAGTGTGGGCCAAGGTTTTCCGGTTTCCCAATCGTGCTGATTATCCATTTCTGCCAGAAAATGCTCAACAGATACCCGATAACAGAGGGCGTACAATTCGAAGTCATTCTCTGTCATAAAAAGGCGGATATCCTGGCCCCAAGTAGGACAATTAAGATCTATCTTGTGTATAACAAGTGAACGGCTGGCTTCCCGCTTTCGCCGTTGTAGTGCAGCTTGTAACTGGGAGAAGATTGATGAGTCGATGCGCACTCCCAGGTCGCCGTTTGATATATGAACGGCCCATGTCTGTCTCAATAGCCTTTCTAGGAGTTCGAACTCGTATCGGAATGTCTTCTCATACTGGTCACGAGTGACTTCTAGTGCATGACTAGGTCCGAGGTCAACATTCAAGCTGCTCTTCAGTATTCTCAGAGCTCGCCTTTTGCGAGATACAAGTGCTGGAGATCGTGTAAGCTCAAAAGATGGGATGGATGTGCAGATAGCGTTTCCCATATTAACAGGGAATTCTTCGTCGTTGTGAAAGGTTCCATATGAAAATGGTCCGTCAAAAGGATGAAGCTTCATTTGGAGAGTACTGTATTCTTCATCTGAGCGTCGCAACTGCTTCTTTCTGGTATTAGTCCGACTGATGGGCAAACCATTCAAAGAGCTGCAAGTATGCCTTTCCCGAGAGGAGGGAGCAAACAGTTCCTGATGGCGAGTCATGTTGTGGAAAGTGCAGGCATGGCAAGAATGACATTTCCCACCGGGGTCAGGGCTGAATGAAGATTTTGGCCAGGTCATTTCAGAACAACTGTTTTAGCCAAAGGGGATGAATACAAAGTGGTACAAGCTACGTTGCTTCGCAAGCAATGAGGTATAACAAACGGGAACCTATACTCAGGTCCCAATGTGTCCACCAATGTTATGGATCTGCCGAAATCCGGAGATGCGAGCACGAGGCGAGGAGTGATGATCGAGGCGAGGTATGATTAATTAGAAATGATGTACGTCGTTAGGGAATATAATGGATTCCGGTGAGGGTTCGTGAGGAGACCTGAGAGGTCCGGTTTGCGAAATAAAGGAAATCAGTAAGCGCGAAGCAATTACTGAGGGAAATAGCCGGTAAGCGCGGAGCAATTACCGATATAGAAAGCCTGTAAGCGCGAAGCTATTATGGGCTGAGGGTGAAGGCAAGCGCTAAGCGTAACCTTCGGGTTGGTGTCAGAAAGCGCTAGGCATATCCAACGAGTTGTTCAGCAAGCGCTAGGCGTAACTGAGGGTTCATGCAGTGAAGGTGTCCTGAAAGTGGTAGATTGATCAAGTATCCCTAATACAATGTTATCTACAAGTTTATATACTAAGGAAAGGTTCGAGTCATTATTATTCTACAATGTTCTATAATATTCTAGTATCAGTACGAAGAATAGAGAAAGTAACAGAAAGTACGAGCGAGTCAGTATTAAGACCGAGAAGGCCGAGTACGGGCATATGTTGACTCATGCACCGAATCAACGGATACCCAATATCCATAACAGTCCCTTTACAACCAAATCCCGCTCTTACGTCTTCGCATGGGACGTCCCATCTGCATCACGACGGGAAACTGCCTATTGATCTCAAGTTCATCATATGCATGCGCATATCACCTCGTGGGCTCCGGGGACCAGAGGCGATTTTTGCGGGTAGCACATTCTTGGAGGGCTACACGCTGTTCGTGGATATATGTACGCACACCATCGTTGTGAAGGGAAACTTACTGACACTCTGCTGTTAGATATTAGGACGGGTGTGAAAGCAGTCAACGTCGATTTCGACGATTGCGAGTCGGCGATATGGATGACGCAGATAGTGATTTCGACGAGGATGATGGTAATCAGGGTACGATGGACATCGACGTTGCACCGGCGCCGCCTACGACAGGTAATTTCTCCTTGTGCTTGGTGCGTAATTATTGACTAATAGCTATCAGAACCGTCATGGCCAGATTTTGAGTGCCAAAACCTTCAACGAACGTATAAGGAGCCGTATTCAGCAGGCCATCCTTTACAAAACCCCTCGGTAATGGCTTCCCCACTGGGATCATCACCACAAACAGCATCAGCATCTCTGTCTGTCGATGACATTGACCCACCAGCAGAAGAAACCACAGCCGAGCCTCTTGATGGAGCGTTATCGCCAGTTTCATACGGAGAAAATCCATGAAACAGAAGTACAAGGGGCAGAGCCCTTGGGTCTATCTGGCATATGAATGACGCCGCGTATAAGACGTGCGTCGCTTTCATTGAATTCGCGATCCACTCTGATTATATGCTAGTTGGAAAGCCCTTCTGGCGTATTTGTACACTCGCGATCTCTCTTTGGCATCTCTCAAGCCCAATGAGATCGCAACAACGGATGTATATTCGTCCAAGTCGATGTATCGCTCCACTGTGAAGGCTCGCGATTACAGGCACAAGCTTATTTTATTTCTTCTGGTTTCCCAATCAGGCTGGACGTTCGTACGCAGTTGACGCCGAGTAACATCATCGGCGAAGCTTCAGTAGCCGGTACGTTCTCGGTTAGTTTTACGGCCTGGTTCTGATAATGATCCTGCTTAGGTACCCCGAAATACTTGATATGGTTGGTCGACCACATCGCAAACCCTCTTATATATCCTCAATGGCAAAGGAAAATGGCATAGGTCGGGCATGGCGGGTGTCCTCGTGGAATTTGTTACACATATTAAGTAACATGCAGGTATCAGAAATTAAATAATGTCTTGTATCCCTTTAGTCGGCGACGTAAATTCAACGGATCAGCCCAGGCTATTGAGTCTGGGATCTCAGGCTTACGGTGTCGACTGAAGCTTTTGGACGGTCCTTGTGGGGGTTGCGGAAGTGTACTTGACGCGGGCATCTCGCGATGGTGGTACTCGTGAAGTCGACAGCGAATCGTGGTTCAAAGGTGATGTTAGTAATAGTTTTGCAGAAGTGATGGCGATGTTGGCGTCTGTGCTTGGCCTTCCTTCATCTCCGGTAGCACTAGCCTCCTTGTTCCGTCCCGGCAAGATTTCCTTCACTTTCTTTCAGCGTCGTTCTCGCGTGCACAGCCTATCCTACCATCGCATGGGCAAGTGCTCTGACGTGATTTCCAGCTTCTCAATATATGGAGTAAGCCCAGCAGCGACCTGGACAGCGATGGAGCTGGAGATGAATGAGCGCCGGCATGGACTAATGAACACTACTACGTACCTGGTTCATCTTCCCTCCGCATAACCAAACACTGGCTGATGACCGGACCTTCGTCGCAAACGCAAAACGAGGAAAGTTATGCTGATCGGACTCGGTGTCGCGATGTGAGGTTGCAATTCGAAGTGATTATCAAATAAGGTTTGCGAGCAAGAATGACTCGAGACCGCTACCGTGACTTTGTTTTATTGGAGTAGACCGGACATCGACACGACAAACTGCCCATGCTCGAAGTAAAGAAATATGCTCAAGGGCAATTATCATCCCACATCTGCCAATTTCAAAGTTGGGGCCGAGCTAACCTCCTTGATTTCCCATCTACCAAGGACCTCACTCGCCAACCATCACCTCAAATCTCTCTTCATGGGAAAATGGCGAGGAAGATAAGGAAACCGCTCGACGAGGACGTTTGATAGGAAAAGAGTACACGGTTTGACTGCGCATTTGGAAATTGGCTTCCCAGTGGCGCCTGCCATTGACTCCGAGGTTGTTGTATCCTTCCCGGTCGTAAACGTGGGGCCGGGAAAGCCGCACTGGTCATCGACGACGACGACGATCTCTCTCCCTCCCTTTCTTTATACCCAAGACCGGTCCATCGTACAGCCACAGACCACCTCCCTCCGAATGACGTCTTCGTCCATCTGTGCCACTTCTTTCCCTCGCATCCTTTACTTTTCCGGAGCGATGTCTTCTTTTCTTTCAGTACAGAACGCGCGCATGCTCTCTCCGCGTGTCCGCACGCCGCTCTCCACCTCTCATCCACATGCGTGCCCCGTCCTCCCCGCACGTACATTCGTCCCGACTACAACCGCCCTCGCAACCTCTCTAATCAGTGCTACCTTGACTGGTGCACATCGCGTTAACTATAGACCATCAGTTTGTATTCGTACAATACAATGATTATCCTTGCTCTTGAATCCTCGCTTCAAGTCTGTCTCAAGATGAACAGCAACATCTTGCGGGATGTGTGTGTGCGGAGGGTATAGACCTGGACGAGACAACCAGCAAATCCCGGCACTGACAGGACTGATATTGGGAAAGGTGGTTCTTCAGTCAAAAAAGGGAGAGGTCTGGCCATCGCCGACTACAGCAACGAGAAGATAACAGCGAGAACAAGACGCTCTCTCCAACGTCGAACCCATCAATCATGCATCGAACCAGGGAATGTCCAGCTGCGATGACGATCCCGACGGGAAGCACATGCTCTACGCTCATCAGCTCGAGTGGTGAGGAGAGTGAGCGTCGAGGATCTTAATGAGACGGCCTGTATTTATGTTTTTAGATCAATCATATCTGAAGGAATTAACTGACTCACCTCTGCAGTAGTAATTACCAGTGCGTACACCACATTCATCCCGTGTGTGCGCGGCAACCTAAAACCAGTATTGATCCAATTGACAACCGTCGATGCGCCGCCATCCCTCCCAACTCTCGAGGAAAGCATTGACACCTAGTCGCGCAGATGGGAAGGGAGCATGGCCGTGTCCCTGGCAATCCTACCAAGGGGTCGTTGAGTTTGTGTTAGTGGTCGTGTGCCGATCTTGAGGGCGTGATAGACGACGTTAGATGCTAGAAGAGAAACAATAATGAACCAACTCACCACGTTCGGCCGTTTATCGATACCTACCATATTAGCAACCCTCGACGCACGCCAAATCCTGGAGTCCTGTAACACCTAACGACGTGTAAGCAGGTGAAAACGGTGGAACGAGGTGACATTACTTCGGAGCGTGAGATTGGGACCACACCACTCAAATCGCGAAGCTTGCAGCCAGGAGCCTTGCATTTGATCATCCTACCCAGCAAGAAACAGTGTCAACACATACGATGGAAAGTATATCATTGAATACGTACTTCGTGCCTATTCAACAAGCCTATCGCCATTTGAAGAGAAATTTCATGTAAGCTGAAGCCAATATGAGCAGCCGCAGATTGAAATAAGCCTAGGGGCGGCGCTCATATCTCCTGATGATGATAAAGGAGGCAAGCGCGAGAGTAATTGGCAAGTTCTTCTGTTACATCCTGCTAGATAAGACTGGGATGGTACTCATTGGCAGTAGCGTTTCCGTGGAGTCGGGAACCCATGCCATGTTGGATTCCAAGCTCGTGGCTCGCGTCTTAATTGGTGGTAGGTCACGTGTACGTACCGGTGAAATTTCGTATTTAGCTACTTCTTTACTCAATTGACTACGTACTCTTCTGCTCATGTACTCCGTCAATCCCGTATTCGTGCTCTGATCCCTCGTGTGCTTCCATACTCGCAAGGATTATTTCAACATCATGGCCTTCATTTAGGCTGTCAAGGACCTTCTACATGTGTAGAGTGATTGTTGTGGACCCCAAGGGGGTACCGGAAACAATATAAATTACAGTGGGTCGAATAAAATATTTCGCGCATGCCTGTGGACCCTCCCTCCCTATCACATGATTTTTATGACGTCATATACTATATATGGTATGATTTGACATCGGTTTATCGGCATTCTCAGGAGCCGCTGACATGTCCTGCTCCCATCGCTCTGCTCTCATCTCCTCGCCCGTTTCCCCTTCTTGCATGCGCCGCACATCCAACCATTTGGAACATACTCCACATCAAGGCACTCAGCATGATACTATATTACTTACAGGTCAGTCTGACATCTCTCAAAATTGAGACTTGCAGGTCCAATACCAAATGGTTGTAGACATGTAGGACATCGCACATGAGTGGCATCAATCAATTCAATGGGCGAAATAAGATCTGGTAGGTCGTGTTCATGAAGCTGTAGAGTTTTAGTTGAAACATCGCTTAGCAGGACAGAGATTCCACACACCCTTGGGAAGGACATTGAAGGCTAATGTAGAAGAGGGAGTTGACGAGGAGCGCAATTACTTTGCTCGCATCCAATTTACCTATTTTGTCTCGTAGTTTGCAGCTTGTTTGTCTGTTTTGGGAAATATTATTCGTTATTCAGAGCCAAACAAGCATTGCACTTGATTCACTGTTAATAAAACTACTAGAAAGGTCATAGAACTAGTCAAAATAGTCCCTTAAAAAAGGTAGGTAAATTTTTTATTTTCGAGCGCTCCTGTTGACCCTCCCTCCCTACCCGGTATTCCGGTCCGACATTCCGGTACCCCCTTGGTGGACCCTTGGTGGCGGCGGACTCTCGTCAAATTGAATAAGCGGCATTGAGGGTGATTTTGGTGTCCAACGGAGGTCGAGGGTGCATCACGTAGGCCTGTTCGCCATCTAGGATCAACGGCCATACCCTCGAATGATTCTGCACTCGTGTCTGGCATCGAACCAGTTGATTTTCGTCTCCTCGAAAGGCTGACGGTACAGGAGAACTCGGCAACGAATCGTGGATGAAAGGTGACATTGTCGAATCCTATTAACGACAGTTTTACGAATGCGTCCGCTGGGCTCAAGGTTGCCGCAAGGCAACGTTAGCATCCGAGATCGGCCTTTTCTCATCTTCGGCGGCACTATCCCCCCTTATTCCGTCCTTTTCTCCACCGGCAAGACTTCCTTCGCTTTCTTTTGGCATCACCTCGAGTACACGACCCATCCTCCAAGGCGTCGACAGCTTCGAACTTCATAATATCGGTAGCGGGTATGATACTAGGTGAAAATACAGGCCTTAGTCGCACAAAGTACCAAAAAAACGAGTCTCACCCAAGAATCAAATCAATGTGCTCCCGACATGGCTTTTGTCCAGCAGTGAACAATGGCCATAGCAAGCTGGAGATGAATGAGAACCGGACGGGCTAATGCACTACCACGGTTCGTCTTCCCTCACTGTCAAATAAATTTACAAGCTAATGCAAGATGAGAAGAGGTGCTGAGCGGACTTGGTGTCGCACTGTGAGCGAGGTGACCTTTCTTGGAAGAGGTCGGACGAGATGACGTCCTGTGGAGGTCAGATAACTTTCCCATGGTATTTCACAGTGACGGAACCTTCATTTTCTGGCTTAGAAATGATCATTCAGCGTGCCAATGCTACGGGACTTCCATACACGTGTCAGCCTTGCTTTTCCCTCGTACCACCACCATCTCTGCGGCAGTTAGCACCAAGAAAACCATGGCCAATGAAGAACGGTTAGCTTCGCTTTCACTTATTCTTCCTGTATTTACGTGCTCATATGTCCTCGCCTAGACGGATGCTTCTCATTCGTGGTTCGTGTCATCTACATTCGAATACTTGGTCCAGCGTTGATGTGCTGCGCAGAGGCCGAAATCGTTACCATCGCAGCCACAGAAAAGTCGAGGGTTCACTTGAAGATCACGGCTAGTAACAAGAAGAAGAAAACAAAAGTAATCAAGAAATCTGATAGAGGTGTCATGCCCGGTGGTGCGTTGACCATAAACATGAACCTGTAAGTTGGTATATGTGCTTTTTCATCTTAGTGGATGTCTCATGATCGCAGTGACTTTGCCCCGCAAACCAAAATTTTATGGGAGCTTTACGGTTGTCGGTGGCCAGTGATCTCGCGTTTCAAGGCCCTTGCCAGCGTCGAAAAGACAATTGAAGAATTGTTTGAAGGGAGTAATTGTACGAGTGCGTGCTGTATTTATTTATTTCTTCTGATAAATCCTGATTTTTTCTGTAGGTGCTGATATACATTTATTCAACGGATCTTCCGAGGTCGCAGTCCTCAAAGTATCTGTCCAGTTGGATAGTCCCAGTAATGTCATGATGGCCGTCGTCCCAAACATCGAGAAACCCTCAGAGGGCTCCAAGTTTCTGGATCCCAGTACTCTGCAGAAGGTGTTCGATGCTACGAAGACGATGATCGATACTCTCGCGGGGGTAGGCGGCATTTTACAAGTCAATTTATACTGCTTGACGAGCCTCTTCTCAAGGTCCACCCCGCGGCTACCATCGCTTGGGGATTTCTGTCTATTGGATTTGAGGTGGGTGTCAACGGTGTTCCCAGTGCACAATATCCTCACATCATAGACACAGGTCCTGAAGAATCAGCGCGACACGAAAGATGCGATATGCGATCTTTACAAGGACATGATATCGGTGTATGAAGAATTCAGCAAGGATGATATCTTAAAGCAGTGTGATCGGTTACAGGAAATCTATAATTCCTTGTTCAGGCAGACCATCGAGTGCTCCATTTTCATCGAAGGCTATGTAAAGAAGAGCGGGACAGGTATGCATCTGAGTCACAATCATCTTATGATATCTCACAGCTTTTCCAGAGCGTCTTGTCACGATGAACATATCGGACCAAGCTGCAGAATTCAATCGTGCGTTCGCCGATCTGAAGAGCAAGCTGAGTAGGGGATTGATAACGGAATCAGCCATTGTTACTCTCGGTGTCCAGGAGCTTGTGAACATTCAGAGTGCGCTGTTGTTCAGCTGCAATTCGCTTTAAACGCTTACTGTCGAGACCTTTAGTCATGAGCGATCGACTACGAAATCTCGAACCACCTCAAGAGCTGGGCCCAAAGTCACGCTGTATGAAGGGAACTCGTGTTGCGACGATCAACGAGATAATATCGTGGATTTTCCAGTGTAATGGCGAAATGATGTGGTGTAAAGGCTTGGCAGGAACAGGGAAGAGCTCTTTGGTGGGAACCCTCCACGACTTGCTCACTGCGGACATGGGAGGACGCAGTCGGCTTGCGGTGTTCGTTCGCTACGACCGCATCGAGTATTCGAATGCGAGCAAGCTAATCACCAGCATCGCTTATGCCTTGGGAATGTTCGACGTGCGCATTGGGATGGCTATCTCCAAGGTTGTGGAGAAATCGCGATCGGTGGTGACTATGGCGGACCCGTCCGCTCAGTTTCAGCTACTACTTCGTGGTCCACTTGAACGCATCCTTGATCTTGTTGATGAAGGACCCCTGGTTGTCATCATCGATGGATTGGATGAGTGCAACGCATCTAGTGAACTGTTGATCACGCTTGCCGAAGGATTTGGTCCGAAACTTCCCTTCATGCGGCTGATTGTGTCCAGCCGACCAGTTCATCACATAGCTACGGCGTTCGAGGGACGAGACTGCATATACCCACTCCATTTGGATACCTCCTCGAAGAGTGTAAACCGTGATATCCGGTTTTATTTGGAGCGAGAGTTTGCAAGAATACACGACGATGCGTTCCAGGAGAAGTGTAAAGAGCTACATGCTGTCAATGAACTGACAACACGGGCGAGCGGTTTATTCATTTGGGCAGCAACCG